CTGGTTGTTTCGACGCCCTCCCCTGCCGCCGGCTGGATCCGCGCCTGCCCGAGGTTCTTTGTATAATCTAACCCTTACTGTAGCTACAAAGGGGACTTTTTATTACTTTTGATACAAATGCTCATTTTTTTTTTTTTGCATACAGTGTATTCATATATTCGTGTAAATTAAATATTTGTTTCCGTGGTCAAACGTTCTTCGTCGCTCGGCATGTTGTTTGTACAGTCAACGACTGCAGCAACTTAAGAACTAGAAAGATAATTGATGTGTATGTGGACAGTATAAAGGTCACCAACATCTCAGTATCCACACACAGAAATGATATTAACAAACTGTACGGTTTGCAGTATAACGTCATGCTTAAAATAGGACTTATTAGACCTATTGTATTTAGTACTCTGAACATTGGCTCTGTGTTAAGAATGTAAAGCGACGCCCCTGCATGCCGCGCCAGTGGTATGTACAGACCTTTTTACAATAAATTGTAATGTACACAGCGGTTAAATTTTCAAAAGTTGCCAGACTTTATTTAAGGGAATAATACCCAGCATAGAAGCTGTGACGAAAGATAACACAAAGAGAAAGAGAAACGAGGAATGGAAGTCACATAGCGATTTTTGAATAGCGGTCCTTACGAGTAGTGACCCCCAATGTAAATTATGAATAGCGCCCCTCTCCATGTTTATAAATAGTTACCCCCTTTCCGTTTTATGAACAACGGTCCTTCACGTTTAGGAAGTTTCGCGTTAGGAATAGCGGTCCTTATGACTAGCAAAGTTACCCCGGATTATATAAGTGGTTCATTTCTCTACCATCAGCTAATGTAATGAGGAGAACCTGTTGTACAGGACTTTGTTAGCCGGTTCCTTTTCTTATCATTTATTTCTGTCGTAAGTTGGTTATACATGTACCTCATTTTCTTGCATGAAGGCTTATTTTTATAGTCTGTCATCAGGCCATTGGTATACTCTTCTGTGCTACTGGAAATTAAATATGTAAAATTAAATATGAAACAAGACCGACTATTTTACAGAACCATGCAGTTGGTAATAGCTTTTCGTCTTACTGAATTAATTATTTAATTTACTATAAATGATTTTGGTAATTATCAATTAAGGTTTCTAAATGAGGATCTTTTTCCGATTTTTGGTATTAGGCCCAGAAAGTAAAGTTGTACTACTGTTGATATTATAGGTCTACATATTTAGTTGAGCGAGACAGCTACCCCTCCCGTTTATTGATTAAAAGACAGTAATCGAATCACATTAGAATCGAGAGAGAATGAATAAATGAATTAATTAATCAATGAAAATGCAGCATATAACCACACATAGCTGCATTACTATCCTGGCTGTGTATTAAAAGCGATGCTATTGATTTTCAACATTTCAAACACCACTGTACAAAACTCAAATGATTTCACTCAAAATCAGTACTTCAGTGACAATTAATAACACCTTAATAGCATTAAAATACAATTTGTTTGAACTTACCGATGTTAGAAAGGATAATTTAAAAATTCAAATTGTAAGTCTACTGTCAAACTTGCCGATCAGCCACATTGGCATAATTATGTGCATTTGTGTATTAAGAGTGTATTGAATATTCATGTGTAATAATACTGCATATTAACACGTATAGTGCAGTGCTAAGGTCAATCAATCTTCCATAAATATGCTGACGTCATAATTTGCAAATCCGTATTTTGAGTTCCAAGGCCATTATGATGATGTCACGATATACCTAAAGGCCAAATGAGACATGAAATCATATCTCCAGAGTCCAACTCATAATCTATCCAAATATGAAGAAAAAAACTGGGGTCACCTTGCATCCTAAAGAGCTACAATGGATTTTGTATAGGCATGTTTTTGCCCATTATATGCTATGTATTACAAGACCTCGCGTGTATGGACATGTATTTTAATTCTGATTCTGTTATTAATGGTCATAAGAAGATAAACATGGTATCAAATTGTTCGGAAGAAAATAAGGAATATCCTGTCAATTTTTTTTTTTATAGAATCTACAGAAATCCTGAAGATTAATATAAGGTTTAGTTTTATTTTCATAACCAATAATAATATCTCAAACAACAATAATATTATGTTTGCATGAGATATGTATATGTATTTAATTGGAGGACTAAAAGCAATATATTCACAAATTGGGCCCATCTAATCAGACCCCCTGCAACCATATGGTAACCATAGTAACCAGGTATCACCATTTAGTTCATGAGGATTGATGGTTTAATCGTAAACATCAATTATAGAGGACCATGTATTGAACACACGTTTCAAATTAATCAATTGTTACACTGCCAGGACGTATCAAACTTCCAACGATAATTGTGTTTTTATTGATATAAAAACGGTCTTCGGTTCTGTGGTGAGAAGAGCATGTGACCATCACCACTAATGACACGCGTTCCCTTTTCTTTGTATTGTGGTATGTGATTACTTTTGTTATAAATAATCAATGTAGCGGGGCATTGGCTATGTGTCATCACTATTAATACCCGTTGTATTATCACGGAATCAATTTCCTCCAAAACATGGTGCCTCCTTGTGGTTCCTACTATATACTATATTTTATTTTATCAATATTTTGAAAACCGTCACATCTCTTTCCCAATGCCATTCTAAACTAACGAATAACGAAACAACCCCAATAGCATTGTCATCGAAAGAGCGGAAAGTGTTCTTCCGTATAAATATCCGGGTATATGGTAACACAACTTCGGATATAGATAAGAACACCCCATAATTTATTTCAGTATCATTTCACCGAACAAGCGGGTTCTATTTATACAACTAGTAATGAGATAATTCGAAACAAATATTATTGAACTAGATATCGATTCCGTTGTTAACAGGCCATTAAAATCATATATAGTTAGCATTGTCTTCAGATACACTGATAATTGACGCAAAAGGAAGATCTAGATAGCAAGGCGTTGTGAAGACATAGTGCGTATTTTACTAGAAATTTGACTCGGGGAAACACGTTTGTGTTCATTTCATTAACACAATCAATCACAACTACAAAATGTCATCCAGGTATTCATGTAAGCAGATAAAATATAATGATGATTGTCATACGTTCCAGCATTTCATTTGCCAGGGGTATGTATATAGGAGCAATTGTTTGCCATGGTTCGGTCATAAATCTCGCTCGTTAGTTGATAATTGATCGTTAGAGTCCAATTTGAGAATGCCATTGATACTTAACTATTCCCGCGTATACAGACAAGCGCACATAATCATACAAAAGTGTTATTTATAGCGTTAGGATTGAATTTGGGTTTTTGTTGAGTTTAGGGTTACATGTAGGATGGTGAAGTTGCAAAAGCGTGTATAGCACTAGTAGTATATTGACTGTAAAGGAATTGTCGTACCTCAAAGGATGTGATTGAGTACGGTAATTAAATAGGCATGATTTTGAGGAAAGGTCGTGTCTCCTAAGGTTTATCACTTCTGCTGGTCAAATAAAACCACCAGTCACCGAAATGGTCATCTTGATGTTGAGCATCATTTAGAGATACAATAGATGCATACTGATGGGGGCAATTTGTGAGAATTCAGAAGTGAATTTCGAGGACACCGAGAAAGAGAGAGGGGTTTGGTAAAGAAAGAAAGAAAGAAATGGAGAGGGAGAGAGAAAGCAGGATGGGGGGGGGGGGAGTGAGATGGGGATACTGTATATAGAGAGGAAAAGAGGGAAGAAGAATAAAGGCGTTAAGATGGTACTTTCAATTCGAAGAAGTTTTGATAGAAGACAGAGAAACAACATAGATCTGTAAAGAAAGCTGAACTGCCTGAGAGCTAGAAATATAGTGTAAGAGATCGAACCAGGGGCGGCGATCCCGGGGGGAAACGTCCCTCTCAATTCGTTTAGGGGGGGTGGAAAATTCGAATAAGTGCCGAAAAAAATGTATAGCAAATACTGACTGAAGGCTGCAACGATAGACAAATTTAGACATCGATTCTGATACAATAGTGGTAACAGGTAGGAGCGAAAATGAGAAAGAGCAAACGGCAGGAAAAAAAGAAAACTTGAGAATATTACTGCGTACCCGCGAAAGATGGGCATGATAAAATAAGGAAAGAAAAAATGGGGAAAAGGGAAGGCGGGTAATAGAGGGACGTTCGTCATCATTGATTGCTTTTTGGTAAATAACTGGAGTAGATGGGTCCCAACGTCCTGCTCGAGAATCGGGTTACACGTAGAACGAGAGGTTTGGACTCATTCAAGAACCAATTGACGTAATGTCGGGAGTCGAAGGGGAGTGGGAGATCGAGGAAGGGTCACGTTATAACAAGACGGGCATAAAGTCATCGCGCAATCGTGCTCGCCTTGATCGCATTGCACTTTCGAGGAAATTGAGTAGCCCGGAGCTAAAATGTCGTCGCGCTTGATTTTATCAACCACGCGCGATTACATAATAATATAATCCCCTATACTTTATGGTTTCCGAGCAGTTGAACATGAAACATTTCGTTAATGGCTTATTAATGATGATTTCAAAGAAGAAGAATTCACATGATGGTACATGGCCAATGAACTTCACATGAGTGAGTTAGATTTTTGACAAGGCCATTAGTATTTTTTTTTTTAAATTAAAAAAGTAATCATGATTAATTTTTTTGAATAAAGGTGATGTCATATAATATTTAAAGGGGACAATCTAAGCCATACTCATTTTGTTCATCTTTTCTTTTCTTTTTTGATTGCTACTAATTTTTCTTGCATTTACTTTAAATTTCTAATTTATATTGCTAATTGAAATGACAAATCAATATTGGCATACAATTATTCTTATCTAAAATATGAATTTTCTGTTCCTGAATAACAATCTAAGACTGTCAACAAATAATTCGTTCATAATTTTGTCTTTTTAAGCTTCAAAGAAACTGCATTCTGATATATTTTCTCGCATAATCATGTTACGTATGGGCAAACGTATAATCATACAGAGTTATTTACTTCAATTTCAGATTGTGAATGTTGTCAACTATGCACGGGCTGTACTCGCCCCAAACATCCATGTATGATCTCTGCCATGAACATCCTGAAGATCCGAATCGGCATCCTCCGTAAAGTCCTCATTCTCGGCATCGTCCTAGTCACGATCTCGCTCCTCTACTTCGTCCGACCACTCCAAGAGACCCACGTCAGTCGGTCGTATATCAGCAGCGAGAACGATGGCGAGGTCGGCGGCGGAAAGCAAGACGGGGTAGACTACGATGTGCAATCGGAGTTCATGGGGGTCTTACCTCGAGTTCTGGACTCGGCCAAGAGAAGCGGCGTCGTCAGCCATCTTCGTTCACTTATAGGTAGGTCCTCGTTGCTGAAAGAAAACTACAAATTGTTGCCAATAATATAGTTTATAGTATACATGTAGTCGAAAAGGGATTTAATGATTTCCGTTTGCTTGTGTACGTAACGCATTAAAAAAAAGAACCAAACAAAATTCAAGAACAATACACACATTTAGTCTGAGAAATATTTTTGCAGATGTATCTCTTGTCTCATTGCATTATTTTTAACAATTTACTCATTCAAGCTCAGTTCATTAATTTGATGTCATGTAATATGAATGTTTTTATATATTGTATTTTACATTTGTAAAACATTGCCCAATTCGGCCTTGTAGGCCGCGATGCATTGTTGTTCTTTTATTCTCAATACAACCATTATCAATTCAATTCAATTCAATTCAATTATTTGAGATGAAAGTGTATTTGCTAGATCATTTTGAAAGTGGCTAGGTGATGGCAAAATGCGCCATGTCTGGAAAAGCGTTTGAAAAACATGATGAGCCATGTCTCACAAAGAGATGAAATCGATATCAATCACAAGTCTGTACAACTGGAGAAAAGGAATATTGTAGTATTCAACTTTGCGATCGATGCAGATCACTTGCAACTCGAGTTGGGATCATGATTTCATATTTGGCGACAAGGCTTTTTTAAATTCTGTATTGCAATTTTCCGACATAAAAGAGTAAGTGGTATTATAGAAGGTGTTAAAAATGCATTATTATTATTATTATTATTATTATTTATTTGACCAATCGGAAAACATACAATGAGTATAACAATCAGAGAATACATAGACATTTCATAATACATTCAAACAGCTTTATGAAAGTGGAGAGGAGATAGAGAGAAGGATACAATCTGCTGGTCAGGGGTGACAAAAGCAATTTAAATTGCTATTACTCGAAAGCATGTCACCCCCACAGTCTGCATCCTGGAAAATTAAGAGTAAAGAACAGAATAAAAATTCACAATATGAGAAAATAAATAAATATATATATATATATCAGGATAACAATAGTTGGAGCTATTACTATTATATCCTTGATTACTTTCATTACATCATTATGTCTTTACGTTCATCTCATAAATATATAAATTTTCAAATCAATAACTTGGTGCTTACATTAGAAACATTTGATATGATTATTATTGGGGAGGAAAGTTACATAAAAGTATAAAATGCTTAACAATAATTTCTAACTTACAAAATGAAATGAATAAAATTGTAATCTGAAGCCTAATATGTACTGAACGGAACGAAGAAATGAGCTTGCAATATTGATATTATTTCTAAGTGACAAAATAAACAAATTAGTCAGTTATGATCTAGGTAAGATGTATAATTAATCTTAGGGTTTTCAAAAAGGCACAGTAAAATAATAAAACAGGTGCTTTTAAGTGACGATCAGCTTGAGAGAAATGGACAGAATTTGAAATCAGACACGAGTATGAAAAATATTGCCATTAATAATTATCAATACATTGTTTTACATTGAATTTAATTCATTCGTTCGATGCCCCTGTTATTACTGCAAAAGGAATGGACAGCAAGGCTGCAGAACGTTGACGGTGAAAGGCTTAAATGTCTGGAAGCATTCAATCGTGTGTAAATATAAGGGCGTCTTACTTAGCTTCTCATATAGCAAGACATTGAAGGAGCTTCAGAGTATGATTGGAGGTCGATAGACTTTTTTTTCTCGGTCTGTCTGGGTATTAAAATCAAAATGGTGTGCTCATGCATGCAGTGTGCGATGTCGGCAGAGTTTGTTGATTAGAGTGGGGTGGGGGGGGGGTGGTACTCGGGGAACTGGAGCACCCCAACTCAGAGTGAGGACGTCCGTGCCTGGGCACCCCCTCCCCTTCCCCTCGCCTTAGGTAGTTTCGCTCACTTTGAGACCCCTACTTCTATTACAAATCATTCTGCATCGCCTGGTTGGTCCTGTTCGTCTTCAGCAATTAGTGGAGGCCGTAGAGAGTGGTGTAGCCATGCAGGGGCAGGGGGTATGTGCATCCCTTATTAAATCAAATGGCGAGAAAAAGAGAGAAAATGAGAAAAAGAAATGGTACCTGAAATTAAAGACACTGCGACCCCCTCTACACCCTTTCCCCAATTCATATGTCATTGTTAATTTTCATTTCATCCAAAGAGAATGACCAACACCCCTTCCCCCCCCCCCCATGTCTGTCCCACCATACGCCACTGACCGTAGCTGACCCAATTGTAGATGATACCATAACGTGATGCGGCATCTCAGTTGACGGACAAAGTACAAAGTAGAAGGCAATTGATTGAGTAAACATAACACAAATAGAAGGAGCAACTTGATGCTTGTGTTGAACTGATAAGAACACCTCCGCTAATGTCACTGCCAACTGTAGAAGGCGTACATTGTACATTGTACATTGGACCATGGAGTAATTACTAGTAACTCCATGATTGGACTCTCTACCAATACGGCACTGCATTAGAATGTGATTTGAAAACAGATGATTTAAGGGAGGATATGTCGCATGTGAAATGTGATACTTAAAGTTGAAGTCAAAGGGAAATTCTAACTGTAGTAATAACGGGGGCAATGATGACAAGAACGGAATCTGTCAGTGTCAATTACAGAAAGAAGAATACATGTACATTATACATATCTGCCAACCATCCCTATTTTGGAGGAATTATTCTTATTTTTGTCTGCCTTTAAATTATGCTAAGAAGCCCTATTCCACTCGCTTTCCGAGAAAGGAAAACATCTGTGTAAAAGCATGTAAAATACAATATCTTCCTAATGTCGGCTTCGGAGATTCCTCATGTTTTGCTGTAGTTTTTTTTTTTTGGGGGGGGGGGATGAAAGGTTGGCAGGAATGGAAATATTAACTTAACACGAAGGGACATTTTCGGGATATGATAGGAATTACGGTTGTTTAATATTTAATCTTGCCAATCTCTATTTTGTTATATTATTATTCCCACTATTTCTTGATAGTAATCAAACATGTAGTATTACTCAGTCAAATACTCTCTCTCCCTCTCTCTCTCTATCTCTCTCTCTCTGTCCCCCCCCCCCCCCTCTCCTCTCTCCTATCTCACTTCCTATCTCACTTCCTCTCCTCCCTCCCCCTCTCCCTCCCCCCATCTCTCTCTCTCTTTCCACTATCCACCTAGGTCTTGGGTGGAAGGATAATAGCGGTACATCTTCGAAAACGGAGATTAAATTTGACTCGCATGCCGAACGTTTGTTGGATATCCTAGAAGTAAATCTCTTCCAGAATAAAACGAACGCTATCGATGAAGTAACTGTTATCAAGCCTTCAAGGAAAGAAGGGTAAGTTTACATATCAAATCCAGTTTCTCTTAATTTTGTATCAGAATTGTGTGAAAAATGGTTGAAAATTTAAAGAAAGTGCTCCGGAGACTGTTACCCCGCGGTCAGTTTCCTACCAAAGTTATTGAATTCATAGTATCAAACCTGGGCCGTGCACATTATCCAACGGTGGACCCGACATAATATATAATCCTAGACTCAAACCTAAAGTAAACTACAATCGTAATCCTAAGTTCCTAACCCTAATCCAAACCCTATTTCAAATCGAATTCCTCAATAAATTACCACACTATCCAATATGACACATTATTCTACCATTATTGTGTCCAAGCCATCTTTTCCCAATGGATTAATTTTCTTCCCCACCCACCACGCCACCGACAAAAACAAGCAAACAAAAGAACAAACAAACTTGTTTGTAACATCAGCTGTATTGTATGATGCACAAATTATTCCCATGATAATTTGTTATTATTGTTCGGACTGAAAGGTTTTTGCAATGGTATTAGAAACTATTTAGTCGAAACAGATCCCAACGCCCACTAATTGCATGAGAGGCGTTTTTCCCAGTAATGGCTAATTAGCAATACTCTTTTTAAACTATCTATACCTCCACTTGATGGTCTCAGATACCAAGACTGTTACGTTTATTTCAATTATCAAATTCTAATAAGGTTAGATTTTCTTTGTATGTGAAAGCTCTACTAAAACACAACACAACAAAATAATAGCCTATTCCTTTTTCCATTTGTTTTCTTTTGTTTTGATTTTGGTTTACAAAGGTACCTTGTATACGTTTCCATCAAGCTTTGAATAAGAATATGAACAAATCATATCAAAATAAAATAAAATTCTCCATAAATTACAACACCCTCCAATATGACAAAATAACCCATTACTTTCACCTCGTGTCCAAGCCATCATTTCCCATTGAATACATTTTCTTCCCTGCCTACCCCGCGCCCCTCCCCCTAAAAAGATTTGTTTTAAAAAAAACATCAGTTTACCTTTCTTCCAGTCTGTTTGGTTGGTACTACAAGGTTATTTGTAACACCAGCCATTTTATGATGCACAAATTATTCCCATGATAACTTGTTATCATTGTTTCGACTGAAGGTGGGTTTTTCACAATGGTATTAGAAACTAACTAATCGAAACTAATCCTAACGTAAATGATCGCGTGAGAAGTCCTTTTCCAGTGACCGCAATTAAATTAACAATGCCTTTTAAAAGATATTCATAATCTCAATGGCTGAAATCTCAATCTGAAATACGCTATTAACAAAACAAAAGAAAATGTTCAGGTGCCTTCTGTTTTTACAGCCTTGTCCTTTTTAAAGTTTTCCTTCAGAATCATTTGTACAAATTCATTTTTTATTTAATAATGGGCTGTTCCTCTTGCATTTCTCTTTGTGTGTTTCTGTTTTGGTTATATTCAGGACAAAGATTTTTTTTAATTATTTTTTTTACATCAGATCTTGAGTCATCCTGATTAAATACTTTGTTATATTTCATATTTTAAAGTCACATGTGTATAAATACCTCATATTTTGTGCAAAAGGTCATATTTTTGTTATTCGTTCATTTTCTAACAATGAAAATATGTTAACAGTAGATAAATCAGTATTTTTTGGCAATTTCTTTAGTCTTATATCGCGCTATTTGTGTGTTTTATGAAATTCATACCCTTTCTCGCCATACATCATTGTGAGAATGCTCAAACGTGAATTTTTTGTATTGTTGTCTGCCTACCCTCAAATATATCACAATTACGTTTGTTACCTTGGCGCGATGTATTTTATGCACCGTTTCCATGGCAACTTATTGTCAGGACTTACCCAAATTGCAGAAAACCTGATCGATTTCATTCGTATTCTAACCAAAAAAAAATACTTTACTCATATGGCCAGCATTCACCGTTCAACGTCTGATGAAGGAGAAATACCAGTTGGTGATGGCCTTCAATGTATTCCGGGGAAATCGCGAGACAGAATGTTAAACCTGTTTGGTAACGGGTATGTGCAACCATGTCATTCGCTGTAGTTACACATTATTGTAATGAGTAGTGCCCTGTGCACACAAGGCGTCACTTCACTGACACGGTACCGCGTCAATATAGCTGCCTTGGCGCAGCCCTTGACGCACCAAGTGAGAGGGATATCATCCAAAAAGAATGATTGCAAAATGAGCAGTGCGAAATTGCGTTGAATAACTTGAATTACTGGTGCATGCTTAATTTTGTTCATAAGCTGTATTGGCGCAGGTAATAACAACGCAATGAAAATGACGCCTTGTGTGCAACAAAATTAGAGAAGCAGAATTCATGCTGACTTAAAGATACTATGTCCCTTTTGCAGCCAACATCAAATTATGTAGAACTTGGCAGGAATTATGAATAGGCCCATGTCATGTATGTCTTATCCTATCTGTGAAATTTAAACATAAAATGAGCTGTAACAGGTACATAGGCATTTGTCTACATCAATAACCCACTACTTGTAAGGCCAAAATTAAACTGATTGAATCATTGTGCGGCACAAAACGTACGACCATTCGGTAAAAGGGTCTGAAATCATACTATTACTTAGGTGATTGCAATCACTTAAGTCGAATCGATAAGTAATAGTCGTTATTATCCCACTTAAAGACACTTTCAAGCCCTTTCGTTTTGAGGGAAGTTCTAAATTAGTATTGTCTTTCAAATGCCGTTTGAATTTAACCTTTTCATTTTATTTTGGCCTGCAAATTGACATAGTACCTTTAAGCCAAGATTTGATCTAAGCCTAATTTACAGATACATCTACTATTTTGTGTGCATTATTGTTGTGATTATTCGTTTCGATATTTGGGGTAACTATGTGCGATGTTTCTTTCTTCAAAACGGAATGCATGTGAACAAATTAAGTAATGTATCACAATAAAAAAAAATATAAAAAATCTGAATTGGATAGCTAATTTTACAGTGTTTAAATTGTAATTTGCGAAAAGAAAGTGGTTACAATGTTGAAGGTACATGAACTGAAGGGCTACCCTTGACAAGCGTCTTTATGCGATGATAATTGATGGTTCTCGTCGTAAAATTTTCCTAATATGTGCTGGTAAAATTATTGATAGCTCTCAATTATATCAAGTATGCCTTAAAAGTATTGTACGGAGAGCAAAATGGTTATTCTTCCAAAGATATGTGAGCTAGAGACATTGCCACTTACAATGGAGGTTGAGGGCTATTTACAAAAAGATTTATGGCTATTTATCAAAGATTTTAGAGTTATTTATACTTTTAAAAGAATGATAAAACGGAGAGACAATAGTTAATCTTCCAAAGATACTTGTATGTCTAGCTATAGACATGCTCTATGCAACAAGCCATCTGCAATGGAGATAGGGGTGATTAAGAAATGTGCATAATTTCTGGTTAAAATCTACAGCTATGACGCCAACCTTCATCCTTTTATTGGCTCGAAAACGGGAGTGTCCGGAGTTATGTCACTTCCACCACCGTTTGGGTTTCGCAAATCAGGTAAGATATATGTCGTGTTTACCTTTAACAAAATGCATAGCATGCGAATTTGACGATTGTACCGCTCGGCTGTGTTGTCACCCACTCACGTTAGGGCAGTGCTCCAGGAAATCCAAGTACAAGTTCGCAGACATCCGATTGAACGGTGTATTCAAATTAACACGCGTTTCAACGGGATGTAGGCGACCTTGTACTTGACACTTTCCTGTAATAGTTTCCTGATAGTTTCCTGTAACAATGCCCTGGTTCCAAGATATTTGTTTTCCTTAGTACAGGTAGCTTATTCTTAGTTCTTGATAACCAACATTTTATGGTATAAAAAGTTATTTCAGGATCTAAATCGTCTATATATGATTATACTTGAAGTCCACTGAGTTGTGAATTGCCAAGATTTTTCCAAGATTTACCAAAACATTGCGCAATAGCTGGATGCCGATACCTAGTTGGGTATAATAATAATAATAGTGAACATTTATAATGCGCCATGTCTGTCAAAAATGACAATCCTGGCGCATTTTGTGGAAAATGTGTAATTGTATCTGTTGTGTTTTATTCCTCTAATACAATCATTTAATCTGTTTTTTTTTTAAAGCACCTTTGGCACCATCTGATTGCTTATTATGAATGTCTGCATTGTTATTATTATTATTATTATTATTATTATTGTTATAATTGTTATTATGAGTAGTATTGTTATTAGTAGTAGTAGTATTGTTATCATTATTATTATTTATATTATTATTATAACGGCAGCAGGAAGTTAAGACAGAGCAACAATTTAAGCAGTTAGATTTTATTTTCTTCAAAATAATTTTCTTGGATGAGACAGAACTAATTTCTTATATAATGTTTTTAGCCGGTGGGGCGGGGGTTCCAGCAGACACCGTTTCGATGTTGCATCATTTTCCTGTCTTCGGAAAAATTGCATATTTAAATTTTCTTCTTGCTATAACTAAATTATTTATGAAATGTTGGCCTAAAGTCATGAATGAGAGAGAATAAAATATTTTTCATCGATGTGAAAAATAAAAATACACTTTTATCTGAAATTTTTAAGGAAATATTATTGTGTATCATTATATGGTAAATGATGCCGAAATGGTGCCCTTTAAACGGGTTGATAAAAGGATGATTTAAGGGTGTAATTTAGGAAACCCGTTTACTGTTTGTATATGAAAACATGTGATGTTTGAGATGTGATCAAGCTTACAATTCGTGCTCAGATTCAGCTATTAAACTATTCGTTGTCACGTTCCTCACAATGCTAATTAAAACAAATCACGTTTGTTATTTCACATCTAGAAAGTGCTTTGATAAAAGCTGTAACAGTCGTGGGGCAGTCAGACTTTCCTACGAGGTAAGATTTTGAATTATTTTGCAGTACCCTTCAATTGTGAGAAAATACAAAATGTTCAGCAGCGTGCATACTGCAGCACGTCTGCATAATGAATGAGCTTAAAGGGAAATCGACAAGGCATTGTCTTTATTACTGAAACAGTTTAAGTGGCTTTTTATTACCAAAGATCTCAATACACATTCGATCTGTGTTCTAAACACGCGTTCATGTTTATTTACGTATAGGTCACGTTTTTGTTTTGTTATTTTGTATTTGTTGGTTAAAAACTGTATTAATATCTAGCTTTTTACTACCACTTAAAACATCTACACCTGCTGCAGTTTTAATAGCCTTTTGCGTCCCTTTTTAAATTGACGAACATGGCAATGACGTATTGCGCGTAGTCCGTGCAAGATTTTTAAAGGTAAAAAAGGGTGTTATTGATCGTGTTAATTTTACATCAACTTCATCTTTTTTCATCTTTATTCTTTAATCTTTATCGTCATTTTCAATTGATCACTATTTATATGCTATATTCCTCTCCCTATATTCCAGGTCCTCCTCTCCCTTCAACTTTCTCTTTCTCTTCCTCACCCTTCCCTTCCTCTTTCCCTACTCTTCGTCATGCATCATCATTAACATCATAGTCACTATCATCATCATTAATGTCCTCAACTCTGTTAGTATGTTACCAATCAAACTTAATTATCGAACCAGCGAACCATTTCTTTGTCGACTCAAAAAGATCCATCCATATTGGCATGTTGAAAACCCACAATTTTGACATTATATGAAGAGGGGCGTGCTCTGCAATGAGTTAGAGAACGTCTTGATACGAAACATAACCATGTCTGGAATTCGATTAAGAAATGGTGCTTGGGGTCTTGAAGTAAGTAACTAATTAAATACGACACAAATGACAACACATGTTTCGACAGAAATAGGGTGGACGTATTTGCTATTACGTGTATTGTATTGTATGTGCCTAGCAATTGCCAAAAATATAGCGTGATAAACATCAAACATATGATGTTCCATTTACATCATAAATCAAACATCTAGGAACATATATATGTAGATTGATAAGTTTTTAAAAAAAAATATTAATCGATTGATTAATGATGGATTGGACTGTAGTTGTTTATGTAGTTGATATTACGCACCTGTTGCTTCCACATATAGTCTGGAATAATGTTAATAAGTAATACATGTAATGTTTTTCTCTCCAAATTCGCAGTAATTCTTGCAGCCGTTGTGTAGTAGTCGGAAACGGAGGCGTCATGAAGCAGTCGGCGATGGGTCCGATCATTGACGATTTCGACGTCGTCATCAGGTACAAATGCATTTCAGATGTGTTGTTTTGCAGCTGATAATAAATTAGGAAAAAGAAATCGGAAGTGAAGATGAACACAGTGAATTATCTATGCCCTTTGAGGAGCATGGCATGGGGTGCCTTGGTGGTTTGAGATTATATGTATTTTATTGCAATGACGTACAACAACGTCATTGCCTCATTTCGTTTTATATTCACGAATTATCATCATTAATCGGTAATGATGGTTATTAACATTTAATAGTTCTTAGTAATGTGTAGGCGATTCACAAATGCCCCTTTTATGCTAAGTGAGGGAAACGGGGTAAAATGGTGATGCACCTGCATTTTCCAATCTGCAATACCGGAATGAGAGACCTGTGGGTTTTTTCCGTTTCCAAGAACAGGTTTGACGCCGCCGATTAAACTAATTAAATATATATATATGCATTATATAAGATATATTACTATTCGTTCAGACGTGATATATATATAAACACGATTTAAGGACGTGATGTGGCAATGAGGAGGAGAAAGACAACATGTAAGACCTACATGTATGAGCTGGTTGAACAGAGAGAAAGATCGAGAGTCGGAGGGGGGAAGAGAAAGAGAGAGGGGGAGGCATAAGGAGAAAGTTGCACTGGGGCGAAAAGCCAAAGGGAAAACGAAAAGGAGAATGGTATTTGTTACCACCGCCAGGCTGAATGATGCCCCAACAATAGGCTACGAGAAGGACGTTGGTACGAAGCAACAAATGAATTATTAGAGAGATTAGAATGTTCGTGTAATTAAAAAAAAAATAATCTCATTTCGTATTAAATGACATACAAAGTTTTTGATGTATATGTTTAAATTCCTTTCTTCATTATTATGATTAAGATGTATTGTTTTTTAAGAAGTGTATGCTCTCTAAAATGTGTATGTTTATGAACAGAGTGATATTGATGAATATCCATAATGTTGAATAAAATAAATCGAAATACAACACGCGTTTGTTCCCTGCACCAGGCTGAACGACGCCCCTACAGTAGGCTATGAGAAGGACGTTGGTTCGAAGACGACAATTCGCATGGCCTACCCAGAAAGCAGCTTCCAGTCATCGCTTCTGTACAAGGGCAACTGGCTCTACGTCATCGTCATCTTCAAACAAGCCGACTTGCTATGGGTGGCTGACGTGGCTGCTGGAAAGAAAGCGGTAGGAATATTTTCCGCTGCACACGCGGCGTCATTTCGATTGCGCTATTTCATGCGCCAATCACGTGCGCCAATAAAGCCTAGAAGGCAATCAGCGCATTCACCGGTTATTCAAAGGAATATTTGGACTGTTCATTTTCCAATCAGTTTTTGTACAATGTTACTCTCATGAGTCGCGTCATGATATATAGGCTGCGCCAGCAGTCCTCCGTCGCAAACGATCCCGTGTGTGCAATGAGCTTAAATGATGAGGATATATGTTCATGTAAGTAGATTCGATGGACATTTGTTATCAGAAAGATGAAAATTGTTCCCCAATAAAAACTCAAGAACATAATAAATCATCAAGAAACAAAGAGATAATCTCAAAATTCTAAATTAGAAGATAGCTTGGCGTAATGCGGACATGTAAATGAATATACGGATGCTAAAATAATTAATATATGTTATCTTTCGTGAGTATGGATTCCAAGGCTTGGGATTTTTGCTTAGCTATATCGAAAGATAGCACATGCCTGATTTATGAATATAACACTGATCTATTTTCTATTTTCTCATGATTTAATTTCATGATTTGTTTGAAAATTTCAAAGATGGTCGATATCAAATTAGACAGAGATTTTTTTTGTTTTAATTCAGAAAAAGAAAATAACAGAAGTTTGAATTCAAGGTATTCATTTTAATTTGCTTATTGATAAGGTACTATTAAAATAGAGACAATTCTATTTCAAATAATAAGCACTCATTTGAGTTTTATTTTTTGCCGGTCATGGTGATAGAGGCTGGCCATGTATGTTAGAGATCATCATATCAAGGGAAAAGCGTTCTAATAAGTACAATAACCTTGGGTATGCAAAATTAAATAAAGCAATTATAAGTATTATGTCCCATTTTCGACCACTCCCCAACACACACGCACTCTCGCATGCACACAGATTAATCACTTCACACTCTATGCAGAGCGGAGGTCTGGGTCGTGTTTCATAAAAAAAAAAAACGTGTTATCATTAACAACTGCCACAATTATAAAACAAATCTGCCCCATCAATCAAACGCCAAGATGTCAGCAGCTTATAACAATGATTGTTATTTATTATTGATAACAAGCTTTATGAAACGGGGCTCCGATAGAGGGAATTTCGCGCGCCTTTATTTATAGCAGCCGTTAAATGGCTTTTCGAACGGGCAAAGAGAGGCTTACATCATTACATGTTATTGGTTATAAATCTTCAACTAGAAAAAATTCTCCGTTTGAACCGTATGTGCTCGGTAACTCAAATGTTGCTGTCAAACAAACAAAAGAAAAACGGCAATACAGAGCAATTATATTGTCGATGTAGCAAATGACATAAACATCCGTAGAACCAAAGCTTAATTCATCATTTAATCGTCAAACGGAATGGTCAAAGTGATACTTCAAATATCCAGATAATTTGTTTCTTTTTGTTTCAATGATTCATGAAACACATAATATATCTACACAGCACGATCGCAAATTCTAATCCCTTTTGTATTGCCTAGTCAAGTAGTAATCATGTTCAGGGCCCCGTCTTACAAAGAGTTACGATCGATCCAAATCGTAAGTCCTCCAATCAATCGCAAGTTTGCAGTCTCCTATCTCCTATCTGTTATGTACATAGTTACGATTGATATCAATCGCAATTAAGTTACGATTGATATCAACTCTTTGAAAGACGGGGCCCAGATTACCTAATAGTAATACCGATTTGTATTTTTAATATTTGCACCTTTCATAAGGGTATGGACAAGGCTAAACATTGCCTAAGGTTGATTTCTCAAAAGTCTTTGAAATTGTGTCACACGAATCATCCCGTGTTTTATATATTCTTCCTGTACTTTTGATGAAAATTGCATATTTCTCTCTCTCTCTCTCTCTCTCTCTTTGCAGCCATCGTTGAAATTTTGGAAGTCGGTAGCCCGGGCCGTGCCGAAGCCTTCCGATGAATTTCGCATCTTTAATCCTCTCATTATTCGAGAGACAGCGGAACTCGTCGGTATGAAGGTCGGCAATGGCAAAGTCGGAAAGGTAAGTTTAAAGACAAGTTTGTGGGTTCTCATATTGAATTGACCACTGGAAATGGACATCACTTTTATGACCGACAGGCCTTACTTAGTGAGCGTACCCTAGCTCTACCCATTTCAAAACAACTACCCGTATAAAAAGTTGTAGGCATTATCTTAAATTCTGAATCCCAATGCAAGTTCCGTGGTGGGACACGAAATTTTGCTGCTACTGTGATATTTGCACACATGTTCCTTCCATCTAGTCCCAATGTTTGCACATTATGACGGCGGTACATACATGCAGGCGCGTACGCAGGATTTTTTTCAAGGGGGGGGGGGGGGGGGGGGGGGTTAACATTTATAAATCGGGCCGAAAATTTCGCAACGACTCGGCCAGCCGCTGAATAAGCAGAGGGGGGGGGGGTGTAAGAGGACACTTTTTTTTTTTTTTTTTGGTCTCGAAATTTGAAAATTTGACATTCTGCTTTTTAAAAAAAAAAAAATTAAAACAAAAAATATCCAAAGGGGGGGGGGGGGGTTTAGGGGGATTGTGGGGGGGGGGGTTTACACATAAAAAAATACCAAAGGGGGGTTTAACCCCCCCCCCCCCCCCCCCCTTGTGTACGCGCCTGCATACATGTATGAACAAAGATTTCGGTATGTCTGGACAGCAGTCATTGACAGGATTTTTGTATTCATTGAATTTATTTCTCCAGAAAAAAATTAGTTCCTAACTCTTTGGATGACAGCATGACATCGATCCTTTGTTCAAATATGCATGACAAAACAAAAAACCAGCAGTGTTCACACTATTTTTCTCTCTCTCTCTCTCTCTATCTCCACCTCTCTCTCCTCTCTTCTCTGTCTCTCTCTTTCTCTCTCTCTATTTCTCTTATTCTCTCTTTCTCACTCTCTCTCTCTCTCTCTTTCTCCCTTACTCCCTTTTTCTATTTATATTTTATGCGCTGTCTCCATAGACTTTGACCAACTCTCCATATCTATAGCCTTCTCCATCATTTTTGTACCCGGGCCAATTTACTCCTCCTCTCCAATCGATTTCTTAATACTAGCCAATTCAAGACTCTTTCCTACGATCTATCCCGTCAGATCCAGATTATCAAAACAAATTTCAAAATATATATTTTTTTTGTCATTGGCTCACAAATAATGTTTCCCCTTGACTATGTTATAAGATGACTTTCTGACGGTCGGAGCAATGGATTCTGGCGCACATAAACAGCGATCCCCTGTGAAAATTCTATGGCAAAAAAAAATATATTTTATTCATATAGTAAAGCATCTCCATCTAATTTCGAACGGCGTAAACTTAACCGACAGAACCAAATTTTCATCGTCCATTAAAACAGTTTTTCTACATTTCCGTCGACACTTTACAGTAGCAGGCTTAAGATTACAAGTGGAGGGGGAATCTAAAAATCTTCTTCTTCCATCTTCCTCCTCTTCTTCTTCTTCTCCTTTTCTTCTTCTTTTTCTTCTTCTTCTTGTTCTTCTCTTCTTCTTGTTCTTCTTCTTGTTCTTCTTCTTTCTCTTCTTCCTCTTCTTCCTCTTCTTCTTCTCGTCTTTTCCTTCCTCCTTCTTCTCCTTCTTCTTCTTCTTCTTCTTCTTCTTCTTCTTCTACTTCGTCTTCTTTTTCGGAGATGAGATGGGAGTAGCCGGCCGATGTCCTCGACCCATTTCTGGCCCGTTTACCACTCGTAGAATTTTCTTTGGGCAACAGAGGTCGAACAAAGAAATCATAATTGTCCTGAAACGTGTATTCTTTCATGGAAGATCAAAACTGCTTTGCTTTGTTTGAATAAGGGCGTGTTTATGCTTAACTTTTTCTGGCCAGAATCAGGCATCTGTTACGCGTTTAGTTTAAAACACGGTTGCGTTCTTTCTCACTTTTGCAGAATCACCGAAAAACGGCGATCACGATCGCCGATCGTAAACTCACAAAAAGGTGCGTTTACAATTTGTAAACGCGTTTAAATGGGGTCAACGCACTGACCTCTAGTGGGTCTACGTAGCATGCACAGTGCAGGTTTGCGAATCCAGCTGCAAGACCAATTAGGGCCACCCAGCAATAATTGCCTGGAGAAGCCAGAGAAGTGTGCATAAACAGTACACCGTGGAACTGCGATTACGATGAGCGTTTACGATGAGCGTTTCATATCGCTCATTCTGCCTTCAAAATTGAGCTTAAACGCAGCCTAAGTTATTTAAAAGGTAATACAAAGTGTCAAATTTTCCTGTCAAAGGTGTCCTCTTACCCCCCCCCCCCCCCCCCCCCCCCCCCCCCCGCTTATACAGCGGCTGGCTGAGTAGTTGCGATTTTTTTTTAGACCAAAAAAAAAAAAAAAAAGTGGCCTCTTCCCCCCCCCCCCCCCGCTTATTCAGCGGCTGGCTGAGTCTTTGCGAAATTTTCGGCCCGATTTAAAAATGTTAAAACCCCCCCCCCTTGAAAAAATCCTGCAGTTAGGACGACCCTGCAAATCACACTTACTACATGTTATACTTTGTATTATATTTCGACATAAAAGTAGATCGTTGGGCTTTGGAATGACACTAAAAGTGACGATGTTGCCTTCATAATCTGAAGCGGCAGAAAAGGAAATTCTGATGCCGAAAAGATAATGAATAATTGATAGGTATGACGATCAAAAATGTGATGCAAGAATTAGTTGGTGTAGCTTTTTTTAATAGCATTATCCCAAATCGGTCTGTTTGAAGTCGGTTTTGTCTTAGGTCAGTTTTGCGGTGTGACGGGAATAATTATAAACGTCCTGATTGCGCCTACGTGTTGATGTCTAGCAACCCAGTCTAAATGAAAACAAACATCATCTTCTAAATTGTTTCATAGAATGTACCAACGACTGGAAGCTTTGCGATCTCCATGGCAACACGATTATGTGATGAAGTCAGCGTGGCTGGCTTTGGGTATGACGTAACCAAACCTCTTCACTACTACGACAAATTACAGATGAAGGTTGGATATTTTTTCATTAATGATTTCAATAAGCCAGGGGAAGCTAACTTCTCTTACCTGGATGTCAATGTTCCACTATCCAAAAATGGAATGTGAAATGAAAAATCATTTTATTTGAAAATCAGTAGTCAAGCTTTTTTTTTCCTTTAGCATATTTAATGTGCCCATACGTATAGTGATTATAGATTTTCAAAATTCATAACTTTCTTATTTTTGTGCGATTTCATTAAACTTTCATCGGTCGGCTTTTTTGACTTTCTACTTTAGTTTTAGAACAGTTGAGATTTACGGTTAGATTTTTCTTGAAATATAACATACACTATCTCTCTCACGACCTCATTGTGTTTCTCTCAGTGGAGTAATGAGCAAAACTTTTTTAGGAGGAAGAAAAAAAAAAGCAATTTATAAAAAAAAGTTCGAAAAAAAACGCTTAAAATCATGTAATTTCAGCAACATTTATAAATCTACTTGTATTCTAGCTATTGGGGTGGTAACTGCCTCCCTATAGCCTCCCCTCCCCTATCAGTACGCCAGTGCTTAATTCACTCACTCCGTTTCATATTTTCTCTGTGATTATACAGATCGTGAAAGAATCATGGACTCACAACATCGATATTGAGAAAAAATGGCTGCTTAAAATGGTTCAACAGGGTGTTATCCATGACTTAACGCGCGGAATCAAATGACCACTTTGGTCTGCATAAAACTGCAAAACTTTTCAGCGAAACAAAACTTGACTAGTTGGTCAGCCGGTATGAATGATCTGAGCTGTAGTCTCGGCACTCGGGACAACTCGGACTCGGCAGGAAATAGAGGCCAAGTTAACCAGGGGCGATGAATCGAATGCAAATACTTTCTGCTAATATAAATCGTCGCGCGATGCCGAGTTGCCCCCGTGCCAAGTCATTCCGAGTGCCGAGCCGAGTTATACCCACGAACGATCTCGACACCCAAGAGGACTGGAGCTCCGAGGAAAATTCCGATTCTGCGTGCTTACATTTTGATTATCTGTATTCTGATCGGAGTCTGCTATAAAAACGACTTTAATTTCTTTACGTGTCATGAGCATCACAGTGAATTTGAAAAGACAATCAACATTGATAACAATTCTGAATTCAAACGGATGAAGGAGGCTTGTATTCTTTTCTTCTTATCAAGGTGATTAAAGATGAGTTAAGAAATTGCAGATGACCGTCATTTAGGTGCTTTTCGCGCTGCAGAATGTATGCTGAACAAAGAACTGCTCCTGGACATAACTTCGAGTCCGCAGAGAGGCTGAGATGGTGCAATAAAATAACATGGGTTTAGCTTAAAATTGTTTCGCTAAGTTGTCTACGAGCAGAGCTGTACAAACCATTGTTCAGTTGTCCCTAGCTTGGAGTGCGCCCTCTAGGTGTACGGCATACGTGCATGGACTCGATCCTCGGAAGAAATTGCTTGACTTTTGTTTTTCGATGAGAAAGTTAACCCTATTATCTGTTCATTGGTTTATTTGTTAGTTTTTTTTGTTTGATTGTTGTGTTTCTGTATGGGATTTTTTACTCCTTTGGTACAAATATTATGTACATTATAAGTTATGTAATTTCTTTCTTTTCGATGATAGGATTATGGGCAAGTCCCAAATATTCTATGCTGTTATGTTACCGACCACATTCAAAAATGTTAGTATACCATGGCCTCGTCTTATAAAAAGTTGAAATTAATCGCAACTATGTACATAAGAGAAACGAGACTTCAGACTTGCGATTGATTGGTGGACTTACCATTGATTTTGATCAATCGTAAGTCTTTATAAGACGGAGCCCAGACCTCAAGATGTGTTGTTGTTTTTTATTTTGTTTTTGATATCGCGTATCATTCAATGGTAAATTTTACGCCAAAGAATGTTTCAAGAAGGTGGCCTTTCTGAAGCTGGGTTCGGACTAATTATCGAGGAAAATAATAGTTTTGACGTTTATTCTGCTGATGCTTTCATGATACATGGTAATGACCAACTACTTCAACTCATATTATCGGACGCACACTGAAAAGGTTAAACAAAACCTTACTATACTTGTCTAACCAAAGTATTATAATGCATGTTTTCTACTAATGTTGGTACATCAGGAAAAGAGGACCGATTGGTCTCGAATTATTAGACAACTAAGTTTCATTCCATATTGTAAAAGATATAAACGTGTATTCAAGCTTCTCATGTATTTATTCGAATCGTATTATCACTGTAATAGAAGTACTAGATTTATATATTTTACTAGTCCGACTAAGGTAACTCTGTACTGTACACGTTCTATAAAAATGTAACTGCTTCGTACTATTGCTATTGTTATTTATCTGTATCATCTTTTACTACTATTATGTCTTTTGCATGTATATGGTACTTTCTTGATATTCTACCTTCGCCGCGGTTGTACCGCGCACGCTCCGCGGTCAATACCATACACTGAATGACTTGCATGTACTGATTTCAACCCTGGACCAAACACTTAACCTAACCCTAATATTCTATGTCCTATATCCTTGAAATGATAAAGGAGAGTAGGCCTATTTGTTGTTGAATGTTTCATATTCATAATTGACTTTAAATTGATTTTTGCCAAAGCGTTTGAACAGATACAAGTGCAATAGCTGATGTTAATGAAATGATTATCGCTTATAATTTTGTGCAATGTTTGAAATTTGCTTTCCGTTAGTAAATTTTAATGAATGATTTAAAAATAGAGATTTTATATGATTTGCGGTTGTTTTGCCAACATATACGTCGAGCCAGATACATCAGTTTGGCCGCCTATTTAAAGCCTGATGTACATGGGGCGTCATTCCGACTGCGTTTAATTGCCTGCGCTATTCAAGCTTGTATTAAACAGCAATGTAACAGCAATACGCTGGTAACTCAATGGACTGTTTGAACTCTTAATCTTGCATTCACCCCTGGGCATTCACTTAGGTTACGATTTTTTTTTTATCTCACTCGGCACGTCAAAGGCAAAGCCAGTGGCCCGTTTAAAAAAACTTGTTATCTATACCAAAATCTAAATTTCTATGACAAATTTGCTCTCAGCCAATCAGAAGCCATGATTTCAGTAGCTTATAACAGTAGCTTGTAACTTGTTATTGATAACAAGTTTGCTCTCAGCCAATCAGAAGCCATGATTTCAGTAGCTTATAACAGTAGCTTGTAACTTGTTATTGATATCAAGTTTTATGAAACAGAGCCCTGTTACTGACGCAGTCCTACGTCAAAAAAAAGACGCCCCGTTTGCAGCAGACCTAAAAGACATTATCGAGAGAATAGCCTGATCTTTCTCCTCCGTACACGTTTTGCCGTTTCCTTTTACTATATTTTTGTTACCAACCAGGCGATTTCAAACATTTTACAACATTTCATTATTTCTTTGCCATCTGTAAAAGGAAATGACAAATTGGTGTCAGTGGTTCCGGTTTGTGGGATCAAATGTTAAAAATAAAGTCGTATTGTTTTGATTAGTAATGGATGCACGTCGTTTCAATTGATCCGAAAATGCTCATAAATGTCACTGTAATGTGAATTTGTGCAGGTATATAGTGGACTATTAATACATCTGCATAAAACGTGCAGCGTTTGTAATATGGAACGAACCTTTAAACAAACTGTTTTTCGTTTTCAAAATCCTACACCATTCTGAAATTTGAAGGTGCATAATTACATCATCGAAAGCTTTCAATATCATACACATTTTGTTAATTCATTCGTAAAGTTGATAACTGTTGAAATATATGATTAAATATGTATATATCGGTAATATGTATATCGTACTTTATAGTAAAATGTTACTAAAAAGATCAGTTCTATTTGGTAAGCAGTAGCTAGTGGTTGTTTATATATATATTGATGATTTTAATCGATTTTTATTACTGAAATATTGTTTTTGATTGTGCCTTGTCACCTTGCAGACTACGCTGTGTTTTTGTGAAACTCTTTTGATGCATTGTGGAAATAACTGTTCCTTGAATAGAGTATGAAATTAAAATATGAAATTGTTGGCTGGATATTATGAAAGCCCACTTGCAATTTGTTTTCAGTGTGTCTTTGTCGCGCTCTAAATTATTGCTATTTACATTTCACACTTTGAATTTAAGTTTCCTTCATTTAAGACAATAATTGCACAAAAGACGTTGTTAATAAGACCAACTATTAAATTTCTTTGTAAAGAAAGAAAAAGAAATATGTTATGACAACTTTATTCGTTGGAAATCTATCCGTTGGGGGGGGGGGGGTCCCTTTCTCCTAGAAATGTACTAGTAGAATAAATTCGAACTGAATGTGAGAGCATTTTATTTGAGATATTCAACGTACTGATCATAATGCATGATAACATCTATTACAAAATAATATAGTATGTTGCTGCCTAGAGATCTTTTCTCTCCAATCCCTTTATCCCTCCCACTCTCCATCACGAAATTTCTCACGTTATCCAAATAATCCAATTGAGGAGGGAAACGATATATTTTCGGGCGGTGATAAAGAGGGGCTTTCCCTTCGATTCACCGACACTGTAAGGCAAACATTATTCATCACATTATTGTTCGCTTGAGTAAAGAAATAGGAATCAAGTACATGGTGGTTAATAAATATGAACTAATTTGGGATAGTAAAGAGTGAATTGTCCGCAATTGCAGCATCAACTTTGATTAGGAAGAAAAGAAAAGACTAGAAAAGACATGAGCAGCTGATGGGGTTATTATTTGAAGGTTCAAGGAAAGGGGCTTTTATAGACATTGGCATCTAAGTACTTTGACTACCCTCTTCCCATCCCCATCCCCTCCCTCTCTTTCTCTCTCTCTCTCTCTCTCTCTTATCTCTTACCTAATTCATATAATGAACAATATTATTAAGTAAAAATACTTAACGTACATGACAATTAATTAATTTGGTACATGAAAATCAAAACCTATAAGGAGAAAACATATCTGTATAATTCAATAAGTGCTATACCTTTTCTCTAGTACAAGATTTCTTCTTATGTTTTTGTCATTTTTATTAATATTTTTTTGTTGTACAGACTGTATATTTAATTGACGGTTTCTGTAGGACCAATCGTGGAAGCCCAACCCTGGAAACCCAAAATAAGCATATTTTACTTTAGATACGGCAAGACAATAGACTTTTTCAAACATTCAGGGTTTTTTATCAAAGGGGGTACGCCATTCTTTTTTTTTCTCCCAAGATGTACGTGACAGTGGCAAGGTTGCCTTAACTCTGCCCATGCAGAATAGAGTCCGCTTGCTCCTCGTAATTCGTAAGGCTTTTGCATGGTGCCGCGATATTTATATCGATCCTGATAAATAGATATACATATAATCTTATTATATCGTCAGTTTTCAACTCCGCTGTATCTCATAATATAGGAGCCATCACAATATAATAGCGATAATCAACATTCCGCATAATTGGACGCAGCTTCTTTGGCTACAGTTTCCACGTAAGTAGCATAATACAAAGTTGTGAAAAGTGAGCTCATGCCGCTTCTTTTGACATCATGTTTTAAGTGATTTTGTGTAGGTAATGATTATGTAAATCATTTACACATTTTGTTTGTTAATGCATGAATTTGAAAATAATGCCTATTTATATGGTTCGCTTTGATGCAATGTTGATTTGATTATGGCTATACTGATTGGAACAGCAGTCTGGGCGAACTGATCAATAAAGAATAAATAATAAGGATTGTAGGATGTTTCGTCATGTCGAAGAAACATGTTCTCCGTATAGATCGAAGATAAAATGAAATTGTGTTTTACCGCGTATATGAAATTAGAAATAAAGTTAAATATTTCATCGCAAACCAAAGGCGGGGTTGGCCGGGGAGAGACGTCAGCCCCTGACAAAACTGCTCATAATACGCCTATATACGGATACAAGATAATTATGATATATCGTTGGCTCACTTCGAATCATCGAGTCATCGCGTCGGTTCGCGTTACCCGACCTTTTGTGAAAAATGCCCCCTTATTCATGAAATGTCGGGGCTATGTTTGTGAAATAAACCCCTCTCATCTACGAATGGTCTGGTCCAATTTACCCGACACTTTGCGAAGAAGAAAAAATCTTGCAAACCTACGAAAGGTCGCATGATCTACCGTTTTCGTTTACGAAAGGTCGTGTAAATCGAACACCCGACCTGACGCGATGACCCGAAGTATGCAACATAGTTTAACTTGTATCCATACAAGAGACTGTAATAAATTAGGAACTAAACAAAAAACATGCTTGAGATCTCAAAACATCTATAAAAATCTGTAAATAAGTGAGTAAATAAAAATAACACCATTTTAACTAAGTTTGATTCGAATCAATATCTACTAAATACAGGAGTTCAAAGGAAAGTCTTAGGCCTGATAATTACTGTAAATAATGTCTTCATCTGCTAAACATGTCTGTTCAGATTTCCCTAGCCTATTTCCTATTGTGTGTATGTTATTTTTTTTTTTCTTTCTCCCTAATTTTTGACTATGTAAATCATATAGAGTATCCATGTAATAGTATCAAGGTGTCTAGGCCTATTGGCAATAATCTAAGGGTCAGCTTTCAGTTTCCCTCTAAGAGCAAACAATAATACAGTATACAAAGGTTGTCACATTTACAGATGCACAATATTATTGGATCCGGTACGGTAGGACCTACATAATATCAGTGGTAAAAATGCTAGAGGTAAAAATATCAGAAACAAAAGTTTCGGAGGTAAAAATGTGGGAGGCATGAAGGAACAATTCTGTTGACATGTTTGCATTTTGATTTCCCGGTTCCTTGTCTTAAATCAACTAGTGCAGCTTTATGAAAGCCAATAATGCGTGGTTTGAAAATATATCGGGGAATCGGGGGTGGGATTCTATATAGGATATAGAGGCTTCTATTCCGAACTGGAGCGACCAAGAGGGTGTGCTGGAGTGTTAGTTCCAGCTTTTAAAGTAAAATCTTGAAACGGATTGATATACTCAGTGGGCCATCACTGGACCCACCGCCTTGATTACGTCTTTATCTGTAATCTTCTCAATTTGTCTTTTTACCCTCGTGTACGGATGCGTAATGAAGACAAAACATGTTTACTCTATGATTTTACAAAATAATCATATCTGTCATTTTTACAGGGCATTTTAACCATTTAAGCCTCCTTAAAACCAATTTAAGCCAGCTTCACATTTGAAAAAAAAAAGTATATATAAAGATCAACAAATATTAAGATCCCTATTTCACATTCGCCCCCATCGCCATTTTCAAAGTTTTCGACCCTATACTGCGCTACTGGCTATTGTGTGGAAGGGGCACAAACGATACGCGTCGCTTCATTTCAAAGACCGGTTTTCCGGGCAGAATGACATTCCGCTCCATACTACAATCCCGGAATACAATACAGTCATGATGGAATGGTTGATCACGCGTTATGTTTATGCTTGCAAAATTCATGGAAAAATCATGTTGAATATTTAAAAAACATCATTCTTGTTTACGTTAAAAAAACATGTCGAAAGATTTGGAGGGTGATTGACTCAACACTGCATGTAGCATAACAACATGATCCTCTGATACATCATAGTATACATCAGTATTCACTTCCTATGAATTCTACATTATAGAACAATTAGGACTACCCTACTAATTTTTCAATTTCAATTTATTTTCCATCTTTAAAAAAAGAACAAATATAACATAGTATTGACACATTGTATTAGAATAACAATATAAACATAAACATGGAGGGATACCCTTAATAAGCAGGTTGCTTGTAGGCAGGGCCCCTGGTATACAATATAAAATGTATAACTTGGTTAGAGAAATATCTAAACATATTTTGAGAAAATTATAAAACAGCAAATTAAATATAAATTAGGAAAATGTGATCATCTTAACAGCTACTATAAATAGACAGATACAGGTACACGTCCATACACAGACATAAGAACACCCTAGCATACACACACTAGTATGTGGAATACCAGGAAAAGCACCTTCACATCATGGTGCATGCAGTAAATTAATATCCAAGGTACTTAATCTTGGATTGATTTTGTTTAAAGTCGACTGTGCAAAATTCAGAGAGAGTTCAGTTGATCAAGTGAGCTTATCAACTTCTTCATTGGTTTACTTCCTGTTGTCTTGACTGCTGCAAACACTTTCCCATCTATTGTCCATGCAGTCTCTACTTGCTTTGATCTGCGAGTAATTCATTAGTAATTGAAAGTTCCTTTTTGTGAGATCTTCCACAATCATAAATCTTGACTCTTTGAGTTGTGACTTCGTACTCATTATGATCCGCCTATGGCGATAAGAAGATAGTTTGACTAGTATCGGTCGGGGCCTATACGCGGACTGGTGTAGATTCCTGGCTTGGGACGACCCTCTGTCATACATCTTACGAGTTGATGGTGTAGAATCATCTGGAGGAGCATAAGCTGGAGCACTTGAAGAACGTGGTTTTTCCAATCCGGTGGGATCTGTCGATGTTGGCGGGGGACAAGTTAATGCCAAGGGATTTGGTTACTAGGTCAATAGCGAGTTGATCAGTGTTTTCATTTGGCATCTCAGGTAAGGTTTAGCCTCTTCATCTCTGTGGATTTTACCTTTTTGGTACAAATGACCTTTATCTGCTCATGCTCAGACTGCAACCGTAAACTGGCTTATTTTGGGGAGCCTGAACCACACCCATTTTTGTGTATGAGATGCTTTTTATTGCATTTAATTCGACAATCATTTGAAACTTTTAAATTTTGGAGTTCATTACTTTATCAGGCCTATTTGATCAAACATTCTCTTGATATTTCATGAAAATGTCAAAAATAATAACAACAACAACAACAATAGAAGATAGTATGTCAGCTGTCATATCCCATATCACGTTTGACAAGCGCTAGAGTAAAAACTCCATGTACATGTGGCTTGTCGTAGTACGTTTTATTATTGTTTATTAATTTGTTGAGAGCACCGGGCTGTAAAGAAGTTGCTAGACTTTGATGTAAGTTTGTAGTTTAATTAGTACTAGTCACGAAATAAACAGACAATGATCGTTTACAGAATGTGTTAATCAGTCATAAAGCTGAAGTCCGGATAATATTACTAGAATTTTTCGTGATATTTTGTTGATTTTAGTAATCCGATTATTGCACGTCGCGTCAATACGATTATCACTTTACATTACGTGGAAGTGAACGAATGGGACACTGTGAAGAGTAAAGTTTCCAGCATCCGCTTTTGTGCCCTCATATTCAAATAGAATGAAATTTCGATGTAGGAGATTGAGGTTTTACTATTCTATTCTGTCTGTTTGGCTGTACAGGAAAGTGTGTTTTTGTCTCACCAATCCAACATTTTTATTCTGAATGGAATATTCCATCATCCAAAAATAGCAGATGAGTCATAGTTGATGGAAATTACCAAATAATGTTCTGCATCTGCATGCATGTGCATGCATCAGAATTTAGCCTATATACTTGGATGCATGCTTAGTTCAGCTGCTCAGCATTTATATTTGAGTACTAGATCTGTTTGACATCTACTTGCTGTTCCATACAAGTTAAACTGAAGTAGAAGAATTTTGACTTGTGTACATGATCTACATCCATGGCATTGGTGAACTACTAAATTTTTCCACAGCTCTTCAAATTTCAAAACACTTCACTGTTAGGTAGTGTATCATGTCTGCATGGTTGTAAAGAATTCTGCAACATGGTCAGAAGTTAATATTCTTCACTAAAAAACAAAAGGGTCTTCTTACTGAAGAAGCCATTCTGGAGATAAAGGGCCAGTGGGTATCAACTATTGTTTGACATGCAGAACATTTTAAAGTGTCTATGTCTATTGTCTTTTTTCTTCATCCCAGGCATCCAGGGTATGGAAAAAAGGCTGAGTTGGATTGTACATGTGTGGCCATCCATGTACAATCCAACTCAGCCTTTTTAGCATACCCTGGATAGTGGATATCCCTTTCGCATCTTGTATCTTGTATTAAATACATGTAAATCTATTGAATGTATTAATTATTCAATAGAATTATGTACCTGTTTCCCTGTGTTCATTTTTATTAAAAATTTTCCCCCATTCTATTTGATGTAGGCAGACATTTTAGATTAGGTGGCAGCGCTCACAGCTGACCTCAGCTTCTCTGCAGTCTTTCTTGGCTAAGGAATAACTAATCAGTCTTGATTGGGCCAGGCTTTATAGCGGCAACAACAGGACACCAGAGACAGAAAATGGCTAACGTTGGAGATTACGACTTCAGGCTGATGGACCCCGAACAGAGTATTCCCGCCACGAAGGTGGAGTTAACAGTCTCTGGAAGGTAAATACAAGATTATGATTTTATTTTGGAGTAGGTATAGGAAGAGATAGGAATATACATGTACATTGTAATGCAATGATTGGTTATAGAGAATTACTCAGCATATTTAAGGATGTTCCACAGTAATGTTCATGTGCACCTTGATTGCAAATCAGGACACAAGAGACAGAAAATGGCTAACGTCAGAGATTTAGACTTCAGGATGATGGATCCCGAACAAAGTCAGGACATGAGACAGAATCAAGTTATGTATTCACCATGCACAATGCTTGGAGTTCCTGGTATTGTGCATTGTAAATACATGATCAGCTGGCTCTGCACAGCTAAGGCAAGGTGTGCACAAATATTACTGCAAACGTTCTTTAGAAATCCACCAGATTTTTGATGTAGGCTATTTTGTAACAATCGTATTAATAACATTTTTGAGCCCTTATTCACACAGAAATATTAGGCCTTTATCCATTTTGTGCATGGGGTTAGATTTAATTTTGATTGAGGATTACATGTATATCGGTAAAAATTAATGTTATTTAATGCAAACTTGACTCGAGGGAAATATACAATGAACGTGTTAACCTCTTTTAACTTTCAAGTTTTATTTACTTGTTTACGATTGCCAGATTTCTTGACTTTGTGTTAATCATTGAATTCAATTTATACAAATCACTCATGCATGTACACGTGCATGATTGCAGAGTTTGCCAAAATAAAAAATACATATGAATGCCTGATACCAAGGCTCTTCTACTACTAATGATAAAATAGTGTGTGGCAAAAATAGTCAACTGTGACTGATTGCCAAACAAAATCAAATCAAGAAGAAGAAGAAGAATAAACACTTCCATGATTTAGAGATAATGAAACATAGGGGCAGTCAAACGAAACTAATAATAAACAATTAAACATGGACATTAATGAATTTTACTAGATTGAAATGTGAATTGTTGACTCAATGTAATGAGTAATTATAATATCATGCTTGTTGATGTATGTATGACCGACCCCTCAAATTTCATCTCTCTCTACATTGTTTGCACCAAATTTGCTTGCATGTTTTCATTTAGAAACGATTATAAATATAATTTCCATTTCATGAAAGTAAAAGGTTTTGGTCAAACTACAGATTGTCATAGAAGATTATGATAGAAATAGAAAGTTACATGATTTGGAGAGTTGGGATCCAGTGTTATTCTTTACCCTCCAAAATTTGCACACTTCATTAAACTCTAAAGAAATTTGTCTTCTATTGCTATCATACTTATTTAAAACTAAAATAATTGAAAACATGTCATGGAGTTCTAAGTGAATTTATGAATTCATTAAACATTAATATTTTAATAAAAGTAATTGAATACATTTCATCATGTAGAAACAATCATCTTAAATTTCTGTAGTTCTCCTTCAGGGTCCATTAGACACCTTTACCTCAATAACCTTGTTTGATTTTGTGAGAAACCTTAATTCATTTGTTCGTGACAGGAATATTCTTGACCTTGATGTAATCACCGTATCTGACCCTGGTAAGAAGCTATGATACCCTACTAAACATCATAGTCTATTTTCTGACTTTGGAAGATATTTAAACTTCTTGGGGAAAATGCCCTTATCTTTTGATTTGAAGTTATGTTGCTTAATTAAATATTGCCTTGCATTTCATGCAATTTATCAAAATGTTATCCTCATGCGACTTGTCTTGTCCAAAATTGTGATATGACAGGAACTATTATCCCTAATGAGAGTAAAATGATATTCTTCTGAAGTTTGGAAGTAGGCTATGATGAATATATGTGTGTCCACTTAGTATTCATCTGCATTGAACATGGTTGTTGATCCACTATCATTGCCATCTTACGTTTTTCTTTTTTGCCCCACACACTTACATTCGTGTATGTCAACAAGATTTAATTTTGATTAACTCCATTTTAATTATTCCTTCATTTTCCACTGCAAAGTGTAATAATACCATATCATAAATTCATTCATTCAGTCATTTCATATTTGCTGGCATTCCTGCAATTATGTCGGAGTGAACATTTTAGTTTCATTCTCTCACTTGTTGACCTTTTAAGGTGAAAGAAAATTGCATCGAGGATGGAGTAGAAAAATAGTGAATCAGCAATCATGATAATAATCCTTTGGTCCTATCTGAGCCATGTGTTGCAGGTGCTAATAAAGATCATGTTACTAAGTACTCATGGTCAAACCAACTTAAAGATATCTACTTTTTCTCTTCTTTCTCTCTCATATTTTATTGTTGTCTTTCAGAAAACTTCTGGATATGGACGTTTTTTCCAAAAGTGACCCGAGTAAGAAAAATATACATGTACTTATGGAATAGTTCATTTATATTTTAAAATGTACAAAAATGTAGAAATTGTTGTTTACTGAAGAATTTTTCATTTCATATTTATAAATCACACCTATTTATATAAGCAGGACGTGTGCCTTTCAAAGTGGACTTGCATTCTGTTCACATGCATTGAGGAAAAAAAATCTAGCAATCTATATCTATAACAATCTAAATCTAGAATTGGAAAATTATTTTAAACCATAGGACCAAGATAAATAGTGTTTATTTGCAAAGATAAAAAAGCAAATTCTTGAAACTAGCTTCATAAACTTAGGAAGCAGATACATGTATGTGGTTTAAAAGGCATGGTTTAAAAGGCGTGGTTTAAAAGGCGTGGTTTAAAAGGCATGGTTGATACAAATTTTATGTTAAAGCTAATCTTGAGCTCTGGTATGGGAATCGTATTTAGAGAGCAAATTGCTATGATTTATTCTGGATTGTTTATCCTGCAGTAGATTTGTTGTTTGCACCAGTGAAATAAAAACAAACACACAATAACTTACTGTGCATCATCTTCAATAAAAACACAACTCCCATGCACATGGTGACCTGTATTGAGCACATGGAGTCGGTGCCTTCTTACCCGGATTCCGTTATCTTTCTATGCTTAAAACTTAGCCCCTATACAATTTCTACCAAAAGTGTTTGGCACATGTCATTTATTTGTAATCTTGAACATTCAGTGTAAGTTTAGTTGGATTCTGTGAGGGTTTATTTTCTACATTTACCAGAACTCAAGTTTATCTTTAAGCGAGGAATTACTAACATTAATATCATTGTTGGACTTGCATGCATTAATGCTTGCATCAGATAGCTTTTCTTTTTACCTTGTTTGTGTTGTAAAGGTAATTTTAATGATTTTCATGATATAATTTTGATATTGTGAATGAACCAAAATGGGTCCAAAATAGTCTTGGCAGCAAAAATAGCCTGTTGATCTGAAAATGTTTAAATTACATGTAGAGTTCAGAATAGCTAACATGATGTAATTAGTCATGACAAAACATGTACCCGGTATTAAATGTTTGTGAAAGTCCTGATCCTCTGTTTATGATATACTCCTCCAAAGTATAAAAGTTACATTTTTATGACACTTTGGACTTTGGCAATAATAGTGAAGTTAAAATATAAAATCTGAACAAACAGGGATATTTATATGTAATGCTCGCTCACAAATAAATCAGAAGAAAACAAAATTAAGATTTCATTGTACTGGTAAGCCTTTCATCTCTTACAATATTTATCCCTTACAGCATTTTAAACCATGTAAATTGATAAAATAATATTTTTTTTTGAAAAAGAAAAGTTTGTCTTTCTACTTGAAATTCAAATGGGTTCACAGATAGATATCAAGATCAACAATTTGAAAAGCTTCTATAATTGAAATGTGATAAAATAATGGTTGTAAAGTTGGTGACCCCCTAAATGCTTAGATAACAAGATAGCATATATTTAACAAATACTTAATAAATTCAAATGTCTGGCATAGGAGATTGTAAAATATCAACTCAGTTACACTGTATATTAAGCTTTACAGTACTAACTTTTCCCAAAACTAATTTTATGTGAAGTTGAAGGGAATTTTGTTAAATAATTTTTGAATTCAAAGAAACATGTTGCACATTGTGTTTCATAAAATTCCCTATAATTCAGAGCCAGTCATCAATGCTTTGGTTGTTTGTAATTTCACACAAATTCGTTATCGGACTTTGAGTTGCGTGCCTTTTTATCTCGAGTAAACATGTGTGTAAGATGAATGTACATAACAATCATATTTTTTATGGTTTATTATATGTTTGTATGCTTTTATTACTTCCCACAGTTTTGTATTGCTTTAAAAGTTTATGGGGAACTTTTGTCAATGGGTTAAGGAAATGCATAGTCTTTACATATTTTTTGGAGAAGAATATAGTATCAAGGCCCAAAATTACAGTTGCCCACATGCTATTAATTAACTCTTATCCTGCCAGGCAAGCTTAAATGTAAAGCTATCTCCTTATGGTCAAGGATTGCAACTTAAAATTTTACCAAGAATTGTGATATATTTTTTTGATGATTTTGTGCAATGCACAGCAAAGTAGCACCATCAAAAGTACTGAATTTCTGATTTTTTAAAGAATAGCTACAATGTAGATTTCCTCAACAGCAAAAAGGCCATTCACATATTTACATTGTAGGCTACCTACATTCTTGAAAGGCATCTGGCACTGTGGCAGTCAATCAAAATTGAAAGCAAGTACAATCTATAGGAAACTAGTGAATAGAGTTTTCTAGAATTGCAAGGAGTGAATCGAGTCCATATAGAAATGTACATGTATGTAATGCACAACAATATTTAAAGAAGCTTGTAAAATGGCCAATAATTAGACCAAGCCTGTATAACCATGAAGATTTTAAAGCCACTGTATATAGATTTCCTCTAAAGAGAAAATATATTCACAATATGAACTTGTATTTTTAAAAAACACCTCCATGCGTAGCATTTGTTTCATTCAAAGCTGACCAGTCACTCAAAATATTATTCTCTTGTAAGGAGTTTCATTCCATAATACTACATTGTACCATGCGTATTGAAAAAAGGATACCCAACTTTGGTAGATTTTCATAGGAATATTATAACTTGTGAGACCTTTAGATATATTTCCTTTAAATAGTAACCAATATTGTCCAATGATACCTAATTCATAACTCAGCTTTCATGGATGACTGGGCAGCAGCCTTTTTAAAAAGTGTTGTCAAAATCCTCTTGTACCAATTTTGTAATATATAGATATATAATAGATTTATAATATACTTGTGCAATGTTCCAGACAAATAATTGAAAGATGGTAGTTATCTGATCAACCCACCCTCCCCCTCCTCCTCCCCCCCCCCCCCCCCTCCACTGAAAAAAGACAAGCCTATTCATTCATGGTTTTATAACAGCATGACTGCTTAATTCATCAAATTTCTTCTACCTCCTTTCTACCTATATTTCTGTAGATCCTGACTTTTCATGTGGTTTGTACAATTCCTATTCTATGGTTATGCAACAGTACTTTGGTGAATGATGAAAAACAAACTGAATTATTGTTAATATTTAAATTTCATTCACTGCTGCCTGATAATGCATGACTTTGAGGAATGCATATTGTGCGATACACATGGAGAAGGGGAAAAAAAATTGTCTCATGTTTTTGTTACATTGGAATAAAAACCAAGAGTATCCCAGAAAGTACAAAGAAGAAAGGTTCCCCTCTTTGTGACGTTATGTCAAGAACTTTGGTTTCCAAATTGCCCCCCCCCCCCCCCTCCCCCGTTCCCCCAAGAGACAACCAAACACGAAACAAGCAGTATAATATAAAAATCCTAAGTCTAAATTCATCTCTTTTCCATGTTAAATTCTTACAGAGACACTGATTACAATATCTACAATAAAATTTGATTTGGAAAGTAAATCTAAAAATAATCTAGTGAAGTTCTAGGAGTGCGGCTAAAGGGATACACATTTCCTCTTGCTTCTGAGCATGATTTTTTTGTGTTCATATCTAGATTCATTCATCCTTTAATTTCTATCTTTTCTTTATTAACACCACTTTGCCCATTGACATTCTTTCATTTCATCATGTATTATTTCATACTAATTTGCATCAAGTCTACCCTGCACTTGTTCGTATGTTTCAGAGCATTTTGTTGTTTTTTGTTGTTGTTGTTCTTGAAAGTTTTAGACCCCAAGATTGGAATGATTATGTCTTTTTTATAAACATCTTTGTAATCTCTAAATAAATTCAATTCAATTCAATTAAAATAATTTTATTTCCAAAACCAATCAAAACATGCAAATTCTTTTCTGTTCTAGGAGAAAATATATGACCAATCCTCGCTGTCGCAAAGTACCCCCAAAAAGTACAGATGCATGACCGGAAGCGACTGAGTCACCAAGCTATCCCAGAGTGCATTAGAAATGGGGGCATGAAATTAACATCCGGGCAATTGGGGGTATTGGCGATAGCGAGAATTGATTACCGTATTCATCCTGTGAACATTACTTGATTTTAAGAAAAATTGCTGAATGTGGATTCAAGGTTTGAATTGGTATTGCTATTTGAAGTACCTGTTAATCCTTCAGATAAGGCTACTTCCCTCTCCCCCCCCCCCCCCTAAAAAAAGGGTATATTATTCAGATTGTGATTATGGGAATATGCCTCCTTAGCATTTAGTTTATCAGCTAAATAGACCATTGTGAGTAGGAGTGCTTCAATAGACAACAAACTTTTAACCCCCTTTTCAGTTTGGCCATGTTTCTTTTGTATTTAGATTTTAGAGATTATGGTTCTGTTTCTCTTGCATGCCCGCTGTTATGGTTGTCTCCATAGTTTATAGTAATTAGCATTGATTCCAAAAGAGGTGATTCTAAGCTGTTTGAAATTATATCTAACTCATCACATTTGGATGTTCCTAACCAATTGGAAAAGGAGTATAATGTCCTGTCCTTGATAATATTAAATACTTAAAAGAAAAGGGGGTTTAAAAGGTTGTTGTCTATTGAAGCCCTCCTACTCTCAAGCTATTATGCAAGGTGACAAAAGAAAAATTAGAACTATATAGAAATTTCTGTGAAGGGATAAACCCATGATCAGAAAAAACATAGGTCTTCAAAACACTGCCAAAATAACAATTTTTGATTGTTTAGTGTTTCCAAATGTTGAATTACATACCGGTAAGGAAAAAGAATACATTACTACTCTTTTAGGATATGCTCAAAATAACAAATGAATTTCATGACCAAATACCCTTTTTAATGAGCTCTAATTGAAAATCATAGCATGGGAGTTTTTTTGGTGCCTGGTCACATTCGATATAGTTCAGTAATCATAACGATACCTCTGTGATTGAGATAAAGTGATTAACCAGTCTACAATCTCTTTGTTTTTTAACAGTTTGTGTCCTCTTCGTGAAAGCACTCGGCTCAAACGAGTACAGAGAAGTAAGTTAACCTTACATTTCATTTGACAAATCAAAGCTATGAATGTGTGCTCTGTACAAAACATGAAATACATGTATCTGTTTTGTATTGGATTTTTGGATTTTTGGATTTTTATCAGACCATCATGGCTTTTCCAGCATCCCTAATCTGACTAAAATGAAAGCAACAAAAAAATAAATGTCTTTATCATTTTCCCACCCCATGTACATGCATGTCATTCACATCAGAGATGCAAATTTCCTACGTACATGATTAATTATACAATATTTTCTTAATTGGAGAAGTTTTAAAGCAGCTCAATGTTGAATCATGAATATTACCGTAAGGATATAAGGATTATGATTTGACAATCTTTCAAAATATCATCATAGAATTTCAATATCAATCAGATATAATTGTATAATTGTATTCGCTTATTTTCTCACTGAATAGCATGGACGCACAGAAGCTATCATGAATACACTGAATCCTGACTTTGTCAAGAAGTTCACCATGGATTATTTCTTTGAAGAGGTGCAGAACTTGAAGTTTGAACTGTGAGTAAAGTTATCAACTGCTCTCCTTCGTGTCAACGGGGAAAATTTATGGAACCTTTGAACTTGGTTAAGTGCATGACATATAGATAGACCATTGAAAGCGAAAGTTGACACTAGTGTCAGAAGTATGAAAATAACTGTATAGGGAGGCAAGCATAGTTTCCCAGACTAATGTCTACGTTTTACATTTGTCGAGCCCATTAACAAAAGAAGCTTTCCAAAAATCTACCTGTCTAACTGCATTGGGTATGTAGTGTTACTCAACTCTGAACTTCATAGCAGTGACATTCATACATAAAAGCAATTTCTAGGAGGATATTTTATAGTTTAGCTTGATATGATCATTAATGGAAAAATGTCTGAAGAAATGCAGACCAAAAAGCATAGTTGTATAGAGAAAATGTTAAATTTTTTAATTTGCATTGCTTCTTATTCACCTTTCATACCACATATGTGATCATTAATGATTTTTTTGTTGTTGGAGGAGCTTGTTCTAAAATTGCAAGAAAAAGAAAAAAAGTAATACTTAATCTGTGAACAAAGATACTGGGTATTTTTGTTATGCCTACTTCCAATATTTGTTGTCTTATGAAAATGATGATAATTATGAATAATGAGTATAGATCAATAAAGTGTTTATATCTACAATTGATAATTAATATAAAATGTTGGTCTTTAATACAGACATCTCATGTCATGCTAACCACAAGCGTACTTCCATTAGAGAGACATAATACATTCTTTATAGATACCCATTTTGTTTATGCACCTGCACTACATGCACCAATTCAATATAGACATGAAATAGAGAACTACATTGTATTCAGACATATGTGTCACGGATGAGTTGTGTTTTGTCTGCAGAGAATCTTTCCATTTGACTGCATTTGATTATTTTATTTCCCCTGCTTTGTTGGTTCGATACTGAAACTCTGGGAATCAAATCGTGCAAGAATTGCTCCACAACCCCCTCCCTCCCCCCCCCCCCTCTTCTCTCTCTCTCTCTCTCTCTCTCTCTCTCTCTCTCTCTCTCTCTCTCTCTCCTTTCTTCCTCTTGGAATGGAAGGTTTCTACCTTATACCTGTGCCTTCTACTTCTTTTGAAGTTAATTTTCCATGTCTTTTCAATTTGTTTTATCTTTAATACAAGCTGTGTTTACTGTCTGCTGCTGACATGTTTAGTGTATATCTCTATATAGTCTCTATCTCTCTCATACTCTCTTACAACTTTACCAATGTGATTCTTACTCTTTCTCCATCTCTAGGTTATATTATAATTTCTTTTGTATCTTCTTAATCATTTTGTTGTTCTCTCTCTCCTCTCTCTCTCTCTCTCTCTCTCTCTCTCTTATAATTTATTTAACATACAAATGGTTCATTTAACATTTTGTTTACAGGTATGATATTGACTCAAAAGCCCATGACCTAAAAAAGCATGTAAGTATAACAAATTCTCAGATTTTCATGATAAAACATTAGAAACGTAGGAAGGAAATTATCTCATTTTTTGAATACTCTTATCAGATGAATTTTTATATTCAAATTGCTGTTCATGTAAGACACCTAAATCACTCTTTTTTTTTCATCATTCCCTCAATTTTTGGCACGTTGGTCTGAATCTCGCGACTGCTAATGGCTGACTTCTTGTTGTAATTCAGCGGGAAGATGGCAATCTCTTGTTGAAATGTTCATGCATGTTATCCTTTCATTAAATGCTTTTTAAAGATTCTTTAAAGGCTTTGTGGAAGGCATTTTGATATTCAAGATACATTAAATGCTGTCACTTGATTTTAGGGTTTTAATTTTGTAACATTGTGTGCAAAAATAATAGTAACAATTATAGCCTAAAATCAAATCTATATCACTAATAGGAGGTGAATGAATTTCTTTTTTGACAGGACTTTTTGGGAAAGATGGAGTGCACGATGGGTGAGATCATGGGAAGCGGTGGAAAACTCAGTAAACCTCTCAAGTAAGTTATATTAATTATGATATGACTATGAGATGGAAGGTGTACGTGTGCGCATTATTTTTAAATCCTTACCAGTTTCCGAATTCAACCCTGGACGAAACATTATACATAACCCTTACCCCAAACCTAACCTTTAACCCTATAGCAACCAAAATACTAATGACTGCTACATCTTTGACAAATTCATGGATGGAGCAAATAGCAACTGAGCAAATTTCAGATCACCATATGTATTCATATCATCTTCACTGCATACTCTTTTGGAAAAACATGTGCAGAATACAGAGTGCAGAATTAAGGCAGCTGAGAGCTTGGGCAAGCAACAAGTCCTTAACTCCGAGGCACTTTGGACTATGGTCTTGCCCTCACTGCCCGAGAAAACAACCCTGATTGATAAAATGATGAAAATGGTCATCTTCTTTTAAAAAGGACAAACAGCTCATACATGTGTAGTTCTTATCTTTCTCTCTTGAGATTTTTGAAAATAGTGAGACGCAAAATGGCATTAACACATTCTTACAATAATAATAATAATAAGGGTCATTTTAACTGAGCTATACACTAAGAAGTACCATAGCACTTACAATATTAAAAAACGTAGGAAAAAGCCACAAAAATACTAGCTCTGTGTAAAAAGATGAGTTTTCAGCTCCTTTTTTAAAATAAATACTGACATATTTTCTATTTTTCAAATTGAGTATAGTACTTGAAGTAAAGTTTACATCCTTCTGGCTTTCAACAGACAATATCTTTAAATTATTATCTTTTCTCTTCTTTTGTTTCTTGCAGAGGCCCAAGAAAGGACTGTGGAAAGATCATCATCAGAGGAGAGGAGATGAGTCAATGCAGGGTAAGAATATCAAAATCATTCGAGTGTGGCAGGTCTTGACACCCATTATTTGTTGGGTCTCTGTCTTGAAACTCAAGGTCATGGTCTCAAATGGTGTCGAGAAATGTGCTCGTGACCCTTCGAGACCGGACTAAAAAACTTCATAAACACTTGAAAGCTTTGTAAGAGCGGGTGCTTCATATTACATATATAATGTACAGTCTAACCTGCTTTAGTGACCACCTGTCTACAAAGACCACATTTTTTGTTTCCCTTGAAAGTGGTTTCTCATTGAAACATGTACTAAAGGAACCTGTCTACAAAGCCCACTTGTCTTTAAAGACCACTTTTTGTGTTTCCCTTGGGTGGTTGCTATAGACAGGTTTGACTGTATATAAAATTCACCTTGTGTGTCTGACCATGTGAGGGTGTGGGCATCTGAGTGTGTGCGACTGGTGAGGTCAAGTGTCAGTTGCATCAGGTATACTTCTGTTGCTACATATTCATTTCAAACAAACTATCCTCGATCACAACTTAATCTTAATAACTTCTCGGTCTTGGTCTTGGAAAGGAAAGGAAAGTCTCTCTCTCTCGGTCTCGGACCTTGAGGTCTCGACTATAACACTGATGAAAATCATATTGACTACCAAAGGTGATGTTGAGTTCTAGTCTTGATTGACATTAAATTCTCACAAAATCAAACAATATTTACACTGTATGGTCATGACTAAAAGTATAGAACAGGAAGAAGAAAAGGTCAAACAATTCAGTTGTAGATTATTATGGTACACTGTAATTTATATAAACCTGCTTTGAACCCCAAGAGGTCAGCAGAACTTGTATGATTATTGTCATTGTGCATGTTCAAATTTGCATATTGCTTTAGTTTTCCATAAAATAAAGACATTGTTTCAAGAGCAAGGAGCAAATGAAGTTAGAAAAATAAGCTGTAATCTATAGTCCCAAACAACACTGAACAGGCATAGTTCATGGACGCTGAGTGAGTCATGCATGTCATGCTTTTCAGTGAATGTGATTTCCTACGTGATAATCGGTTCAGAATCTTTACAAGCACTATTTATTAGCTTAACAATGTTTGTTGCTTTCCACTGCCTCTCCACACAATGAATATCAGAAGCGGATCTAGAGGGGGGGTTGGGGGGGTTGCAACCCCCCCAAAAAAAAATCCGGGGACCATTTTTTAAAATCTTATCTTTTTTTTTAAACTTGTAATTTTATTTTATTCTATTTCTATGTATTTATTGCATTTATTATTATTATTATTATTATTATTATTATTATTATTATTATTATTATTATTATTATTATTATTATTATTTCTTTTGGGGGGGGGGGGGGGGGGGGGTTGGGCGAACAAATGTCACAGAGTCCCTTGCCCCCCCCCCATCAGCTTTTTTGAGGACACGGGCCACCGCCGAAGTGACAAGCTAGGCCAGCGTTGCCGATTCTCATCCCCAAAATCCCCACATTAAAAAAAAAAAAAAATTGGGGGATTGTTGAAGTCTTTGGGGATGAAAAATAAATATTTGGGAATGAAAATAATATTGAGTTTTATGAAAAACGAATTTGGGGATTTTCTGTCAAAATTTGGCAACTTTGGGGATATTTTAAGTGTCGTTTGGGTGGGGATTTTGTGAAGATTTAACCTGGCAACGCACGCTGAGCTGGGCTGCTCATTTCCTGGATTACTTGTTCAAGTTGCTCACTTTTTTATCAGTCTGGTCTGAGTGTAGTGACAAGCAATATGGAAGCAAACAGGGCAAAGAAGTTGCGGCAATCCAGTCTCGCATCTTTTTTTACTGGAAGGTATGTTTGAATCATGCAAAAAAGTTGGCATACAGGGTAAATTACCATACATGGGGGTGTAATACGGACGTGTTCATGCACTGCTTTTTATGGTCTCCATTGTGTTAATAGATGCCAGGAAACATCACTTACGGGGTTCAAATAAACCCCCCCAAAAAAATCGGCTCGCCGCTTTGCGGCTCGTGGACGATGCTCTGCATCGTCATTATTGGTCAACCCCCCCTTAGCAAAAAGCTAGATCCGCCCCTGAATATCATTTTGAAGCTTTAATCATACAGGCTGCCAATATTCTGCATTCAAAGATATCTAGGATTTCTTTGTTTACTTTAATAAGGAAAGTACACAATCTCTATTTGCATAGTCATGCCAAATACTAGCCCTTGACCAAATAATAGAATGAATGCCAGAATATGCAATTGATAAGCTCTTATTCATGCATAAAGTAGGTCATAAAAATAGAGACTATCATTTTATCTTTTCACTTCAGATGAATTTTTAAGAGTTAGTCCATGTTTTAAAGAAAATGTTCCATTATCCCTCAATGATGTATTAAAATCTGCACAGTATCAATCATCCAGATTCACCCAGGTGGGGGATTCATGTTTGATTTGAGAACGCCCAGATCTTTGGCGTGTTTGATACAACATGGCTAGAAATAGATAATATCAGATTTAACTCAGACTCAGCGAATGTGATATTAGTTCGAGTTATACTTGACAAATTCCTGTAGCCATGATTTCATACTGATTTTTTGTTTCTTCTTCTTCTTCTTTTTTTTGTGTGATTTATTTCATATTTTTTGTATTTCTTGTTTTTCCCCCTTCACCTTTAAATCAAAGAACTGGCACATAGTGGATATTCTTTCAGACATGTTCATATGTCAGGGACTCCCTGTTTTCGTTGTTGTTGTTGTTTTGTTTGTTTTACTGTATTTTCTATAGTAAGTCAGACATGATGTCACTGGTCATCAGAGTTCATTCTATGTTTTGTTTTATTCTACAGGACATGATGACATTACACTTCAAAGGAGAGCATCTAGACAAGAAAGATATGTTTGGAAAGTCTGACCCATTCCTGCTCTTCTATCGATCCAATGAGGACGGAAGGTAAGCTCATTTACAGCTTTGGAAAATAAAAGGATTATTAAACAGTTCTTTGTAAATAGCTGAGGACTAATATGATAGGTCTTAAGACCTAGATTAAACGATCCCGGGCAAATCCAAGGTATTTGGTCATTTGGTTTCACCTACGTTACAAATATTGTGGAGTGATGAGCGTAACTTGACATTAAAGATATCATTTTACTTTGTTTGGTCACTTCTGGGCTCTTGTGTCCAACCATGTATTTTGTGCTTTTCATGGTTTGTAATTTTAGTCAACTTGATAACATTTTGATGATCCCGAAATCCTTTCTGAATACAAGTTTAACTTTTCAATACATAAGCAACCATTTAAGGTAATTTCTATACATTTATATTCCCTATATCATTGTCAAACTATCAGTCAACTTCACCTTTATAGATAAAGACCAGTTATGGTCATGCGATTGCATTGTGAAAGAAACGTTGTGGGATCGATCTGAGAAGGTTGATCATCTAGCATATAAGTATTGGGGTGTACTGCAAGGTTCTGGAATCATCAAAATGATAAGAAATTTGGCCCAGTCTTCGTAAAGTTACAAGCACTGTACACAGAAAGATGTATATGGGACTACGCACACGTGTGCGACACGTGCGTTTATCTCTCACATCCCAATAGATAAACTAATTTACCAAATAAAATCAATTAGTAGGCGGTTTCCCGGCAAATTTGTTATCATCATGTATTAGTCAAAACATATTCTTTCACATGATTGGTAATAAGAGTTTCCCTTTCATTTTTTGAAATTGAGGCATTTCCAATACTGATCTTTACATTTAAACACAAATTCCAATTCGCTCTCTTGTATTTTTCCATTACAGTTTCACCGTCTGTCACAAGACTGAAGTGATCAAGAAGACGCTAGACCCCGTCTGGAAGCCATTCAATGTCATGCTTAGATCCTTCTGCAATGGAGACTATGATAGGCCACTCAAGGTGGAGTGCTATGATTGGGATAGGGACGGAGGGTAAGACTAGTATTATTATGTTCACATCTATTATGGTCAAAACTGCTTTAGTGACCACCTGTATAGAAAGACCACCTGTCTATGTATTTTTTGTTTCTCTTGAAAATGGTTTCACATTAAAGGTAAAGACCAGTTATGGTCATGCGATTGCATTTTGAAAGAAACGTTGTGGAATCGATCAGAAAAGGTTGATCATCTAGCATCTAGCATCTGCAAGGTTCTGGAATCATCAAAATGATAAGAAATTTTGCCCATTCTTCGTAAAGTTACAAGCACTATACACAGAAAGATGTATATGGGACTACCCTATATCTCTCACAGACCATGAGAGAAACAAATTTACCAAATATATGAATTAGTAGGCGGTTTCCCGGCAAATTTGTTATCATCATGTATTAGTCAAAACATATTCTTTCACATGATTGGTAATGAGAGCTTCCATTTCATTTTTTGAAATTGGGGCGTTTCCAATACTGGTCTTTACCTTTAAAACATGTACTATAGGAACCTGTACATAAAGACCACCTGCCCATAGAGACCACATTTCTTGTTTCCCCTGGGTGGTCTTTATAGACAGGTTTCACTGTATCACTTTATGCTGTATAGTATACACATAACTTGTGTTTGCAAGTGCATTTAATAGTAAATCTACACTGCACGCAGGTTTAAAGATGCTTTTATTATCTGGCTCCTTGTTACTCTAATAACTGAGTGCAGTGCATAGATGCACAAGCTTCTAAACATGATTTTTGTTTTAGATAGTGGATCTACATTGTGAATATACACATGTAAAGTCAAGATATAAACAACAGACCCCCAAAATGCAAGAATTCTTCACAAATGTATTAGACTTTACAGACAAATCTGTTTGATTGTTTGTTTGGGATGAGGGATGCTATATACTTAAAAAAGAATAAGTGGGATAAAATTTATTCCAACTGTGATGTTAAATTCATGATATCTGAGAAAAGAAATTATTCTGATGAGGAAGAGGGAAATTAACGGCTCACTTTCTCTATTGTTTTGTTATCGTTCCAGTCATGATCTGATCGGAGTGTTTGAGACAACTGTACGAGAGCTATCAAGGGGACCAGGCCATTCCAATGTATACCATGTAAGTTGCATTTCTATGTCACATTTAAAGCCGCACTACACTACTTATAGCTACTTGCGCCCTCTATATTTCAAACAGTGCCTAATCGGTGCCTGTTGGTCCCCCATGATCCTCTTTTTCTTATGTTAATTGAGAGCTGAGTTGATGAGATAACCACCTGTCAGTGACCATGCTTGGTGGTCTAATCCCTCCTGGCCAAACTAGTACAGACGGACTTTAATTGAGTGTTGTAAACTTTAGTGCTAGATACAATAGTATGTATTTACATCATTGTCATTCTAAAGCCGGGTAATAGTTGTGGAGCGCCAGGGGTATCAAGTTTGACAGACATGAACCCAATATTATTATAATTTATATATTAAAGCAATGGGTTAATCAAAGAATCCATGTGATTACTGGTCTCTTTTCATTAAAAAATTAGTCTAGATTTATGCTTTACATTCGTCCATCCTCCTTCGGCAAATAGTGAACATTGTATATGATCCATGAATGAATGGAATCTATTCCTCAAATTTCCTCTGCAGGTCATCCACCCCAAAAAGCAGAAAAAGAAGAAAAACTACAAGAATTCTGGCCTCATTTTCCTGACAGCAGCCAAGATCGAGCCGCAGTTCACCTTCCTTGACTACATCCAAGGGGGATGCCAGCTCAACTTCACCGTCGCCATCGACTTCACTGCCTCCAACGGTAAGACAACATCAAAATACATTCTTATATATCCTTCTTCTGCAATACTTTTCTACAGTCCTATGCATTGGTTTCCAAGTTTGCAACTTTCTCCCACAAATTCTTGTCTTTTCCCTTTGTGGAGAGATGGCTCTTTCTGTGTGTGGAATGCTTGAAAATTTTGCCTGCTGTGTCTTTTTCCTAAAACATTTATGGAGAAATATATATAAGATATGTGGAAGCTTTTGAAAAGTGTCTTGAAAAGTATCCAGTTATGTGATCCATCTTACTGGCGAATGGCTACATGTATCTGTTTAAAAGTCGGTTCTAAAATTACAAAACCTTTTACTGAGAGATTTTTATTTTATTTTATTTTTTAAACAAAAAGTTCAGGCCTTGGAAAACTGGATAATTCTTATTGTTTTGCACACTTTTTTAAAATCAAGAATTAAGCGACATCCATATGCCAGTGTCCATGTACCAGTAGGTTTATACTATTTTGGTTGGACCAATTTCTTTATATTTTTTTTTTACTGCTTCCACCTCCTGATAAAATACAATAATGTATGGGTAATGTCCACTAGATTTGATAATGTATAAACTTTCTACATGTTGACCTTTTGATGCGAATTGAATTTCATTTAATTACCTCTTTTCCATGGACTTTTCTGACATATCTCAAGAATCGTATCTAACAATAATGGAAATGGATTTGCCTTTTCAACCTTATACACGTAAATACTCTGACCCATTCAGTTGTAGCCTTAAGTGTCCCCCTGTTTGACAAACTGCAACACAAAGGTTTTTATATTGCCGTTAATTAAATAATTAATTCTGACTGGTCACACCCAGTGTGCTCGCTACCAATGTGTCATGTCTACCTGGGCTCCAGTGAAGTTGGGTGTCCCACAGGGGTCACACTTAGGCCCTGTCTTGTTCCTAGTCCTCAGTTATTGTACATGTAGTTGCACCCTTCCAAACCTGCATTTTGTTTGCCATTTATTCCTGTCTGTGTGTAGGGGACCCCCGGACACCTACCTCCTTACATTACATGAACCCATACCAACCCAACCATTACTTGAGAGCATTGAGAGCTGTTGGGACGGTCATACAGGATTACGATGCAGACAAACTCTTCCCTGCCTTAGGCTTTGGGGCCAGGCTGCCTCCTGCAGGGGTCGTATCGCATGAGTTCTTCTTGGTAAGTCAAGGAGAGATTTTAACACTTATTTTCACCTGTCACCATGAACATGACGGACAAAGAAAGGGGACAAAATATACAGTCCTCATTCTACCCTCAACAATTGTTGTGGTAGACAAAGGAACATCCCTTCACTGCTATTATGTAAAAATGTGTAGAACAGGTGTCACATGCATATTCACCTATTCTACACATTTTTACATAATAGCAGTAAGGGATGTTCCTTCGTCTACCACAGCAATTGTTGAGGGTAGAATGAGGAACTGTATATTTTGTCCTCTTTCTTTGTCCGTCATGTTCATAGTGTGTACTACTTACAACATCTATCATATATTTTTTTGTTCGATATATCTCCTTTGTTTTCTTACCATCTGGTTCCTCTTCATGGAATGTCACTAATTCATTGTTTTATTTTTTTCGTTCATTTTTTTATTTTCTATTTCTCCCCTTCATCATATTAACATCCATTGCTTTTTCTCATTCCATCCTCTCATTTCCTTTCTTCTCCTGCTCATCTTTATTCAAAATTGTTCTTAATCTTTTTACCTCCTAAGATTTTATTCTCCACAAACTGCTTTTATGACTCTTTATTCTCTAGTGCACACATTTCTCCTTCATTTGTTTCTGCTCCATGTTTCCCTGTTTTTTTTTTTTTGTTTTTTTTGGGGGGGGGGGTAGGGGGTATTTCGTTCATGATATTTGTTTCTTATGTACCTGGAGTTCCTCTGCTTGTAGTATTTAATTTTGTACAATTTTCTGATCTGTTATATATTTATTTGCAAAGTAAAATTATAACTAATTGAGTAAATAACTTTCAGTACAAAAACAGTTTCTTCAATAGTCTGTGATTAATTAATTGAGTCAACCATATCCTGAAAATGTGAAATGATTAACATAGTATAAGTGAAATTTATCAATGACTTAATGAATATAAAAGGTGGCCATTATTGACATAACTGAGATGTGTGTTGGTCTAGCATTACAGTCAGCTTTTTGTCTTCACCTGCAAACTAACTCTGTGGGTTCCTGGTTCAAAACCGAGCCATGTCTTTTGAAAGGTGACTGCTAACAGTTTGTCTCCAGATGTACATGATTCAAATTAATCGATACACTTCTGTTAAAACCAATTCAAATTAATTGATACACTTCTGTTAAAACCAATTAACAGACTGAAGTACACATTGCTGTTTTGATCATAAATTTTCAGTCTTTCTCCATATTTCTTCTCATTTTAGAACGGAAGTCAAGACAATCCATACTGTGCTGGTATAGAAGGAGTGATAGATGCATACCAGAAAGCATTACATACCGTCCAACTCTACGGTCCCACCAACTTTGCCCCCATCATCAACCATGTAGCAAAGTAATTATGTAACAAGATCAATTTTGTCACATGACCTGGGAGTGTTTCACAAATACTATGGCAGGCTGTTCATGCCACTAGTTGCTCTCACCATTGGTCTCTCAATTATAATATGTTCTCCTACAATAATGAACTATCAAAAAAGGTATTAAGGTAGGTTTGTGGCCACGATTTGTACGTCCCTTGAGAAACCAATGCCAGAATGATTAGAGGAACTAGTGGCATGAAAGGCCTGCCATAGTTAAGTTCAACTTAAAGTGGATCTCAGATTTTGTGAAACACTCCTCTGATCCTATTGCAAGAACAGAAGTTTCGCGCATGAAATGTTTGCAAATTTCGCAATCGGTTCAGAATTGCAAAAGTTTCATGCTGTGATATTATGGAATCACAACTGTTTCAACATGGAAAGTTTTGCCATTTAAAAATCAAATCTTTCGTGAAGACTCTTTTCATTTATAAATCACAAAGTTTTATGTCGCAAAGTTTATGGTTTTTACGGTACACGAAAGTAACAAATTTACGTATGGTGTTGTCAGATCAGTAGAGAAACACTTTTGATTTCTGTAGGTTTGTCTTTTGTTTTATTTAGTCCCAATGTATTGAAAGCCAAGGTATCCCATGAACAGATGATATATTTCATGTTTTAAATTTCATCACATATCCCAAAAATTATGGCAAATTTTGAACTAACACTACAATGATGATTTTGTTTTCTTCTGTCTGTCCGATAGATTTGCTGCTGCTAAACGAGATGGATCAGAATACTTCATACTCCTCATCATTACGGACGGTATCATCACCGATATGGAGAAAACAAAAGAAGCTATCGTCAACGTAAGAAAATATTTCAATTCTGTATATTTGAATATTACTTCTGCAATAGGATAATGATAATTACATGAATAAAATGATTTAAAGCCCCACTGCACTACTTATAGCTTCCTTGCGCCCTCTATTTATCAATCAATGCCTAAGCGGTGACCGTTGGTCCCCCATGTCCCCTTATTGTATCCCCCGGCAGTATGCCGGTGGGGTACTTTGGATTCAGCAGCGTTACGCCGCCGCCGCCGCCGCGTCATATTCTTGTGTGCGCTCTCACTGCCACATTTCTAGATGGATTTCTTTCAAATTTTGTATGGAGGTGTATCCTGGTATAATCTACAAGCCTATAGATTTTAGTGATGCTGCCTCCAATGTTCCGTCTTTTATAGGGTCAAAGGTCATATTTTGATAGATGTCTTGTGTGCACTCTAGTGTGCGCTCTAACTGCCACATTTCTTGACGGATTTCTTTCAATTTTGTATGGAGGTGTATCCTGGTATAATCTACATACCTATAACTTTTGGTGATGCTGCCCCCAGTGTTCCGTCTTCTATAGGGTACAAGGCCATATTTTTGTGGATGGTTTGTGTGCAGTCTATAGGCCACATTTTTAAAGGGATTTTGTTCAAATTTTGAACGAAGGTGTATCTTGGTATAGTCTACAAGCCTATAGATTTTAGTGATGCTGTCTCCAATGTTCCGTCTTTTATAGGGTCAAAGGTCATATTTTGATAGATGTCTTGTGTGCACTCTAGTGTGCGCTCTAACTGCCACATTTCTTGACGGATTTCTTTCAAATTTTGTATGGAGGTGTATCCTGGTATAATCTACATACCTATAACTTTTGGTGATGCTGCCCCCAGTGTTCCGCCTTCTATAGGGTACAAGGCCATATTTTTGTTTGTGTGCGCTCTATAGGCCACATTTCTAAAGGGATTTTGTTCAAATTTTGAACAAAGGTGTATCTTGGTATAATCTACAAGCCTATAGATTTTAGTGATGCTGCTTGTATTAAGCATACCTGCCAACCCTCCCGCATTTTCCGGGATATTCCGCATTTCTGGAATTTTAGGACCTTAAAATGCGGGAGATTCCGCATTTTGGAAATTTAAGCCAAATTGGGCTTGTATTACCATTTGCCGCGATTTGTGTGAGAGCTCTCGTATAGTATACTGTGTGTGTGTTGATGGCCGCGGAAGCTCATTTGGCTTGTAATGACGGTTTTGCAGCGTGTTTGTGCCACTGATCTATAGCGTAGAGATCAGCATTATGTGTGTGTGTGTAAGCCTGGCATGTACTCTCCATACACGTACACACACACACACACCCATACAAGCAATGTACAAGAACATGCACGCTTCACGTGCGATAAATTTTGAGCGAACGGGTTAGCTTCGACGTGTGATCGTGAATGGTTACTAAACTTGCAAAAGTTTGTCAGTTTTACTTATAATGTCTTCCAATCCCAAGGAATACGCTTGCTTGATGGATTCATGGAGTTTACCGTACCGTACTAACTTTTCAATTGTCTAATCCAGTATTTGGAAGAAGTGTGTCGGGACTATGGTATACAGAGTGAACGCACGCTGCAGTGCGGTACCGGAGGTGAGTCGGTGCCAGTGGAGTGGGGCAGCGATGGCGAGGCGTACCGTACATGTACTGTGTATAGTTTGATCGATGCATGTCAAATGTTGCCGTAACTGAGCTGTGTTGGACAATCGCTACACCGAATTGAATTCAGCGTACCTGCCAACCCTTCCGAATAATCCGGAATATTCCATTTTCTGGATTTTTAGGACCCCAAAATCCGGAATATTCTTTTTTTTTTTCAAAATTTCGATTTTTTTTTTTTTTTTTTTTTTTGGTGTTGCTTAAGCCAAATTAAGCTTGTTTTATCCTTTACGCGATGTTAGAGTTCACGTGTATTGCGTGCGTTGAAGGGCTGCATGATTAAATTCGCTTTTTTTTGCACAGATTTACCGCGTATTGCCAGTTACACTGCCGCTGCATGTGCGAACGCCTGTTAAGTGTACAGATTTCTTATTTTCGAAGACATACCGCGCTAAAATTCTTAATTCTCATTTTCAAATGTTGGCAGGTATGATTAAGGTTCATTATAGTTTACTCTAGACCTCCACAAATTTGGTGCTGCTACCCCCCAGTATTCCATCTCTTATAGGGTCAAAGGTCATATTTAAAGGAATATCTTGTGTCGCTATGCAAATCACATTTCTTTCAAATTTTCTATAAATATGCATCATAATCTGATCTACACACCTATTGTTTTGGTGATGCTGCTCCTAGTCTTGACAATAGTCTGAGCCACTTGCGGCAATCTCTACGTCATCCTTTTGTTTCACAAAGAGGAGAGGGAATCTTTGTCCCTCCTTCCACATAAGGATAACACAAAATCGCTGCCACTGCCGGGGGATACATTCGCATTGCGCGGCAATACAGATTGCGATATTTCTAGTTCTTATGGAAATATATACTGGTATTCATGCTCTTTGTCTGTTTAATAGTAAATTCACCCTACTGTAGAAGTATACCAATTGTATCAATGCATGTACCAGTATGCCTTTCTCTCAGTAAGTATTCATTGTGTTGTTTTTTGAAAAAAGTGTGATGTGTTTAGTATTCATTGTGTTATATTACATATGGTATTAAATGTGTTGGCAATATTTCATTTATGGATTGTCTATTTTCCTAGGCTGCTACAATGCCCCTGTCCATTATCATTGTTGGAGTTGGAAAGGAGGATTTTTCAAGTGAGTTTTTATGAGTGGTTTTTTTTTCATACCTGACTTTGTCATTAACATTCCTTTGGTCAAGGTTTAGAGACAAAAGATGGTATAAACTTTACATTCTCTAGTTTGGCTCCTCTTTAGGAATAGCTTTCTTAAAACAAATGCAGCTACATGATTTGATTATTCAAGCTGTTCTGACTAGTTTTGCACTTTGATATTACATTGAGTTGTTTGAACCATTTGTAATCCTTGTGTAAACCAATCCTGTTTCAAGCGAAAATGTTTTGTTACAGGAAAGTGTTTCTTGCTTGTTGTATTGACAACAAGAAAAATAGGAGCAAGTAGCCCTGCCCTTGGCAGTCTCAATAATATCTATCGTTTATGTTTTATCTAGTATCAAAGTACTTTGGATTTTCTATGGCTCTTCATGTATTTGGGCTAATGATATGTTGTTGAAGGATTTGAACCCAAATAATTCTAGGCCTAGTCATCAAAGGGTTAAAGATGGAGGTACAAATAAAGTGTGAGCTAGATGTTCTTTCTATTCTACACTGCCTACTCATTTACTTGTATTGTTTGGTCATTCCTTTCTGTCCTTTGCTAGAAATGGAAGAGTTGGATGGTGATGATGTCAGATTATCATTCCGAGGAAAACAAGCAGCAAGGGATATTGTACAGGTTAGTAAATCAGCATCTCATCGCTCAAACATACATCCAAATTTGACCACTGACAAACCTGTAGTGATAATGTAAAAAGAAAACTATGATAGACTTAGCTTTTTCTAATTTGCTCATATCCATTGTGCAACAGTGATGTAGTCAAAGCTAGCAGTTCCAATCACAAAGCCAATGAAAATTTGAATATTTCTGAAACCTGATTTTCTTTTATCAACTAAAAGCTGATACTATATTGTGAAAGTATATTGGTTTTGCAATTTAGAGGATCTGTAATGTGAACTAGAGTATTTTCTTGAATTTTGTAATTGTGTGTTCAGCTCTGGAATATCAAAATGTGTTGTACATACTCTCTGTCTCATCTCTCTTTGTCTCTCACTCCCCCCAATCTCTCTCCCTCTTTTTCTCTCCCCCCCCCCCCCCCCCCCCCCCTCTTCCTCTCTCTCTCTCTTTCTCTCTTTCTCTCCTTCTCCCTTCCCCTTCCCCTCTCTCTCTCTCTCTCTCTCTCTCCCTCTTTCTCCCTTTCCTCTCTCTCTCTCCCTCTTTCTCCCTTTCCTCTCTCTCTCTCTCTTTCTCCCTTCCCCCCTCTCTCTCTCTTTCTCCCTTCCCCCCTCTTCTCTCTCTTTCTTTCTCCCTTCCCTCTCTGCAGTTTGTTCCCTTCCGTGACTTTGAGAACTCGGACAACATCATCATGAGCCAGGCTCAGCTTGCCAAGGAAGTCCTGGCCGAGATCCCAGACCAGCTCGTCTCCTACATGAAGTCCGCCAAAATCCATCCCAAGCCCCGAAGGGCCTCCATCACGTCCACCATCTCGAGTGTCTCGACCACGGGGGCCCAACATGGCTATTAACGAGTTTAGGTCCAAACACCGAGTGAGGTGATGATAGCTTTGGAAGTGGAGCCTTGATGAAGCTTTGGTTGATGAGCTCTACAAGGTTCTTTCACGTTGTCGTTTGGAGACGCACCATGCATACTCCCAGTTTGAATTGGTTTGGCTTTGATATGTAACCACAGAAGTTTACAGCATTTGACCTGAAACTCACGGACTGAGGATTGGCATAGCGAAGTGGTCTGCTATACATGTCTACAGAGAGGAGAGAGTGGAGTTCCGCAAGGAAAGCTATTTTAACCCATCATGTTTAGTGTGTCTTTCAGACAGTTATGCAATGTATATATGATATTTCTGACCATATCATAAGGAAGGAATTGTTAGCTAGTTTTGCCTTACATGTAAAGAAATACCACACTCTCGACTCTATATCTTTCAGATATTGTGCCATACATTTGTTGTAATATATTATAAAGAGACTTACAGCAAAATACTATTCCTTACTGCAGCAGGTTCCTAACTACAGCATTTTGCACCACATGACTTTATGAGTTTTCCGTTCATGTCTTCAACTGTGCACATCTTTTGCTGTAACAACTCGATCCTGTTGAAGACATGTGGTATGTACAATGCTCATTGTAGTGAATAATCTACAGGAATAGAATTAGTCTCTAAAATCTGATATACATGTATACTAAAAATATCTAGGTATTAGTTGTCAGAGAAAGTTTTTGAAATATTCACATATTCTATACTAATCAAGAGGTTACCAGCTTTTCTGAGTGCGAAAATATAATTGAATAATATACACATTCTTTATAAGAATGAGAGACATTTTAATATTTTAATGCTAATATATATCTGATTAAGAGAAATAAATAAAATGGAGTCGAACAGTAGCTGGCAGTGTTATGTCTTTTTTTCTTCTTCTAAGAAATGGAAGTTTTTTTAGCTTTGAAATGGAATAGTTAATTTTTAGGAATTATATTTTATTTCATATGGGTCACATCAAATTTACTGTCTTTCAAGCTGTTTAAATCAATGATTTGAGGATATTTTCATTCATTGGCATTGACCAGTAAGTCAATATTCCCAGTTTTCTTTATTCTTTTATGTGATTCTTATCAAATTATGTATCCATCATTTGAATTGTTTATTATCATTTTTAAAGGGATACTGAAAATGACAGGATTGAAGGAAATTTTAGTATTTGATAAAGGAACTAGGCTGACACCATTGATAGTATTATTAATTGCCAATTGATATATTCATTTTATGATATTGAAAATGCATATAGGCATGTAACGCAAGTCATTTTCAATGTAGATATTTTATGAACATGGTTTAAATACATGGACGTAGCAAATAAAATGTGAATTAAAGCAAGACATGTTGTTCTATGTACTGAGGATTTTGTAAGAACTTAAGGTATACTTATGGATCTCTGACACATTCTTATAATCATTATTTTTGATATATTGATGAATTCTGTAACTCATTCCAGAACTTTAAAATCAGATTTAGATTTGAAAGAGAATAAAAGCCTTTTATTTCTTAGGTTAGTAGACTTTGAAAATAACAATTGTATATAAAGAAACCATGACATTCATACAGACTTTGGTAATAATTGCAACTCTGCAGTAACTCCATTAACAAATGTGTGGTCAAGTAAAAACTACCAGTGTATAATCACAGGCTCAAAACCCTCATTGTGCAACTACAATACAGTAGACCTTGGGACACAAGCAAATACTGAATTCAACTCAGGAAATTTGCGTGACCTGACTTGTCTGTTTATTGAACATGCTGCACAGCCAATACTGGTACATTTGTACCAATACACTGGTTTGTATGGACATGGAGATATTGGGTGTTAAATGCATAGATAAAAACTCTTTCATTACCTGAAGTAGATCTGCTGATTGAGATGTGGATTATAACATGTACTTATATAAAGTCTACTCATCCAAAGTATGAAGATTTTATTAAAACTTAGAACTAGTAAAAATTGAAGTTATAGAATATAAGAGCATAAACTCTACTTCAGTGTGTACAAGAAATGTACTTAATTTACTTTGTCATACACTGTACATGTGTATGTTTATTAAGAGATAGAAAGTGAGCACCGCCCCCCCCCCCCCGATATTTATATATGGTGTCACAGGATGTGCATATTTCTTGTAAAACTCTTTTCTCAAAATATGAATTATGTGTATGGTGTGATTTAAAAAGGGTATTATGAGTGTTTGTGATCAAAATAACAATCAATATAATGCTTTCACATCAAGAAACTATTTTGTAATATGTAGATTTTATGTGAAATGTGTGTATTTTAGGTAGAAAATGGATATATCTACATGTATATATAGCTGTAGAAGAATCATATTATAGCATATTTTTGTAAAACTGTCTTTCATTTTTTGAATGTTTGATTTTATTTGGATTGTTCGGGCTTGTATTTTATCCTAGAAAGTATCTAGATCTAAATCTTTATATATTAGATTTCAGTGAATAGTACGCAATGTACATGTATCAGTAGCTGAATTCAGCTGCTACAGTTGTCTTTATTATGATTGTAATGAATGTAATTTACTGCGACATTGCCAAGATTTGTATGTATTCTACATCATTCATTGCATTACCATAATTAATGTAATTTACTTCGGCATTGCTAAGATTTGTAAGCATTCTACATCATTCATTGCATTACCATCTGATTTGCATTGACAACATCTTTTGACTTTCTTGTTTGACATAGGCCTACACATAATACAACAAATACCATTTTAGCAGACAGGCATCTAAATACATGAACCCATTTATGTTTTAATAGGAGTTAGATATTCCCTTTGCAACTCATTATCTCTGTTTTGGAAGAAATTTTAAATCGATGGACAGAGCTTTCATCTTTCAACTTCTTTCACATTGAACTCTTGTTAATTTATTTCAGCTTTCCTCAGAATTGTCTGTATCTTTTTATGTGAATTTTATGAACTCCTAAAGGTTGTACATGTATTAACTTGAACTATGCTATCTTGACAGAATTTAATCAAAATATTGATACTTGCGTCCCTGATTATTCTTATTGATTTTGTTCTTATATGTTGCTCTTTGGTCAAAATTATCATTTTGTAATTTGTTTTTTACATTAGTCTTTTACACATTTGATGAAGTATTGACAATGTTTAAAGACTTTTTTCAATCATAATAATAATACTGGTTTAACATTGGATATGTTTATTATTATTACTACTTTAAAATTGTTAGATGATTGAGCATTGTTTTGTTCAATAGTTTTTCAAAATATGATTTCCTACGTTATATGATAATTTGCCTTTAATTTACTTTTTATACATATATTATTTTGTGCAAACTGTTTAATTCCTGTGCATTTTATGACGGCATGCCTTACTAAAGTTATAAAAAAAACTGTAAAAAACACATTGTTTTTTGCCTCCTTTTGTTGTGTACTGTTACTAACACTTTCCATCCATTGCTAATCTGATATCTACTACTTCATGTGTACTTTATATCATTTACTTATATGCTTGTGCAACCTCAGTTTTAATTGTAACTGAGACAGGGTACAATGTCAAAATCTATCAATCAGATTTGTTTAAATTCAATACACGTTGAAATAAGTGATGCCTTTTTACAGATGAAACATATAGTAGCTGTGCATAGAAATTTGTTCCATACATTACCGACTTCATTGTAAGATTTCAATGTACCCAATGATCAAATCAAATGAATAGCCATACAAGAGCATGGATCAGATCAAGTAGAGAATATATTAATTTGTATGTCCTTATTTTAATCACTTCTCTATACATTGAATTGGTTACATATAGGACACAAAGTAGTAAATACCTCGGACTTGCCTTGTTTTGTTTTCTTGAATGTGTTTTCCTTGTTTTAATTAACTGAAAAAATAAGATTAATCAGGTACCCATCTATATGAAGCAAACAAAAATAATCAGGGTTAGACTTGTGAAATAATGAAGAAAATGTGAATTCTTCCATTATTCCCCACCACCCTCTCTCTTTCCCTCTTTCTCTCACTCCCCCCCCCCCCCTCTCTATCTTTCTTCTTTTTCTTTCTCTATTTTTTTCTTCTATTTCTCTCTTTCTCTCTCACTCCCCCCCCCCCCCCTCTCTCTCACTCCCTCTCTTTTTCTCTCACTCTCCCTCTCCTTTATTTCTTTCTTTCTCTCTGTCTCTGTCTCCCCCCCCCCCTCTCTCTCTTTCTTTCTTTACCCCACTCTCTTCTCCATTTCTCTCTCTCTCTCCCCATCTTCCTCTTTAACCTCCTTTTCCATTTGTAAATTCCCCTCCCAATACTTCCCATTCTCTCATCTAATGTGCCCAGACCACAAATAAACTCACATACTACAAAACATGAATAATTCTTGCGTAACAAAAGTTATATTTCTATACATCGTGTGCATTACATCATGTGCATTACATCTTTACATAATTTGTTAGAGAAGTATACTACAAAAAAATCCCAACTCCATAAAAGCACTGATATAGGTTTGCCAATTTTGCACCTCGTATAAAAGTATCAAAATATGCATATCTTGCCCTTCAATTCTATAAAAGATAAATAATCAAATACATAATCTAATAATTTGTAAATTAAGTATTTCAATGAAGAATGCACAGTAAAGTGAGCTGAAGATTACATGTGTAGCTTATAACGTTGACAGAGCTACACTTCATGGCATTATCTGAACTGTACTGGTCATCCTTCATTATTTTGATACAACAAATTGTTTTTAAAAAGTAATGACCATGATATAATCTCCAGGCACAAAAACCAACATAACATCTCTTTCTGTCACAAAATAGAACTATCAAAGCATCCTCAAGAAGCTGAGGGATCATATAGGGCACATTTTACTCCCCCCAAAATAATTATTAACAAACTTTCCCTGCACCACGTTAATATGCTTCTATAAATATTGAAAATGTACATACACTGTTGTTATTACAAAGTATAACTCTACTACAAAGGTACCTTTCTCCTCATTTCATTTTTAAAATGCTTCAAGTTTCTTCTTTTATTTTTGTATTGATGAAAACAATAACATTCTCGCTAAAAAGAACAAAACAAACTAAGAATTAAGATCTCGTTAATAATTAAAACTCTTGCTATTTTACCACAGGTGTGGTTTGAATGTCAATTCAAATACTTATTTTTTTCTGAATGTGTTTGTTTTACATCAATGTATATCAACATAAAACCAAACAAATCTTTAGCCATACTTGGTAGACTCCTAATGTTCTCCAAATTTCATACCAATTTTTTCTCTCAATTAAAAAGAAGCCCTAAATGCATGACACATTTGTTTCTCAATTCAAAATCCTGATAGTGTGTCATCTCTATAATGGACCAGCCACAAAATGAAACAAAACGGAATGTAAACTAAAATCATAGAATAAAAACAGAAATGGAATAAAAATGAAAGCACTTTCACACACAAGAAATATTATCACTTTGGTTAATCGTTCACAAATCATGGTTCTAGCGATGAACATATAGTCAGAACATGAGCAATGTGTACACAAATAATCAGATAATAAAACAGTATTTCCAGAAATTCCAGCCTTATGAAGGTAAACTAAACCACACTCATTTTCTACTAAACAATAAGCAAATCCCCTTACTACATGTAGATACATTTTCATAATCATTATTTTCTCCTAGTAACACAATGAAACTTAAGGACTTTTCTTAGGTGTGCATGTCTGAACTACTGTTTTTCATGTTCTTTTTCTTTTTTCTGTTTAAAACAATTATAATACAAAAAAGTACCTTTCAGTACAGAAATTGTATAAAAATCATTCTTGATGACAAGATAATAGAGGGGTGGGACAGTCTGAAATAGTGCTGTAACATCACGGATATCTCCAATTCCGTTTAAACCGCCTGTCAAAACCGGACGGTTTTCGGTTAAACGATTTATTTAAAAAAATTTAAAAAAAGCAGGAAGGTGATTTAACTGAAGGCGCCGATTTGTGCTTGTGAACTAGTCACAAATAATAGTAACAATGTCGTTTTAGAATAATGTGTAAGATCATTAAAGTAAATTAAAAACAGTAGAGGACCTAGGATAGAACCTTGTGGTACACCGTGTGTTAAACTTGGATGAATATATATTGAGATCTATTACAAAGATTACTTTCAAACCAAGATGACAGACAAATTGGAGTGTTGTTCTAGTTTCCAAGTGGTAAGTCATCACACCGATTACTGAGCTGGGAGACATTGCCAGGCATAGTGCCAGGTGGAGGGGCATAAATCGAAACTTAAAAAAAAAAAAAAAAAAAAAAAAAAAAAAAAAAAAATTATAAAAAAAAAAAATTATAAAAAAAAAAAAAAAAAAAAAAAAAACGGGAAAACGAAACCGTCCAATTGGAAACGGAATCCGCCATGGGCGGTCGGATACCGGACGGTTAAACGTTTGACTACAGCACTAGTCTGAAACCACATACTTGCAAGGCACATATGGAAAAGAGTGAACATCTCCCTGTATTGTGATCATGAGATAAAAATGATATCATCCTGAATCAAATACAGAGGAACAAGTACCGGTATAAAGACTGCTCAAGGGTGAAAAGAAAAGTGGTCTGTGTAGGCAGATGCTTTGATGTACCTGTACCAGTACTGGGGGCCAACCGTCATATAAAGTCTAACTTTTTAGACATCCCATTGAAACGTGTGTTATAGAATAAATACACATTTCTATGGGATGTTCACGAACTTAGACTTTTTGAGAAACTAGCACCATGTTTCTTCAGTACCGTAGTAACCATATATGTTTCAAAGAGATTTTAACAAAAAATGTGTTCTTTATAGACAGGTGGTCATCAAATACGGTTACACTGTACCATACTTAAGCAAGTCCAGAGTACTTTATCCTTCCTTGTTCTTTATTTATGTTACTAACCCTTGTCCCACCTTCAGTTAAAATTCCATGAGGAGTATTTTGAAGGATTCCCTACAAAGTACCAAGCAGGCGGTAATATCACTAGGCTTATACTGTACATGTAAGTGCTTTGGTAAGTTAATGATAAAGCGCTATATAAGAAATCAGTATTTTTATATTTATCAATTTAATGAGACAAAGAACCTTGGACTTTCCCAAAATGATGAGAGAGATACCGGTATCTAAAAAGAAGATTACATGAAAGGCCCTTTGACGGCAGAGTTTCGCTTAGTTCTCCTCCTCTATTGAGCAGGGATCTGTTCCAGGGGAACCTCTGTGAATCCTTCATTGGGGGCACCCTGTGGTGGTGGGCGTGGTGGGGGGTTCTCTGGTGGTCTGTTGGTCAGGGTCTTGGCCCTCTGGACCCTGGACGTGCTAGCTGACCAGCTCTCGCCACCGAGGGCAGCCTTGAAGTAGATGAGAGCCGCAATGAAGAGACAGATTCCTCCCAGGAGGGTCGGGAACATGAAGATACATGGAACGCTCAACCTGCAAATATACAACCATATGATAATAATAAAAATAATAATAGCTCGTTCTTATATAGCACTTTTCAGGACTGCAGGCCCTCTTAAAGCATTTTACAGATATATATTATTACCCCGGTCATCGGATTCAGGCTTACCTGCACACATTGTATGCACATTTTCCACTCCCTAGGGAGCATTCCAGCCAGGGGTCATTTTTACAAGCGCACACTTGCTAATCTAAGCACATTAGCTTTCGCATCCTACCGGGTACCCATTTAACACCTGGGTGGAGAGTGGCAAATGTAGATCAATGTCATAATCACAATGAAAATGGCTCACAAATCATTTTTCACATCTTCCCAGAACGCAACCTTCTCTTTAATGCATCCAAACTTCTAAAGGGTATAATTAAAAAACACAGCTGCCTGACAATACTGCAAGAGTGTTGACTCTGCATTATGAATACTTACAGCAGATATAGGAAGAATCTGATGAAGTAGTTGGTGGTGACAGGGGATAGGGCTAGTAAGATGGGATGAAAGATACTCTGGAATCTGGACAAAAAATATAAAACAAAATAATAGCCAAGTGATATCAATGACAACTGCACACGTTAATGTACTTTCTCTGGCTAAAGAGACTTCTGCTATCAAACTCAAGCTCCTCGGAGCAGGGAAAGATTCAAAGATACTTTCTATTATGCACACAGCTCCAATTACTGCTCTTGTTCTTTAATTTTACATTCACATTCACATTCAAATCTACTCTAAATCTAATGAAAATGTCTTTACAAGGGGGCTCTCAAATTTAAGATTAACAATACTTAAGTTTACTTCACCTATGATCTGGCTTTACTCTAGGAGTCTTAATTTTGTTCTCATTGAGGTTGCTTTGCTTAGGCGGTTTTTTGTTTTTTGTTTTTTAAATAAATAATTTATTCAACTACTGTCTAGTGGCAGCACCAGTAAGGCTCTTGCATACCGGTACTTACTAGATTATGTTGTCTCCTTATTCATACATGGCCATGTGGCATATTTTATGATTTGGTTCATAAACATTTAGTAAATGTACATTTTATGAATAAAAGAGGTAAATACCTTCTGGGACATAAAATTGCTATACATAGAAAATTATAATGCTCTACCATTACATTCTCATGATTTTTTTTTCTTCATGAAGATACATCATACAAGCATATCACAGTATATATCTCCTTTGTATGCAGGTATGTAAGGGAAACAAATATTTATAAAAATTTGGGGGCTACTTTTCAAGCTTGCTTGCATGAAAATAACACTCTATGCAAATTTTTGGGGCTCTTTTTTATGACTTTCAAGGGACTATTTTGCCCCGAGCCCCCGTGTATTTTTTCCCTGTTCATACAAACCAGACGACTTCATACTTGAGGCTTGTTCAGATATGGCGCTGTGAACCATCACAAAAAATCCAAACCGTTTTTGTTTGTTTTTTGTTTTACCATGTAAAATAGGAGCCAGAGCATAACACTGAGCTCCTATAGGAAATCTATTCATTCAGATGGTCATATCTCAGCCAATACTTAACATATTCCATTGTTTTTCGACATTTGGACATTATTTTTGATGCTCTTTCGAAAAATGAAGAAAGAATTTAGAAATTCTAAAAATAGATTTTTGATGACGTCACACTTCACCACTCTATAAGACACAGAAATGTGAAGCTTATTTCACTTAACGTCATCAGTGCCACTTCATGTCTGAACAAGCCTTTAGGACTGAAAAGGGGTACACCTAAAAGCTGGTCATTCTTGGAATCCCAGTTTGTTTACCTTCTCTCCACCGTGTTTCCCTTCCGTCTCATTCCTCTTGGATATTCAACAATGAGAACAAACACGCTCGCAACTCTGTGATTGGTTAGTTAAGGACTAGTAATAATAATAACAATATTCAGTTCTTGTACAAATATATAGAGCATATCACATTACAATGTCCCTATGCATCTCCAACAAGCTTTCGGAAATTATTACCCTAGCTTTAGTACCATAAAAATGCTTCACTAAACATTTGTGTGCTCTAAAGTGCAAATCCAATGGCAAACCAATATACACATGTAGAGAGCAAGATGACCTAAGAATACATTCCAAATTAACATTCATCAAAATCTCATATAAATATCAATATGAATGTCAACCATCAAAATGAGAAAGAAAACAAGAAAAGAAAAGCTAAACATGACATTAGAAATGTGTAGGGATCACAATAAGTTGAAGTACATACATGTACGGAAGATTGGAACCTAAAATAAATTGATTAGTTGTATACAGAGCTTTCTATGTTAATATCTATCTATACCATGATTACATCAATACACAACTTCAATTAATTTCAAGTTTCAAGTCCTTTTTCCTTTTCTTGCTTAAAATAGACAATTTGAAAATGTGATCAATCTTGTTTTTATGTCCAAACTATATATGCTACACTTTAATATGCAGAATGTGTACGTGTAAAACTTATTGCACCCAATGGATACCAAAACTGTTCTCATTTCCTCAAACCATTATCAAAATAGCCTAATCATTTCCTACTGTGACAGGACGGTTGTGTACACTGTACAATGTATGTGTACAATGTAAGCCTTTTTGTTTACCGGTACCGGTACTCCACATCTTGATCTACATGTGACCTTAATGACCCAGGACCAGGAAGTTTTGCACGTACATGTATATCACAATTACTAAGCATAAAATGGGTTATATTTAATGATTATAATAACTTTTATGGTATTTTTTTGTTTTCATAGGTTTTTATTAATTTCTCTCATAAAGAAAAATTGTTCATAATTTATAACATTGTATACAAACTAACAAAATAATTTTAACATAGGTCTTAATAAATTTGCAATTGAACTTTTACATTTTACATACAAGGTTCCAATTAAAGTTACACATTTACAGATGAAAAATATTCACATAAACAAAATTATATTTCCCCCCCCCCCCCCCCCAAAAAAAAAAAAAAACGCAAATAAAGTTAGTACTATTTTCTCGACCAGTTTGATTATACATCTCAAATTATTTCTTTTCCACAATATTCTGCTTTCCTCTTAAATTTCCTTTAGAGACAAAAAAAAAAATTATATAAACAAAAAGAGTATGAGCTAGAAACACGTACTACCCCCCGCCCCACACAACATTTAAACACATAACAAATACAACAGTATACAACCAACAGAGAACGAACAAACAAACATCTGGTATCGTTTATGATCCTTCCCTGCTTTTCACTGGGATTCTAGTGATTTTGTAAGATAGAGATTTTATAGATTTTGCCTTCTTTCTTTTACTGTACTGTGCTTATTAACTTATAATCAAACAATGACAATTATATACACTTCAAGTTTCTAGACACAATTGAATCATAACAAAACTATTGACATTTTTTTTCTTCAGAAATTTGTATTTATAGAAGTCATAGGACATAGAAATGGACCTTACCAGGAAATAACTAATACTGTATAGTTTTTAGCTTTTCAATGTGGATTATAATTATAAAGATATCTGAAAGAAAACATATGTTACAAGGATTGAACTAAAATGTGATATTCTAATGATAACAAATTGACAGAAGGCAAATTTGTCAAAGGTAATATCTATAAGGCCTTGAGAGGAATGATAATAAAAATGTATAAAAAAAAATAGCCTTCTTCTTAAATAAACCAGACCAATGAAAAATATTATTTTAAAATGTTCACACACTCCAGACAGTCAATAAATCAAGGGACATGTTAGCACTACTGCCGGTGTTTACATTTGGGTTAATAATTTAATAATAATAATAATCTGTTTTTTTATATAGCGCTCAATACACCGATCCAACGATGTGCCTAAGCGCTTTACAGATATATTATCCCCGGTCATCGGATTCAGGCTTACCCGCACACAATGTGTGCACATTTTCCACTCCCTGGGGAGCATTCCAGCCAGTCGCCATTTTACAAGCGCACACTTGCTCGTCCAACCACATGAACGTTCGCATCCTACCGGGTTATGTCACATGACAGTGTAAACAATGTAATGCTCACACATTTCAAGTACTTGACCTCAGGTTTATTTTCTGAATCACTCTTTTGATATCTGCATTTTGAAATTTTCTCAATATCATGATTTCTGCATTTTTCCGAAAGATAAAATATAGGTATCAATTAGAATCACTTATTTCATAATTTCCTGTATTATAGAGTGAAGTTATGAATCAAAGGATACATTGTGTAGTAAGCAAACGCTGCTCCATCGAACCCAAACACTCCAGTAATTCCTCCCATCAGCATCACTGTGAAATAAAACATGAGAAACATTCATAATAATACTATAATAATCAAATATAGGGACGATATAACAAGTTACTAGTTTTAGATTTACTGTAAATAAACCAAATCAAAAGGTTATAGTGTGTGTGTGTGTGTGTATTTGGGTTTTTACAGACGTGTATCAATCATCAGATATGATTATTTACGTCTGGGGACCGACTTTTAACGTCACCATCCGAAAGACGTGACTCAGTTTTGAACCTGCGTTCTCGGCTGAATCAGTTTGTAACTTCCACTGTTAGCTGGATACAGGCGCATGCCACAACGCCTAGTTAAAAAGGTTATAGGACTCCTTTTTATTTTTTAAATACGTTATTGGGCATGTCTATTAAAGCTAACAAGCTTTTCTGTCCTGTAGTATTTTACCAACAACATCTCATGTTGAAGCATCTGATCATTGTATTTAAGTGTGGAATTGAAGGGGAAAAAATGGGTAATACTAATAATTAGCAATTTTCTAGGTGTACACCTGTACGTTCTATGCTGGTACTCGTCAAACTCAAAAGCCTTTTCAGCAACTATAATTTTTTGTTGTTTTTGACTCACATCGTAGTCTCATAGTCTGGATCTAATTGTAAAAACTTTTTTATTTTTATTTATATGTCTAATTGTAAAAACTTACCAATTGCACTGACAAAGGCATGCTCATTTGCCCACATCGCCCATTCATTTGTCAATATTTCCTCCGGCATGATGATGAATTCTGATTTTGTACTCCAAAGAAATGAAAGATGGTACTGGTACTGGTAAGAACACCGTCACTGCACTACAACTGGCAACCTGGGTGGATTACAAATTATATACCTTAATAGTTAGAATACAAAGAACAGCCTGACTGCCTGACTTAATCTTGCTTCTTTTCGGTCAGGTGTTCGTTCGATTGTTCTGTTGAATAGAAATTGTGATATCTTTTGTAACGCTCGGGCTCTAGCTGTGCAAAGCACATAGAGTATAGACCTATGATGGAAATGTTATTTCCGCATACCAATCAATAGGCGACTATAGATGGCGCACTTAAATTTAAAGGGGATTTCCCCAATTTATGTCGCTGGCGATTTTACATAAAAACCTGTAGGTGGTCGCTATTAAAGCAGGTTTGACTGTAGTAGTCTATGACTATGTATCTAATAAATAATATTTATGATGATGACGAATTTTTCGACGATAATAATGATGATAATAATAATCCAATATAATTGTCGATGCTTGGCCGTCTGCGCGAGGTTTCATGTTTGTCGATTGATCGATTGATTTTTATTCGACAAGCTTCCATGCAAGTTCCAACATACAATAATATACAATAATAACAGATCAAAAATAAGTCAGCTTGAACAGGTAACCCACGAATGAATTAGATTGAAATGGTATCCACATGGCAGCCCAAGGGCTGAATAATATCCCAGGTAAAAAAAAACGTTGAAACCAGTTGAATTTTCAACTGGTATCAACTGGAATCAACTGGTACCAGTTGAATCCATTTGAAGGAACTGGAATATGTGCCAGTTTATTTTACTGGTTTCAACTAAACTCAACTGATACATGCTGAAAACAAACCAGTTGAAACCAATTAACCATATACTGGTATTAAATTGTTACACCAGTTGATACCAGTTGAAAAACTAGTTCAATGTATCTTATGCATATTCATGATTAATTTGCATGTTTCACAGAAAATATAACCAAAATGATCTGTCAAGCAAATACAATGCACATCAATTTTGTGATTTCTTAGTCAATCATCGACAAGGCCTATGACGAAAGGGATAGCGTCGCGTCGCGTTAACTTCAACGCGATCATTCGATCGTCAACCCCCCCCCCCCCCCCCCCATGTTTTGCTGAAAGGGTACGTACATAAGCCCATGCATACATACAGGTATCGGGTAAAAATACCAGTGGTAAAAATGCCGGTGGAAAAAATGCATGCCAGAAGAAAAAATGCCAGAGGAAAAAACACCAGAGGAAAATATTACAGTGTAAGATTGCAAATCTATAAAAAATTCCAGTCAAGATTATTGTACATGCCCCCCCCTACAAAAAAGCTTTCCTTTGTTGCCCAGGATTAAACTTATTTCGTAGACAGACTTTGTATTCGCATACACTATACACAATTACAATAATTCATCTTGATTGAGAGGGAGGGGGGCGAAGGGAGGGGGCATTATTACCCTGATTCACTGGTGAGAGAGCCAAAAGGCCTACCTTGACAAGCCCAGAGTGTAAAGAGTGGGGGGGGGGGGGGAGTGACGGATCCAGGGGGAGGGGCCCGGGTAGCACACAAAAATAATTAGTGCTCACTACGGGGCTCACTACCACCCCCCCCCCCCCCCCCCCCCCCCATTGAGCGCATTTTCGCCTGGCGCGATTTTCAAATTTTCGGGAGCAAAAAGAAAAACAATGGGATCCGCGCCCGGGGGGGGGGGAGGGGGGCAATGGTTGCAGGCGGCAGCAGAAAATATTTTTCAATCAACACCCCATTATGTATGGCTTCAAATGTCATGCAGTTTTTTAAATAATTATCTATAATCCACTTCAAATGATATTTGAGATGGGGTAATTAATTGCAAGAGTCATAATGGTTGCATGGTGGCCAAATGACAATATTGTATAGATTACCAGTTGATTACTGGTCTCTACTGGATATTCATCTGGTATTCAATTGGTTTTCAAATGGTAAAACAACCTGAAATATATTGGTCTCAGATGTCAAATTGTTTTTCAACTGGTTTTCCAACTGGGTCCCACTTTTATAGCGGTGTTTCCAATATGAAAATTTGTATACTGGATCCATCTGGTGCAGTTCACAACTGGTCGCATCTAGTTTACAAAAAGTAAAGTAAAGTCACCGCCAAAAAATGTCGATACTATAATAATACAATGATATAAAGGATCGAGAGAAACAGCGCTATAGAGAGAGAAAGGAAAGAGAGAGAGAGAGAGAGAGAGAGAGAGAGGGGGGGGGGGAGAAATAAAGGGAGAGAGATTAACAGAGAAAAAGAGAAACAACGATATTGAGGCGGATCGATCGAGGTGTAGGTGTGTTGATGTTATGTCACTAATTTACATTTGGGATTAGCCGAGTCAATTTCTTTGATTTTAGTAGTATTATTGTTTTTTATTGATGTTGATTGTTTGTTTTGTTGGTTGCTTTTGTTGATGATAAGCTAAAATGTTTTGTTTTGTTCATTTATGGTTCTGTTTTGATGATTTTTTCCTTTTTTTGTGCCGTTTGGGTTAATTTCATCTTTTCTTTTTTGTTTACGTTGTTTTTGTTTATTTTGTTTAGATTAGTTTTTGTTCCGTGTTTTGTTTTGTCTTAATTGTTTGTTTGTTTAATTTCTTCTTTTCTGTTTTTTTAAGTCACTTTGTTTGTTCTGTTTTGTTTTAGTTTGCTTAGTTTAGTTTTAGTTTGCTTTGTTTTTGTGTTGTTTGTTTGTTTCATTCGTTCTACTCTTTTTTCTTTTAAAAAAAAAAGGCTTGTTTTGATTCATTTTAAACTGATTAGGCCTAACTAATTATAGGCCTTGTAGTTATACTGCCGCGCTATAAGGCCTAAATATTGTAAAAATGAAATATCTTTGTGCAAGGTGCAGCCTTCTTTAAAAAAGAATATAAAAAGAAATGCAGATTAAGCATGCTTAAACTGATTCTTTGCAGAACAAATTTGGGATGCTTTCCGTTTTATATGTTTTATCTAGCTTTATATATTTACACGTGTCATTACAATTTACAAAGTTTTATTTTGCAGACTTGAAGAAAGAAAATTTTCGCTGCTCCATAAGTTGAGTTTATCGGCACTGTAGCGTACATGGCTTAGCTGCCACGTACGCATACTATCTGTGTGCCAATAGTGCGATAAAACTTACGTGTTAATCGAATAGAAAATTAGTCTAAGTACCAGCGAAACATGTGTAGAGTTGCCTTTTGAAACCGTAACGCCAGGAAATCTTGGCGAAGGCGAAGTCTGTCTCCCCAAATCTCTCTTCATCCTCCTTATATCGGGATCAAGCTCAAAAAGACATCATCATGAGGATGCTTTCAAGATTCATCCTTCTGCTTTTGCTGGTTTTGCCGTCTACACTGCTTTTGACAAGCAATGGTAAGGAGATGAATAAGTGAAACATCGGATTCACGAATGTGGAAAACATATTGTAGGCCTAGGCCTTGTGTAGTTTTGATTTGTAAGATTAACATTCATAAATCTGCAGCCTTTATTTGATTAATATAGTGTATAATTTGTATGTTTACTATGTCTAATGTCATCATGGTTTTGTCTGGACAGATTGGATTGAAAATCTTTGCATCTATGATCTATTATAATAACAAGTCTGATCATGATCATGGCAGTGCAGTGGTGATGCATACAAATCAATGAAACAGAAATCAAGATTCCTGAGTGCTGTGCTATCATCAACCACGATAAAGCTAGTTACACGATAAAGCTAGTTAAAGGGACATTGCTGTCTGATGTTTCTATTTGCTTGATAAGTGTGCCACAATGCTATTTTTGTTTTGGCTGTGGCCAAATGATAAGCAGCGCTGGTATGTGAATAAGGATTGTCCGCTTAAACGAGGATTGTCTGCGTTAACGCGGGGACAATCATGGACGCTCCCTCGAAAAATAAGGATCGTCCGATTATTATTTTAGACCTGCGCATTGCATATCCCATTGATTTTGTACAGAGACTTTCATGTTATACTTATAAGCGATAAATCCTTGGGAAGACGGACAACCCATAAATGTAAACGGTAAACTGGGACCTGGGAGTATTTTATTACGCTGATTTCGTTTTTTGCATTGCCAGTGTGTGGATCTGGAATCCTTCAACCACCGATAATTATTGTTTTTAGATCTCCGTATCGCAACAAAGTCTTGCCAATATTTATAGTTTTTAGATCTCTGTATTGGCAATGAAATTTTGCCAATAATTATTGTTTTATGAGTTCCGTATCGGCAATGAAGTCTCGCCAACAATTTTTAATTTAGGAGTTCCGTATCAGCAATTAAGTCTCAACAATAATTATTGTTTCCGTTCTCCGTATCGGCAACAAAGTTTTGCCAATAATTATTGTTTTCAGATCTCCGTATCGGCAATGAAGTCTTGTCAATAATTATTTATTTAGGAGTTCCGTATCGGCAATGAAGTCTAAAAAACAAAAGCTTCCATGACTATAAAGTATTGTAGGTTTTCTGAAATGACACATGGTTAAGTGCTGCTTCTTAATTTTGTTGTGCATGGCAATGTTGAAGAACAAGCATGGATAATTGTGCAACGTTTTCTTTCTTTTATAATAAGGTGCTCTAGCTGCCAAAGACCAGCAGGAGGCTCGTGACAACCTTGAAGACATCTTGGATGGGGAGGAGATAGACGAGGAGGAGGAGGAAGAAGAAGAAGATGGACAGGTATGATTAAGTTTGATATCTGTCACCAAAATTGTTTTTGTTTTATTTGGGTATTTCTTTTTCTTTAGGTTTATTAATCAGAAAAGCAAGAAGTTCAAATTTCCAAAATGCAGCATTCTGAAATGATCTAATGCCTGCAATAAATGGATCTGTATGTTTTTCCTATTTATTCAGCTAAGTGAATGTCCAGACTGAATTAAATGTAATCATTTGGAATAGCTCCACCCTTTTCAGAACGTAATGTCAGGGCTCGACACTAACAGGTGCCCCAAATCTAAATCTGGAACACCCACATTTTGGAATATCTACATGGAGTTTGTGCATACAGACTTTGAATAGATCAATCTTGACCCCTCTCTGAAAAAGTTAGTTCAGAGCCCTGGTTGTATGTAAAGATAAGTGGTTAAAATAATTTTGCTTTTTTTTGTTCTATGATGTGAAGCTGGAAGGCATTTGGTCTGAACTATCTCTGTTCTTCTGCATGGATGGAGTGGACGTCTCTCTCCTTGTGCTGATGGTGTCGACAAGCATTGAGTTTTTCATGCTCTCGTCACTGTTGTACTAGGTTTAGAGTTCATCCCTGTGCTTTAGTCACAAGGCACCAATGGGCATGATGGCTCTGCATGCTCTTACTGGTGAATATAGAGTACTTCTGTTGAAGCCAGTTATTGCAGGCATCCATCAGTGTCTAGTCTTTTGACTGGCCCCTTCCATGTGGTTGGATAGAGAAAGTGTGATCACAAATAACCAGAGGCTGAGGACACTTCCCTGTACTTTTTTTTTAATTTTTTTTTTTTACTTTGTAATATTTTGTATTGGGTACTCAAGGATAACAACTGTACAGATGCCCTTGTTACAAAAAAATGCAGTACTTTCTTCTGGCAGTTTATTGTGCTCAGTAAAATGTAAAGTTCTTTTGAATTATCTTTTTAGCCATAGTAGATTGCGTTTCAATAATTTAATGATATACAGCTAATCAACCGGTATTCAAGTTATTTATTGGTTGTTTCAACTTAAATGATGAATAGACGTTGTCGGTGGTCGAGCAAGATGGATGGAGTTCAAATATCATGGGGCTTCTGCAATTACATTGCCTGCTGTCATATGCAATAAAGTGTAATCTCTTTGTGATATTCAGGTCGAGACAGAGGAAGAAGAAGAAGAGGGGACAGCTGTAGAAGCGGGAGAGGAGGAAGAGGAAGAAGAAGAGGAACCCCCACTGAAGGCATCTCCAGATGCTGACACTACCTTCCTCTTCACCACCAACGGAGAGAAAGGTAAAGTTTAGAGCTCTGTCTCTTTCTGTAGAAGTCAGACATAAAGAAAATTCTTTCACATCTCTAGTGAAGTTAAGTAAGACAGTATGGATATGAAAGTAGTACTTATCTACAGGAAGATGTCTCGAGTTTGCAGTTTCCATAAAATAATGACAATGCAAGACTCTAATTTCAAAAGGAAGGAAGTTTGAGAGGAAATAACCAACTTTGTGACCTTAAATTAATATGAGCAAATTTTCATATGACTTAAAAAGGCACTGCCTTAATAGCATTGATAATAATGACCGTCATGACTTTTGAAAACCATTCATTGAGAGAATAAGGACTTGAGGCCTGGATGAGATCTTCCATTATTTTTAGATTGTATGTGGTTTATACTTTGTAATGTCTATTTTTATACTTAAAGGTAAAGACCAGTATTGGAAACGCCCCAATTTCAAAAAATGAAATGGAAGCTCTTATTACCAATCATGTGAAAGTATATGTTTTGACTAATACATGATGATAACAAATTTGCCAGGAAACCGCCTACTAATTGATATATTTGGTAAATTAGTTTATCTATGGTCTGAGAGATAAACGCACGTGTCGCGCAAGTGTGCGTATAGTCCCATATACATCTTTTTGTGTACAGTGCTCGTAACTTTACGAAGACAGGGCCAAATTTCTTATCATTTTGATGATTCCAGAACCTTGCAGTACACACCAATACTTATATGCTAGATGATCAACCTTTTCTGATAGATTCCACAACGTTTCTTTCACAATGCAATCGCATGACCATAACTGGTCTTTACCTTTAATGCATTATTCTGCTAAGAAATTGTGTGGGTTTGTATGTGTATTAAAAGATGAACTCGGAACCTACTGCCATACACAAGGTTCGTATAGTGCTTAAATACATGTGCAGTTTCTTTCTCATAAATGACAAGATATTGTTTTCTGTATATGTGCAGAAATCCCGGTGACGATCCCATTGCAAGTCTTGGTTGGATTCACAAACAATGGCCAACAAGATTTCACAATTGAAAGTCTGCATGCAACTCTACGGTACCCACAGGACTTCTCATTTTACATCTACAATGTAAGTTTCACTCAAAACTACTACTATATCAACTAGTAACGTTGCAAAATTGTATTTCATAAATGCAAACATGCAGTTGTAATACAGTAAATACAAACCTTCCTTCCCTGTCAATGTCATCAGTGCAGTAAGGATTTTAAACTTAGTTATATGAAAAACTTTCTTTTATTTTGTTTTGAATAACGTGATGCTACACAGAGTTCCTAAAAACTTCTATCACCTTCACAATACCCTAATTTTTCCCAATATTTAGGTATAGTGAACACTTACTCATGTTTTTTGCTCCTATTCTATTTAATGTTTCTGTGATCCTGGTTATTCAATTTTAGAGCTTTGATACACATTACATAGAAGAGAAGTTGAACAAAGGTTAGTGTCTTTTGGAAACAATTTCAAATGACAATTTTCCCATTAGCATAAAAATAGAATGTAGGGTCGAGAACAAAAATCATAAAATCAATTTAATTTGCAGAAGATGTTTCACTAAGTATATCATTAATTATTTTCTTGTTATTTTGCTCACCAGTTCACGGAGAAAGAATACAACACAGTAGTAGAACCCAACAAGGAGGCCACGTTTGAATATTCATTCCAAGCAGGAGAAGTCTTTGCTGCCCGTCAGTTTGGATTCGTCTTTGAGCTTGCATACAAAGATTCAGTAAGTTTCACATTTGGTTAACATTTCAGCATTTTAAATGTGTGTATGATGATTGTTTTACCTGACTGCTAAGAAAGCATGAGTATGCTAGTAAGTAAGCAACCAGGGGACCGTAGGCTATAAGTTCTCTCTCTTGGGCTAGGTAATGTAACATTTCCATTTAGAGCTTGTGCAATTGGTCAATTGGACCCCCCCCCCCCCCTCTGAAAAGGTTAGTTTAGAGCCCTCCCCCCCCCCCCCCCCCCTGCATTAAACTTATTATTGATGTAACCTTGCCATTAATGGTAACTTCCATGGAAACCTTGATTTGAGTGGCTGTTGAATGATTTTGGCATGGTAAATAATATGGATGCAAAGTTGTCATCAATATTAAGGTTTATGCTAAGGGCCCTGGTTGTTTGTAAAGACAAGGTGGTTAAAATAATTTTGCTTTTTTTGTTCTATGATGTGAAGCTGGAAGGCATTTGGTCTGAACTTTCTCTGTTCTTCTGCATGGATGGAGTGGACATCTCTCTCCTTGTACTGATGGTGTCGACAAGCATCGAGTTTTTCATGCTCTCGTCACTATTGTACTAGGTTTAGGGTTCATCCCTGTGCTTTAGTCACAATACACTAATGGGCATGATGGCCCTGCATGCACTTACTGGTGAATATAGAGTACTTCTGTTTAAGCCAGTTGTTGCAGGCATCCATCAGTGTCTAGTCATGTGACTGGCCCCTTCCATGTGGTTGGATAGAGAAAGTGTGATCACAAATAACCAGAGGCTGAGAACACTCGCCAGTACCTTAGCATTGACTTGGTTTCAAACCCGGGACCTCCTGGTTATAATAATAATAATAATAATAATAATAGCCTAATAGTCCACTCCAAATTTTATTAAACCAAAACAGAAATTCATCATACCTCCTTGTTGTGCTAAAGGATTTATTTGCTGACAAAAAGAGAGAAATCCGGAGTATTCTTGCTATGAATCAATTGACAAAAGGGGTTATTGATGTTGACTACCTCATTGACATTTTCTTCTTTCTTATCTCATTGCAGGAAGGAAACCTTTATTCAGATGCCGTTTTTAATGACACAGTAACTCTTGTTGAATTAGATGAAGGTCTAGACACAGAAACGTGAGTATGATTAGGTCACCAGAACTTTTAAAGATAAAAGTTGAGTACTGGTCATGCGATTGCGTTGTGAAAGAAACGTTGTGGAATGGATTAAAAAAAGGTTGATCATCTAGCATATAAGTATTGGTATGTACGGCAAGGTTCTGGAATCATCAAAATGATAAGAAATTTGGCCCAGTCTTGGTAAGGTTACAAGCACTGTACACAAAAAGATGTATATGTATTTTGTTATGGTAAATATCTTTATTTCTTGACACGACAATTCTGTTAACTTTGGAACTTTTAAAGGCCCACTGCACTACTTGCAGCTACTTGCGCCCTCTATATAACAAACAATGCCTAATCGGTGACCATTGCTCCCCCATGATCCTCTTTTTATGCCTCCGTTACGAAGTAGCCGGAGGCATTATGTTTTCGGGTTGTCCGTCCGTACGTCCGTACGTCCGTCCGTCCGTACGTCCCGTTCTCGTGATCGCGTTATCTGAAGAACCGATTGATGGATTCCTGCCAAACTTTGGTCATGTATGTTACTTGCAGAGCCGATGAACTGATTAGATTTTGGGGTCACGAGGTCAAAGTTCAAAGGTCACAGGGCTCATTATGTATGCAAAAACAGCTCGTGATCGCGTTATCTGAAGAACCGATTGATGGATTCCTGCCAAACTTTGGTCTTGTATGTATCTTGCAGAGCCGATGAACTGATTAGATTTTGGGGTCACAAGGTCAAAGGTCACAGGTCACAGGGCTCATTAGGTATGCAAAAAGAGCTCGTGATCGCATTATCTCAAGAACCGATCGATGGATTCCTGCCAAACTTTGGTCATGTATGTATCTTGCAGAGCCGATGAACTAAATAGATTTTGGGGTCACGAGGTCAAAGGTCAAAGGTCACAGGGCTCATTATGTATGCAAAAATAGCTTGTGATCGCATTCTCATTAGAACAGATTGATGGATTCCTGCCAAATTTCGATCATGTATGTATCTTGCAGAGCCAATGAACTGAGTAGATTCATGGGTCATGAGGTCAAAGGTCATGGGCTCATTATGTATCCAAAAATAACTTGTGAACGCATTCTCATTAGAACTGACAGATGGATTACTATTTAACTCAGGACATCTTGCAGAGCCAATGAACTGAGTAGATTTTAGGGTCATCAGGTCAAAGATCAAAGGGTCATATATGTATATGAGAAATTGCTTGTAATCACGATATTCTGAGAACCTGTTAATGGATTACAATTGAACTTGAATTTGAAAAATTTCTTCTGTTTTGGTTTGTAAAATTGCTCTATGACGGAGGCATCATTTTCGACTGCGCGCAGTCGAAGTTCCATCTAGTTATTTCTACCATACTTATCCCTCATCTATTGAAGCTATACATTTGATGCAATAGTCATGTAACTTTGCTAATTGTAAAAAAAAAAGAATTTTGATAACTTTGCATTCGTAATTGTAAACCTGTTATGTATTCTTCATTGCAGATTTTTCCTGTATGTGTTCCTAGCAGCATTAGTTGTGCTTGCTTTCGTTGTCGTACAACAAGTCATGGCATCCTTTGGAGTGAGCGTAAGTACAAGCAAACTTTTTTCATTGGAAAAAGATTATTACATCCATTATGTTATTTCTTGGATATTTTATACATTTTGCCACTTTCATTGATAAAAGTGAAGACACATCCCTGATGTGAATGAATGCAAATCGAGTCCAATTTATCTATTACATGTACGATCATTGGCTGTTATCCTAATAATTCTGTCGGAATCTTCTTATGAAACACCAGGAATTGAAGTTGGTGAGAAACAAAATATTTCTCTTTAAATAAATTGCATTTCATTTATTTCTATTTCTGAATGATGAAGAAAATGTTTTGTTGTACTTTCTTTAGGAGAATTGATTGAATTCCTGTTGGGATATAACATTAGAGATCTGGTACCATTCATTATGGAAAAATATATAGATATCTTGGCTCTTTATTCGAAGCAAATTTAAGATTGTGACTGTATCCTTGATTTTCACATTTTGTCTTTGCAGAAAAAGAAGAAGACTTCAAAACAAGTTGTTGAGACTGGTACATCAAACCACACAGATGTAGACTATGATTGGATTCCCAAGGAGAATATAGCAAGTAAGTATTTTTTATATGGTTAGATTACATGGTTAAATAATAATGATATAATATTTAGCTTTTATATAGTGCTTTACAAATAAACTTGAAAAGTAGATGGTTGTCTATGCCAAACCCCTGTATTTTAATTTAGAAAATCATAAATATTTTAGAAAGTATTGATTTTGATTCTCTTTGAAAAAATATTCCAGGTTGATTTTTTTGTTTTCTTAAATTTTGCTATGTCTCTGGGAAAAAAGGAGAGCTGTATTCCTTATTGATTTATGGATCAAAAAGTTGTCCATCAATCAAAGAAGGGTAAATTTTATTTCAAAAGATTACAATGTGTAGTGCCTGAAATTCATGGCTTGTGTATTGGAATGTGGTCCTTGTAGACAGGTGGTCACTAAAGCATATATATTTATATCTTTTTTTCCCACAGAAAAAACACCTTCACCTCGCAGATCTCCGAGGAGACGCACAAAGAGATCCGGAGGATCCGGAGACGAGTAAACAATAATCTAGATTCCAAAGTAGAACAAAAATTAGATAAAATAATAAGGATAACAATTAGAAGACACCCTGACATAAACCAATCAAGGTCTAGTAGCATTCCACCCATATTTGACTCCACCAAGATTTCTCAAACTGGATAATCAAAACTAATAATAGCATTTGAAAGTTTGAACATCTCTTGCAAAATAAATAAAAGGATTTTTTGTGTGTAAAAAATTGGAATACAAAACTATGGTATGTGATGTGTGTTTACTGTGTCATGTTGTGAGCAATTGTGTGTGGACTCTGATGTGCGTATGATTAGCCTTTCACATTTCCTTGCTTTCAGAGAACCAGTAATTAAACCTTGATGATAGAGTGTATGTGGTTTTCAAAGAAAGCTCTTTGAATTTTCCTCCCCATCTCCATATTGAGCCTATATGTCTTCACATCATCACTGGTTGTATATACAAAGAGTTATACAAATTGAAGAACCTCTCTAAATAGGAAATATACACTCTCCACTTTCCTAGTTAACACTACTTGTGGTCTGCACGACTCAAATATCTGATTACAAATTTTCCTAAGATTTAGTATTATTTTAGTTCTCTTATGCCAAAGAGAAAGAGTATACAAGTAGTCTGTAAATGAAAGTTTATTTTACCAACTTGTAGTTCTGTCTTCTTGAATGATAGAAAATCCCAGATAACTATTTTGGAGGTGACGGGTAGAGAGGATCAAGCAACTTCAAATATATACTCTAAAAATTGCAATATGCATTTGAAATATGCAATGCTGTTCATTTTTTCTCTCGGGGGCTAACAAGTAAAGAATTATTAGATAGAAATGAATAATGATAATTACTGCGCAAGTATACATGTATTTCATTATTGTGAGTGTGAATAGTCGTGACGCTATTCTCGATATCGTAATCATGTAAATTCCATTACTTGTATTGTGGTCTTATTCTTGGTGTTGGTTATTTTTTCTTTTCAAGTATTTAAATTCTAAATTCCTTCCGTTTTCTTTTTGTCTAGCATACAATGCAGTTAGAACATGTGATTTGTCCAACTAAATGTATTTCTGATTTCCTTAATAATTCTATTGTGTAATGCTATGAAATATACCATTTCATTACGAACTAATTTTCTTCTTTACTTTTTTGTCATGTAAATACATGTGTACATCTCTATGTCTCGTTAATTAAATTCATTCCTTTTTAGTTTATTTCTTGTAGATATAGTTATTGGAAGAAAAAAAAATCTATCTTGCCTAAGAGCAAATTTTCAAACTTATATTTTTGTGTGAAAAATTCAATACTTTAAAAAATAGTTTGAGAAAAATTGATATATCTATTTGAAAATACGGAGAACACATAAAGAATTCAAGCAAGGAGAATTATTATGGGATTTTTATTAAATTATTGACAATGCAGATATTTAGCAGTATTACTAGTATAATTCTTAGGAGATTAGGGGGTCTTTCTCTTTGATGTAGAACATTTTGGAAGTAGATAAGTTCGTAGAGTAAAAAATGAGCGCTAGTTGAAACAAATGGATTTTGTGGATTGTTCAAATAATGTGAAGCATATGTCAAATTCTCTGCATTTTTGTTTGTTAAAGCTCCATGTTTGTTTTTCAACTCTGCCTTATTTAGATTTAATCGAACAGGGAAGAGTGCAAATGTAAAACTTGAATTCTTTTCTTCTTCTTCATCATCTTTTTTGCATTATCTTTTTGCATCATCTAGCCCAAACTGGAAAGATTTCAGGGCAAATGTTCATAAAAAAGAGGGAGGGTTTTTTAATTTCAAACTTCTAGACTAAACTGCCATTTGAATTGTAAATTACTTGATTACAGTGGACATATTTAATCAAGTACCTGAGATACAATAAAGCTGATTGAAGTGGCCTGAAAGAGAATTTACATTTAAAAGACTAAATATATATATATATATATTTTCTGTAAAAACAACTGGCAGAACCAAATTAAACCCAAATTATCTTCTTGGTGAACAGGAATGCAAGGACTTGTATTTTAAGGGTATGACATGGGCATATTTTTGTTGAATTGCCGAATACTTTAGTCAATTTTCATTTGAATAAACAATACTTGCTGGTGTGTTTGATATATCAATCAAATTTCTAAGATATTAAAGAAAAAAAGAAAACAACCAACCACAGCTTATCCTGTTTCTCAGTTTGTGTGAAGTTGGGTTAGGGGGAAGGGAGTAAATCATATTGGAGAAATATTGAAGTTAGTTGTATCATGGACCTATTATGGATGGACATTCGTCGTTTCGTTAACGAAGTCAATGTAGCCTCGATAACATTCCGTACAATTTTCTTCTTCTTCACTTTCACCTCATGAGGGTCACCGCCAATTAGCCGGGACAGAATCAAGACAGTGATTTTACACATGTTAATCTACATGCGCAGAAGATAATAAATCGCTTAAATCATGGGAAATCGATGTGCAGTTCTGGTTTATAATCAGAAATTGTTCCATGTACTGTATTTCATTTTGAAAAACGTTGATACTACCAGATAGAGGTTATATTTGGATTGGTTTTAATAATTCCTCGTAATATTCCAAAGTTACAACACACAGGGCTTGTAAAGATCATGGCATTCTAATTGTTTTATAAGGTCAAGGGTGTGTGCGAATCAGTAATAATACATTTCATATCGCCAAAATCGTCTGCTTTTCAACTTTGCTGCTCCCCATTGTTGATGTTTTATTTAAGACACTCTTACAGAGCACACCATCCAAACAAAACCCAAGAGAGGGAAACTGCTCCTTTGTCAATGACCGAAAAGGCTTAGCAGTCGTTATTGTTAAAACAAGATCAAAGAAAGAATCACGTCGAATGGCCATCCGTAATAGGTCCATGGTTGTATGCACAGCTCAGTGCTGCATAGTTCCAGACCAGTATTCATGCTATCAAGTTGTGAACAAACTGCATTTGTCATCTTGTCATGCACGATTTTGGTGACTAAAAAGAGATCTTGCTATACTTGTGTGCATACAGAGAGATGTGTATTCATGGTGATCATGTAGAGGAGAATGAACTACCAAGATATAGGAGCTGACCTACATTGATAACCTTTGCTTTATCTCACAATGGATGGGGATGTTACCTTTGTTAGCCAAATATGAGTCCTTGAAAAAAATCGTTTCAACTTCAAAAGAGTTAACAGATTCCAAACACTGTATATTGATTCCATATGGCCTAGTCAATATACACACATAGTGAATTGTATCTTTCTGTGGTTCATATCAATGCTATGCCATGGCCATTGTTTACCCTATACTAATATTGAAATGAGCAACAACAAAAATAGCAATACTACTGTTGGCATAGGTCCAAGTGTATCAGTGTACAAGTGTCCTTACCCTACAGGTCGATCCCTGGACTGGGTGTAGTGAAAACTGGTGTCCTTGAGAGTTCAATTACTGGGAACAGCATTCGAGACAATTTTCCAAGTTGCACAATACAAATCCAAATAACTGAATCGACTGTATTATAGCACATAATATCAATCTTAATTTTAACAAAATCCCTAGATGTAGGAGGCAGGCGGTAGGGGTGCAGTCAGCACCCCACTCCTTAATGGACGGTTTGATAGAGCTGCCCCTGGAGATTTGGGTAGCGAGTGAGGTGGTCTCTGTAATTTCATATTCAGATGACAAAATTACATTTGATTGCACAAAATAGATACACAATGCACCAAAAATGGATGTTGCTGGAATGAAGTGGAAATATTTTAATTTGTTCTCAAAATGTCAAAAAATTCACTGGGGAAAAAGGAAAAGTTGATGATAAAAAAGGATACATCATGTAGTCCCCCTACCCCCCCCCCCCCCTCCCCCCCCTCCCCATCCCAATCTCTCCATGATGCCCCTCACCCCCCCCCCCCCCCCCCAATTCTGTGTCCTTACACATCTGTATATAACATTTACCTAAGAAAATTAAATTGGTTTTCACAATCTGCATATTGTGTATTCATTGTACACGCATTAATAGCATTAATCTCCCCAGAACCAGTGTTCGGACCCATATAACTTTACTGATCGGTGAGAATCAATATTTACCTTCTTCATTGTTCTTCTTAACCCGGTCCTTTCCTTACTAACCCCTTATTATCTACGATATATCGCAGATCCATCGTAATTCTATCCCTTTCTTATTGTAGGTCACTGATTCTTTTCTTTTTTTCTTTTTTTTAATGCTCAATTTAGGTCTACATATACTTAAAACCAATGTAGATTCAAAAAGATTATCCATGTATCAAATATTATTCTGTAGCAATCGGCAAAATAATCCTTATAATATACCACGGGGTTGTGAATTAGACAACTCCCTGCATTTAATTTGGGCCTGTGTATATCCCTCCCAGTGTTTTCTACAAGCACCCCTCATACTTTATAGATCGGTCCATGCAGCGTGGTTAGTGAGACGAATAGGAGATTTGATTGGATAATATAACGTTGACAACATAACAGGACGAAAGACTATTGGCTGTTGATGACCTAGCTCTACTGGATCATTCCATTATGCTCGTCATTGGACTGCACGGAGGGAATGTTTTTATTTACTGATTTTTCAGAATGGGTTCAGTGTGAATTACGAAGTGCGAACGAAAGGTCGTACCACAAACAACAATGGCTGAAGTATTATTAGTACCAGAGCAAATTCCTCATGAACCAAGTTCGTCTGCAATCGGAGAAAGTTCCGAATGTGATGAACCTATGAAGAAAAAACCAAGGCTGGAAAAACCACCAGAACAAGATGATGAAAACCTAGAAGATAGACTGAACGAAATTCTGTGTTGCACCGTCTGTTTGGACCTGCCAACATTCACGATATATCAGGTGAGTTCATACAGATGCAGATGGAAGCAAAACAATCGAAACCCGTGACACAATTTGCATGATATTGACGATTTAATGCTTTAAATTTGCTACATTTCAGAAGTATATCGACTATTGGATCTATGTCAAGCAAAAACAGTCAATTATTACAATTTTATGGTATTTAACTTAGTGATTTTTAACATATTGCAAAGGGTTAAATCCTAGGGTCATGTCGAGTTCAGTCGTTCTGCTGTGGCTATACAAGGGAACACGTTCTGTGACGCAACCGTTTGTTTACATCCATTGCTCACGTTCTTGTGTCCACTACTAGCGCTGGCTACGTGGCCGTAGTACTAGTCGGGCTCCCGTGAAGTGGGCGTGCCTCGGCCGTGCAATTCGTATTGTACTAGAGTTTCTATGTATAATGTAGACTGTAGTAAACATGTTTATCTACCTTGTTGTCTTCGTCTAGATCTTAATATATTTGTCTATATCAATGTTAATTGTTATGTTAGCATTGCTTTATGCATTAGATTCTAGATTATTTCTTGTTTTATTTATAGGTCTATAGATCTAGTACATTTCCCAGGAATTTTCTGATTCCTTATTTTTGTCACAGCCCAGGTTATTGTAGACCGAATTTTTCTGTCTCTTTCGTTCGTTAGCCTCTGATTTGGGTAGGTCGGCTCTCTCTTTAGAGACAGAACAGCCCCATACGCTGTAGTGGCCGCGCGTTTGTACTAGATCTAAGAAACGTTACACAAAACTTGGCCAAACTTAATCCCTAATTTTGATATTTTACCGGATGCGTATCCGATGCATTTAAAGTCCTAAATTAGCTAAATACTTAACTACTTCGGTTCCACTTACCAACTTGACTGGAATAATCCGTTTAATGGTCCATTTTTAGGAAATTATGGGTCAAGATCGACATCCATGAAGAAAATCTTGCAGCCGAGTCTCATTCTTTCTAGTCTACGCCGAAGGCAAAATGATTATAACGGAAAAACTGTGCACGAGCTACGAGTTCGTAATGACATGCATAGTTTTTCCGTTATAATCATTTTGCCTTCGGCGTAGACTAGAAAGAATGAGACTCGGCTGCAAGATTTTCTTCATGGATGTCGATCTTGACCCATAATTTCCTAAAAATGGACCATTAAACGGATTATTCCAGTCAAGTTGGTAAGTGGAACCGAAGTAGTTAAGTATTTAGCTAATTTAGGACTTTAAATGCATCGGATACGCATCCGGTAAAATATCAAAATTAGGGATTAAGTTTGGCCAAGTTTTGTGTAACGTTTCTTAGTACAAACGCGCGGCCACTACAGCGTATGGGGCTGTTCTGTCTCTAAAGAGAGAGCCGACCTACCCAAATCAGAGGCTAACGAACGAAAGAGACAGAAAAATTCGGTCTAAGGTTATTGATGTTGGTATACTATGGTGGGCTTCGTGGTAATTTACTTTGACGATGTGATGATTTTCGCCATGCAAAACGAGAAGGCGTTGTTTCGTTAAGGCAATGATGTTGAAATATGTCTATGTAACTATTGATGACATGACGACTAGATCGAGTACGACTCCCATTTTGTTGAATGCCAGTCGTAATCCGATGTCTGATGTAAAGCAGGAATGTGAGGCATAAGCATAAAAGAAGTCTGAATTAAAACCTCTTTTTGTATACAGAATAAACAAGCAATGCTCCACCCCCTCCCACCTCCCCTCCAGAAGGTTTCGTTTTAATGCAGTTTGTTCTCATTAATCAACTTCTTCAAAAAGGTCAAACTCTTGCCATTATTCTTTGGAAATTACCCTCGCCCTTCCCTCAAAAAATAAAAGAGAAAGAAATTTGATAGACTATCAGAATAAGAGCATATGTGGACAAAAAAATAACACTTCTTTCAGAATTGATTTAAAAAAAGAATGTGGTAATACTAGAATGATGCAATCCATGCTATTAAATCTCATTTATGTATCTTATTTCATATTATGTAGGGCTTATGGCCCGAATTCACAAAGGAGGTTTAATTGTTGCAAACCTAGGTTCATGTGCATCATATGACGCGTTTCCATGCGTTTCAGACCAAGGTGTAGACAAACCTTGGTCTGAAATGCGTCAAAACGTGTCATATGACGCACATAAACCTTGGTTTGTCTACAAACCTCCTCTGTGAATTCAGGCCTCTATGTCTGTAGACAGTGTAATGGATGATGTAACTTGGACAAAGCTTTTATGACAATGCAGTAAGGTCATGACCATTTGTAAAGTTGAATGTCAGTTGCTGAATTATGGGAGTGGTACAAACTACAAATAAAAGACTGATTTGAAATTGAAGTCTGTGGAGGACTGCCATACACGTACAAACATGGCTCCTTAATTTTCCTTTTGAAATGTCTTGAATATCAATCTTTACTTGAGCTAGAGGCTATGGAATATATATGCCTGCTAACAAAATCGAGTGGTACCATTTTGGAATATTGATACTATCCCTGAGAATGATGTGAAACATTTTTTATTTCAAATCGCGTTTCCTGTCATTTTGCTTCATGCACTGACATACTTTTTAAATTCTATCAGCTCTGCACAAAGTAGAAACAGCAGTGAAAAAATACAACTAAAAAGAATCAGCTATGGAAAGTTGTGAAATAGTTTTTGAAAAACCAGAAGTAAGAGTTGTTTTTTAACAAAACTATAAAAGAAAGCAATACAATTCTGGTGGGTGGAAACTCTTACAATACTTTATAGAGCTTTGAATAATAGAATAAGTTACACCCTGCCAAACAGGCACTTTGTTCTGCTGTGCACAATTACACATTCCAAGTGGAATCTGGAAGGAGTGGAAGCATTGTAAAGCATGTATCAGACAACAGGGCGAACAGATAGGAAAATATACTTAACATTGTCTGTGCTTCACAGACCAGCCTACATGTATGCCCACACACTATTGTGTAATCATAGGAAGACTGGTATGAATTGAGGAATTTCGAATCTCTCTTATTGTGAAGGCATTCTTAGCATTCCATGGAATCTATATTATATTCACACACAGGGTTTAAGGTACACATACATGCATGTACATAGCTGCAGTGTGCATGTAGCTGAAAAACTTGTTTGGGTTATTTTGCATATTTATTGAACCTGAATTTTCACATTGATGTTTAAATAGAATTTGTGTGAAATTTATCTGTTGCATATATGTAAAAATTTGTGGATAGAAGTTATAACCATGTTCCATTCCTCCATGGATCTCAATGTTATTTTTTTCTCCCAGGTTATAATGAATCGTCAGTGAAGTATGGAAAAAACTGTGATCATTTTGTTTTTTTGTTCAACAGATTTTCAGATAGACTTTTCTTTGATCAGACTATTCAACAACGATTCACATGGCTGTTACATTTTGCTATCTCTTAAGAAGTGTGATATCAGATTTTACATAGACTTAACCTGAATGTATTTTTTCTTCTTCTCCCTATGCAGTGTAACAATGGTCATTTGATGTGTGCTGGTTGCTTCACCCATCTCCTAGCGGACTCCAGACTCAAAGACGAGCAGCCGACGTGTCCCAACTGCCGCTGCGAGATCAGCAAGAACCTCTGCAGCCGTAACTTGGCTGTGGAGAAGGCAGTGAGTGAGCTTCCGGCAGGGTGCCGGTACTGCAACTGTAAGCTTCCACGTTACTTGCTGGACCAGCACGAAAGACAAGGCTGCAAAGAAAGGTAACCTGCTCCCTCTGTGGGGCATAGATGTAGGGAGTAAGTATTAACCCCCAGTAGGGACGTAGGTCGCGGTAGTCGGGGGTTTAAGTTAGGACGTACAGTAAGGACATTTGCTAGGTGATAGGCTAGGGCATGATGTAACAAGAATGTCCTCAAGTTTTATTCAATGTGGTGTTGTTTCAATTGCTCACGCAGCTCTTTCTTCTTCGGGATCCCCAACCATAGCTCCGACCCAGTGGTGGCAGTACATGTCAGCTACATGTTTTTCGTGCCCCTGATGTGCAAACGTTTGCAAGGTTTGGTAACGGGTAAGTATGGTGTACTCCTCGTACACTACTCATGCTGGAAACGTGGCTTCCACAGAACCTTGCCTTTGAATGCTGCTTATCGTAACGCTGTCCTGATTTTTAGACTCGCTACAGAAACCTTAGAAAGAATTGGTATTTTATGAGCAAGTTATCCTAACCGTTCAAATTATGTGGTATTACAAGTGGTAGGACCCTAACTGGAAAATGAAAATAAAACAATATTTTAGAGAAATGATTTTCAATCTGAATCAGTTCAGAAAATTGAAAAGGATAATAATTCATTGACCAGATGATTTTTTTTTTAAAGAAAATGTTGCTCAATACATAATTACATGTACAACTACTTTCATTGATACAAGTGCAAATTGTCACAAAACCCACAATGAATTGGTGTATTCCATGTTTTGGTTTTTAAAATTTGGGTACTTTTAAAAGCAGATTTGCATTAAAGTGTAATTGATCACAAGTAGCATTTACTTTACGTTCCAACTTTCTGTATTTTATCTAAATTATCATTTTATGAATGATACATAAACTCTCATGCTCCACCTACATGTAACTATGTTTTGCCGAATATGATGCAATACTCATGATTTATCCACCAGGAAGTCATTGATATTCTATCATATTCACTTAAGCACAGTTTTTAAGAAGCTTGAGAGATTTGAAGCAATTCATCAAGTTGAAATTGGCATGACTGACATCATTTGTTTTGTTGGCTTGCAGAGGAAAAGGTTTCATTGAATTTGTGATCAGATATATTTTATGCAAAAAGGCTTCAGTAAAAAAAAAATGATTACAAAAAACACCTTCCAACAGAATCTAACACTTCAATTTCCTCAGGAATTTTAAATTTCTGCTTTATATTCCCTAGCCAAAAAAGAAAAATGCAAACCACAATTTTTTTAACCTGACATGATCTTTCTGTAAAATTAAAGCATGAAATTGGGTAAACAAACTTCAGTTACTTTGTACCAGTATATTTTCTGAGAGAAAAAAATATTCAAGGACTTTATATGGTATTTGTTTCTGTTTCCAAAAAAATTTATATTGGCTGTCATATATGGCAATCTATTATCATAGGTTGTTATTTTATATTGAAAAATACCTATTTCATGGAAAACTTGCTCAGATACCGCATAAAAACAAATGCTCGGTGAAAATTCTTGTCCAGCAATCGATACAAAGACATTCAACTACCAGCTGAAAGCATTATGTGTGTTTGACTATGACAAGTTCTATTTCGAGACAACTTCCATGATAATATTGGAAACGCGTGACAATGAAACCGTATCAGGCAGATGGCCTCCCTTGCAGAAAATTAATTGGATTGACATAACCTTGGGGACAACATGTACAGTGTACAGAATAAAAATAGAATAAAAACATTGCTTTATTGGTACAGTATCCATACATACCAAAAGATATGGCTTAGTGGACTTTGATACAAAAAGAATTGTTCTTGATTTGACCATTTTATAAAAAATCCTGCCGATTGGTACAATTTATTAATCTGCTCCCCAAAAAATATTGGTGCTGTACTGTATACATAGAGGTGTTCATTTATTTGGCTGAAAGCAAAATGCAACTCAAATGTCAATAGATTCACAGCAGTGATAGATGTGAAAATATGGATGTACATGCAAAAGCATTAAATTTGTCTCCTCAATTGAGAAGCTTAAGCTTGGCTAATTTTCATGGGGGAAAAATTGGCAAAAATTTTGTGGTAAAATACTTGTCTCTGATTGTTCACTTTGAAGGTTTAAAGATTAAAGAAGAGGTCGGGTGTGAGTATATGCTCCACATCATCTCTTGATTGGCAAATAAGAATTCAGTTCTTGTTTTACAATGTGCATCGGCATTTTGACAGAAATTTGCAATATGATATATGGTGCAAACACAAAGTGCACTGTAAAAGGTTCGCAATACGGATGCAGTAGGTGTGCACTTGACACGCAGCATTGTCATAATTGAAAGGGTTCACTCATATGAGACTGTCCATTCAGTATAGAGACAATATGATGCGTCAAGTGTATACTTTGTGCATATAGCATAGCCAGTCCTTTACAGTGCTCTTTATGCTCATACAGCACTTTCATGGCAGCTCTTTAAAGTGCTAATGCCATAACTTGAATTCATTCATTCTTGAAATTTGGTAAAGCAAATTGTGATTTTGTCACTCTTTTAAAATCATTTGCAATACTAAAGAGCAGAACTAAAATTACTAAATCAATAAATGAATGGCAATGAAAATTATCTTGATAGCTAATAGATGTGGAACCAGGCGGTAAGTAGATTAAGCTAAAAGATAATCCTTCATTGGCACTTGTAAGATGGATTCTAGCTCTTTCATAAAATTTGCAATATTGGTGTTTTGGCATATTTTTAAATTATCAATGAACAAAAAGTGGATTAACAAAACAATTTATAATTTTCTCTTTGAAAAGCTTGATCTTTTTTATTAAACCAAATATTCAAACTCATTCAAAAGGACAATTGACAAGTATTCTACACAAAATATGAAATTTCTGTGGTGAAAAAGGGATCTCAAAAGTCTAGTCACATAAAACACATACAGCTTTCAACACACACACAATTAAACTGGTAGCAGGTGAACTTCAATGGAATTTCCTTTCTTATTCCCATTTTTTCATTCTAAATAAAATCAAGAATTGTGTGTGGAAATAAAGTGGTTCAAATGGTAGCCAAACTTTCCGGAAATCCTAACGCAGTAAAAAATGTTACGAAGCCTAGCAGCAAACAAAGTTCACCATCGTCTGTGGGAGCCATGCTTTTAAGGAGGATAAGAAGTCTCTCTTCCTTTGTTGCAGACTAAAATTATAGTGAGCGTCATCGCATGCTTCCTGTCTCAAATTTTTTTTTATGCGCTAGCCGGATTTGGACCTTCCAAGCATCAAATGGAGCGCTGCGGCTCAGCATTTCTTTTTCAGTTATTTTTCTTATTGATTTTTTTTGTTGTACCTTTTTATTCTGTTGAAAGAATTATTGGGATGCAGAAAAGCAAAGGAGCTATATACAGGAGTCTTGGCGGAATATGTACCCATTTGCAGTGGATGTGAAATCTATTTAAGGCAGCCGTGATCTTATTAGATTAGGTAACCGTGCAGACAAAATAGCCCGCGGACATTTAATAGTTGATATCATGTGCTCATCATTTATTCCTTCTCCTTCTTGTACACACGTACTATGAATTTGGGCCTAATGTGTGTCATGTACATGTACAGTGTAGGCCTATATACATACTTGTGCTGTATTGCTACAGCTTTCTTCTAAATTGGCAACTTTTTTATGAATCGTTTGAATAAAATGTTATGATGCCTTGTTGAAATTACCAATAATTTCAGCAACAAAAAAGAAAATCAAACAAAAAAGCAGTCAGACTTGTGATTCCCTTTAAAAAGATAGTAGTGGTCCGGGTAACCTAACCTATTTATGCATGCACTGGAATACTAATTACCGGTCTGTGCATGTACACAAGTCACAAATATGGGCAGAGGAAATAAATGGATGGCTGCATATCATGTGACTTTTTGTTGACCTCGATCATGTGAGCAGTCTTTTGTGGTTATATGTCACTGCCTTGGCATGCAAAATTAGGGCACTCTGAATTTCTGCAGTATTCATTAAACTTTAAAATGGGTGTGGTTTGACAGCAAGCTAGCTTTTCATTAAAAAAAAAAGATCTGATATATTTAACGTTAATAAAAGGGTGGAAATTATTCATAAACCTGTTCCTTACCTTATATACACCAGCAGGTGTTTAAAATTATGCTTCCACTCCCCCTTTGTATTCACAAATGAAAATATATTTTTTTAATGGAATGCCTTCAATTTGGGAGTGCGCTATTCCTGCACCTATTTGGATATTACTCAACGTTAATTTGCCGGAGAACCCAATTGACATTCCGTCCTGCCCAATAAATTACCTCCAAATTATTAACTGAGACCGGCATGCTAGTAGCTCAGCCATAACATAAGAAAGGTCACATTCATTACAGTAAGTGCTGCAGATATAGCTTCTAGTGCAGATGGGTACATATTGAGTTGAACACGGGCAAAGAAGCTAGTGTATGCATCAACACACTGGAAGGGGAAAAAAAGAATTGTTGCAGGCTGGCAGGCGCACGCTTGTCTTCCCTGGGCCTTCAGCATCTCATTTCACAAGGAGATCGAGAAAGGATCTAGTGTGCAGCAGAAGCAGCGCATACCTGCCGTCGGCTCTATGAAATTGATACTTTCTTTTCACACATGTCATATTTGAAATGCCTCTCCTGGCAAGTAGCAGCAGCAGCGTCTATTAAGCAGCGACATGCTTGGTGACCAGTGGAAGCTGAGCTGGCAGTGCTAACATTTATTGCAGATATGCCCCCCTCCCTTTTAAAGTTTGATCAAAAGGACTGGAACAGATGTCCACAAGAACATGCAGACATTTATCCTGATTAATTGGAACTGTCTGGAGATGACAGAAGGATATTGCTGTCCTTCATTTTTATTCTTTTTATCTGATTATTTCTCTTTATTAGCTTATTATTATAAATATACAATGGGCGGGATACCGGTTATTCTATTATGCTATCGAAAATACATTTAGCAAGCTTCCATTGAGACATTAAAGTTATTCTTTTTGTTTATTTTTAAATATTATTTTAGATTCTTGCAGAGAAATTGCTGGTAATCCTCTTTGAACAAAGGAGTATATTCATGTGAAGATTGTTTTATATGATTGAGTAAATTAGATGCAAAGGGAATTTATTTTTCAGCACGCTTCTCCTTTTTCACAATGCCTAAAAATACTTATTCATGTCCAAAAGGATATACCATTTCAACGTTTTTGTTAAAGGGATTATGAAAATCAAGTTGAAATACATTTGTTAATACTTTTAAGTCATTTCATGATATATGACAAATGTGCTTCAATCCATCCATTAAAAAATTGATTTGTGCAGTTTATTTATTTTGCTAAAATGGCCATTCTTTGAAGTCAAAGAACTACATGTATACATCAATATCCATCCCTACATGTACTTCTTCAAATCTTTTAAAAAGTACCTACTAAATTGTTCTTGTTTTAGTTTCTTTTTTAAAAGCCAGAAAAAGCTTCATATTAATGAAAATTACTGAATGTGAAGGAGAGGGTGTTGTTCTTTCCCTATGTGTTTGATTTCTCAGTCTATCTAATGTCTCAATAAGTTGATTGTCCTTATTTTATTAGATGAATACCAGCATTTTTCTGTGAAATTACTAAATAGCTAAGAATGACTTCTTTATTATCATCATAAAGCTTTTTTTTTTTTTTTTTTTTGCTCTGTATGTCTTTATATGTAAAGCATTTATTGTAGAAATAACATTTGTAATGATATAATCATATTTTCACGCAAAGATACACAGCATTACCCACAGTGATTGTGTAACCTGCTTTGTTTTTAAAAGCTATGATATTTTTTTGTTGCAACACAGGTGCATAAACAAAACACATGAATATTCTTTAACTTTAAAAATTCTTTGCGAAGTGTTGTTTTACAATCATAACGAAGAACCAAAAAAGAAGAGATGATGAAATAAAACAAAACGTGACAAAAAGGAAAAGAAAGAGCTGTTATTGTACAAGATTTGTGGGTAATGAGTTATTGATTTGTGAGGAAACGTGATTATTTCATTTTTTGATCCTAGCACACAGTGTTGACATGTTTCCATGCCGATGCACAAAGTGCTATTATTCATTTATGCCAGCTAGTTTTAGTGTTCCAGACTTCATTTCCATAGTAAAAACATCTTTGACTTTGCTGTGGTCACTCATTTCTTTGACCGAATGAAGACAACATATTTAGGACACATTGCTGAATTGTGTCGAAGTGATAAACTGAAACTTAAAATTGAAAATATTAATTTTCACCACATTGAATTGAACATTGACAAAATTCAAACAGAATGAGGTGAGACTCATATAAAGACAAAATGAATTAATGGATAAATGAGACATTATTTGTAGGTCGTAACAGAAATATTAAACAACTGATTGCAGAGAATCCAAGCATTGAATGAAATAGAATAGATACAGATTACACATAATTTCTGCTCATTTGATAATTAGAAATGAAAAAAAAAGGAAAAGGATTATGCACTATATATATAAAAGCTTTGGAAAATATATATATAGACTAAAAAATGTAATCCTGATTTCCTCCTTGAGCCAAAATGTTGACAAGTAATATCATCACACATCTAAAGTAACACTTAATCCAGGCAGCATAACAGGAATACATTTTCATCAATATTTTCATTAGTAATTCAGTCTGCAAGTACATGTAGTATAATATGTCATCCCTTTGGATATCATTTTGCACATCATCAAGCACTGCATGGGTTTGGGGGAAGTCCTGGAAATTAAACTGTACCCATAGAGTTCCTATGGAGCTCTACGCTAGTAATAAACATCAGTGAGTAATGATATCCAGACGGGAAATAGGAGCACTCTCACACGATTAAAGGGAGAGATTAAACCCAGCCCTAGCATCTTGGAATAGTGCTCAATTCAATTCAGACATGTTTTATGAGTGAAATTTTCTAACATTTTTTTTTTCTTTTCTGAAACTACCCAAAATTTGATTATATGTGCTTGGATTCCTTGCTGATCATATATTTGCCAAATTATCAAAAATTGAAATTAGACTAATTTAAAGGGAGATATATTCTGTCCTTACTCTATGCATGTGGCTAAAATTTTGAACATATTTTGATTTCTGATATTATCCACAATCTGGATATTAATTGCATAGTAGATCTCCATGGGAATTAGTTGCACATTATCATATTAAAACAAACAATTTCCTTGTATAGCTCAACCATAATTGGCACAACATTACAACAACAAATTAAAAAACCAATGATTAGATAATTTTATTGTCATTCATGACACAGCTTTTATCTTTCTTTTGGTATAAAAATGAAATTTTATCTTTCTGTCAGCAATACTCGTAAAACAAAATCTCTCTCTCTTTCAAAATTCTACAAATTTAGTGCCAAAAATGAAGTCTATAAAGTACACACACTTGAAAGTGCATACACATGTACTAGTACTAGTACACACATACACGCAAAATAAGTTATGTACAATACATTTCAACTCATTATAATGTCCATTTCCATTGCACCATTTCTGGTTGAATAAAAAAATGTGTGATGACTGATCATACCCAATATAAATATTCAGAAATAGAAAAACAAAAAACTTTGTATGCTCTATCATTGATAACATTTCCTGTAACCAATTTCAAAAGCTTTGTATGAAAATTGACTTATACCTCAAGTTCATATCTTCACATGAATTATGCATATAGATTGATAAATTGGCATATGCTGGGAATTCATTTCATTGCTTCTTAACCATAAATAGTTGGAGAGAAGGTTTTTGGAATGGAATCCTATCTTAATAACCCCTCTCCTTCCAATTCCCAAAACAATTAAGTTCTCAGGGTATTCAATTAGGGTCAATATAAATAACCTAATTCAAATTAATTTGCAAACTGGATCATGGAGTAGGGGTAGCAAATGTAAAATGCAAAACATACCTCCCTACCTTAAAGAAATTGATTGAAGTGCCCGTACATGTCCATGGAAATTCAGTTAGGAATTACATTCAGAAGGCTTTATGGATTAATAATATCCTAATTTGGAAACACCAATGACTTGTCATTCATCTTTTCCTTTTTTTCTCTCATTCAGTGACTATACCATCCTTTTCTTGTGACCTTTTTTCTAACAGAAATGAGGAGATTTTTTTGTTCTCATTGGAAAGAGTAGAGAAAAGAAAGATCTCAAATCATCTCATTGAGCTTTTACACAGGTTTACAGACCTACCAAAATTGTACAAGAAACGATGTCAATGTAATGATGTGGGGAGCTTTAGAGTAACAGAACAATTCCATACATCTGTAATATATATTTCCTTTTGATTTTTTCTTCTTCATTATTATCAGTTGTAGACACTCGCATCTCAATTCAAAAAGAAAAAAATATATATACATGGTTCAAAAAAACATGGGACTGTGTGCAACACATTTTACAAACAAAAATGTGATCCAAAACTACCCAAATTACTCTCCAGTATCAGTATATGATAGATATTGATTACTTGAATTTGCATCTTTGGTTGACCTGTTGTCTATCTAAGATGTATGGAATTGTCTTGTTTCCACATGCTCTCACCCCCCCCCCCCCCTCCCCCTATATGCACATGAACAAAAGAAGAAGAAAAAAGTAGCAAAAAGAAGATTCATAAATATATAAAAAAGAATACTATAAAAGTGATATTTAAGGATAATAGCAACAAAACAACAATGATAATAATAACAATAAGACTGATAATATTAATAATGATAATAAATAACCTATCAATGAAACAAAATTCAATAAAAAAAATATTTTACAACATAAATAAATATTTAAACATACAAAATATATATTTTAGACCAAATGAATTTCATAGTGTTCCTGCAGAAGAGGTAGGTGATGTGGATCGTATTTTTACTTGTATCATGAAAAGAAAAGAAAAGTCAGTAATATATCATAAATCTTGTGTCAAAAGGCAAAATTACTAAGTGACAACCCATCTAATTTCAGTTCTCTCCCTTTTTCTCCTCCACTTTCCTCCCATTCTTTCCACCCCTCTTACTTGTTTTCTTCGTCATCTCAAAATGAAATGTTGACTATAATTGCATATGAGCAGGTTAACCAGGTGTAAGTACTATCAGATTGGTTGTTCCTGGCAAGGACCCCATCATGGGTTGGAGGAGCACGAGGAGGGGTGTGGCTACCCCAAGAAGACCGGTAGTGAGGTGCTGGAGGCCATCCAACAGAAGGAGGCTGGCAGGGACGAGGACACCAAGGTCCTCAGGAATGTCGTCAAACTCTTGTCTTACGAGAAGATCAACTTCAACGGTTAGAATCATATCCTTCTCTTTGATTTTCCCAAAACACTCAATGATCGAGGCTCGTACACGTGTGCTGCGGTAACCCAATACAGTTTCTGAAAGCATACTTTCATATACTTTGCATCTTCGCAGATGAATAAGTATGAGAAGAAACTTTATTTGCAGGCGGCTACTATTTTCCCCACCTGTCATTCATTTGATACACAAAACTGCAATGGTATACCGTGGAAACCGTGAAGGTTTACCATGACATAAGTAAACGAGCAATTAAATTTGTTACTTTAACACTTGATTCAACTCTATACCTATCCCTTACCTACACCCCACTTGCAACCAACATCCTTACTCTATTCTCTTCAATAACTTAAAGCCCAGAGTACATGTGCAAAAGAAAATAACACATTACCATTCTTAAATAGTTCCTTCGTTCTTTTGGCAGTTTTTAATTTGTATTGCCTTCCCTCTCCTTATCCCAGGTTCTTAATCTTTCCATCTCCCCTTCTATCCTCATTTGTTAGCAAAGCCTCTGACATGGAAAGCAGCTTAAGTATTATGATATCGCAAAGGAATCACTATACAAATTATACTTGCTAATATAAAAAAGAATCCATCAAAATACCCATGTGACCTTTATTGTCTGTTTTTGACTGAATATCAAAGATTAATATATCAAAGAAAAGAGACTTTCAAATCAAGTGACCTATTTTGGACAAATCCAGTTTTGCATGTGGCAGAAAAAAGGCTTTTGGTTATATCTTCAAATTGTATATCTTTCTTATCGTTGATATGGATAGATTTGCAGTTGAGGCCATACCGCACCGATGACTTCATCACCAAACTGTACTATGAGACGAGTCGTTTCTCGGCCCTCAACCAGCAGTGGGTAGTCAAAGCTAGGGTGAATGATGACGAGAGGAATCCTTCTCATACTCTGGAGCGTCGCATCGCCTTCCAGCTCTCACTCAAGAGCCGCATCACCAGCAACCTCGTCATGCAGTTCATGATTCTCAACGGGCCTTTCAGTGATGCCAAGGTGAGAATTACAACAGCAGTTGGAGCGTTGTACCTGTAAGGCAATGTTTTTGACACTTTTACCTATACCTGCTACAGGCTATGGAACTGTGAAAGTGCCATAACTAAATATTTCACTTGTTAATCTAAACTATAATGTGTTAGATCGCCATGCAAACACTTGACAAAGACATAGTCAGTTTCCCTTCTAGCTTCTCTTGCAATCCCAAAGGAAAATTGGCGGTTCGAAAGAGAAATCTGTGACTGTATCATTGATCAACACACAAAGTAGGACCGTATTTATGAACATGAACTTATACAAAAAATATATAATCCTTTCTAACGGTCACCCATATTCATGAATACTTTGGAATCATCACTCATACTTTGACAGCCAACTCCACTAGATAATTCAAATATTACCTGAATGTCCTAGTATTGGAAAAATTAGGGTTTGCAAACTTACCTATTTAATGTATAGTATATAAAAGTAATTTGGCATTCATGCAGTTGATTTTAAAGATATTGTGTTTGTTGTTATTTCTTCACAGGTTGAGCCACATGTGTACCGTTTTGAATTCACCCCTGAGAAGACGGAGACTCCGTACAACAACATCCCTCTCATTGACTCGGCAGAATGCAACAAAATCCTGGCATCCAAGACTATCAACTTCAGAGTCATCATGTTTCAAATACCAAAATAAGGAGAGAGGAATACCCAAATGGACCAACACCTAAAATGACGATATATCTCACATTTGATCAATGCTAGCAACAAAGTATTAAAAAGTCAAGCAAGCTTACATTAAAACAGGAGAACAACAAAAATAGAAGTGCAAATATCTTCCTATCTTGAAAAAAAAATGCTATTATTTTCCACTCCAAACCTTGTTCTGTGCTTTTCACCGTAAGCATGTCTGCAAGAGCAAGCTGCTAGCAAAAGTTTAAAAAAATACTCCTGCCATAATCATGATTTTTGTGCCATAGATTTGCCAATTGACCAGTCGTTCAATCACGGCAGCATTGCTATTCCTCCATTCATAACGGGTTGGTGATGGTTTGGGTCAGTTCCAAAAGACAAATGGACTTTGTACATACACCATGTATTATACTGCACTATACTGGCATGATGTATATACCTTATATAAATTGTATCTAGGAGATGAGGTGTAATTTTGTAAGAAAACAACAAAGTGTATTTTTTATGAGGAGATATATCAATGCACTTTTATGTAAACTCAGGCCTAAACTTTTGTAGCGAGTATAACAAGTGTTGTCCTTTCGATGGTTAACAGAGAAATACAAAACAGAATATTAATCCTTTAGTAACTCCTTTGGGGGGATTGGAACATAGATGGTATAAAGATCTAAATAATATAAGTTACATGAGAGATATTTTACTCTTATTGCACTATTAATCATATAACGATCAGAAATGATGATCAGAATGGGGTACATGCACAATAGAGAGAGCTGTATGTTTGTATTAGTATATAGTGTATATATGTACATACAGACATATCCTTCCCATTTATTGTACATTTTATTGTTAATAATGCTAAACTGAGTATTTATTGCATTATAAATGATTTAAAGATACATGTCTATGTGTAGCAAATTAGAAATATTCAGCAATACAGATCAATTTGTGTTGTGTTCAGAGTACCAGTATTTGTTATTTGTGTAATGGGTGACGGTTATTAATATATAGGGGAGGAAATCTATATTATGTTAAGGGGCTACTCAATTTGAAATATCCATACCATGCAAAAATATGTCAAAGAGATAGTCAGAATAAAGATATAATTTTGGACATTACTGTTTTAAAATGTATCAGGTGATATTGATACAGTTCTTCCATTTCAAGTCAATGTAAAATCATGTATTTTCTCATGTATGTTTGAAAAGGTTGCAGACTTTGGTGAGCTTAGATTTTGTAATTTAAATTTAATAAAAGGGCAGTATGGAAACCTGAGACAGTAAATGCAAGTGTATTGTAGATGATTGACATTAACACGATACAAAAGCTAGAGCAAAGCGTGGAAGCATTCTTAATATATTCAGTGATGTTTTATCTCTCCTGCCGCCCCTTCCTGTCCTATCCGAATATTGCATAACCGCATGAATTTTAATCTCATTAAGCCAGCTAAGGGAAGTAGAAGTAGGGTTGTGTCATTACAGTCATTACAATCTGATTATTGGATCTAGTACGCATACTGATTTAACCCATGTACTATCAAATTTCTTTATTACCATAGGCTTAATACAGGGGCCATCTGGTTCAAGCAGCCATTGGGTTTAGGAATATAACATAATAATGGGCCTTTTTGTGTTGTTAATAACTTGTGTTTATTTATGCACTACAGATCATTACTACTTACAGTGATATGTTATTTACTCTTTAATAGAGCAACTTTTTATATATTAGAGGGAAATATATATATATATATATATATATATATATATTATTTAAATATATATTCTTTTATGCCAAATGAAACTTTAATGTCACAAGATGTGACTGTTCATGTTTAATTTGGTAATTATTCAGCTTTGAAATTATATGAGATTTTGGTCAACTTGTTAACAAGGATGAAATAATGCATATGTTTCATACGATGGGGTGAAGGGAAATATAGGACTTGTAAAACAAACATTTGGCAAGTAAAACAAAAATGTTTGGCAACATCTAATTTAAAATTCCATGAATCAGATTGAATGTCATGGATGTTATTAAACCAGGAAGCTTGACTCAACATCCAATCCAAAGACTTTTGGCAAAGGATTACCCCCAAAAAAAACATTTTTCCTCAAATAAAGAGGTAATAGGAACAGGATTTAAAGCTATGTGCATTTGTACTCTTTTAGAATGTGTACCCTGTTATTGGATTAAATGTTACACAATGAAAGTGGAGTTTGAATGGTTTGGTTTAGTGTGTATGAATGATGTGATAACTATATGGTTTAGCATATGATTGTGCTGTTTTTAGTCATCAGACACAAAAAAACACTTCTTGCCATTTGTAATGTTCCAGAGTAGAATATTCTATGTGATAGACATTTTAAACTTCTTCTGTATCCTCTTTGCACCCTGTAACTTTAAAACAAGTTTTCATAGGACAGACCATCCTTTTTAACAAATCAAGTCTTACAAGCATTCAGAGAAAATCTAATATATTTCAAAAGCGTAGGCATTTTAAACTTAGTATTTATCATAACCCTATTAATTAATATATACAAGCAAGAAATATATATTTATTTAATTTTTATGACAAGTTTCACATACAGATTATTTTTTAATGGATGTAAGATGAAGGTGGATAACAGATGGTACAAACTCGATTGTTCTTTGGTGTGATGTGGATCTAGTTAAGTTTTTGTACCCAGAGCACTCTTCAGCTTGACTAAATGTTTCATTGCTTTATTGTGATTTCTCTTAACAACCATTTTTACAAGCTCTAATATTTTACAGGTGCAAAAAATGCTTGTTTAAGGTCAGTAAGTCCAGAATTGGAATGTCAACAACCACAATTTCAGTTTCTTTATAATTGACTAGAAAGATGTAGCAGACATATTCTTTGTGTGCATTAATTGCACTGCATAGCTGATTTGACAAACATCCCAAAGTCGATTTTACGGTTATTGTCCACTTTAACCTGTATTTCACTCTCTTTCAGCTACTTCTGAGGGAGAAGTGATGCTTTAAAAAAACAATTCAAGCTTGTAATGCATATCTATGTGCTCATAGTTTGACCAAAGTTCCCCAACTTGCTTTACACTGCACCCAAAAGAACTGACACTTTGTGCAAAGCTTTTACACATGGGAAAACAAGATAATCTGTATCCAATGTTCGATGCTTGTCAATAAAGTATAATACATTTATTTCATATGACTGATCTCATGTACCGTGTCTAAATTATTTATTTATTTTCTTCTTCATATATGATCTTCTTAAAATGCAAGAGAGAGAGAGAGAGAGAGAGAGAGAGAGAGAGAGGAAAGTAAGTAGAGACAGAATAGAGAGATGGTGAGAGGGGGGAGGAGGGAGAGAGAGAGATAGAGGAGGAGAGATGGAATTAAGGGGATTAAAAGGTTTATATCAATGGCAGATTAGTTTCCTCAAATGATATAGGATAAAACAATCTTGAAATGACAAACGGGGGATACAAAATTTGAAAAACCAAGATGAAAGTGTTACTAGACGTCTAGACCTCAACTTACATTGTCATATGACGATTATATCACACTATTTTCAAGGTATTTTGGTGACTGATAACGCTGTTTAACATATGTGACTAATGTCTGGTACAAGGTTACAAGTATGCTAACTGATTGGCTGGTGTCATGGCAACCACATCACAGAGTCTGGATATGACAATGACAATTTATTTTAGTCTCGTATCGAAAAGTGTGGTTACTTCTTAAAGAACACCTGATTGTAGGTCATTGGGTGGAAGAAACAAAGTTTTCAATGCAAACTATCTTTGCAAAAAAAGAAAGATTTTCTTTTCCCTATTGGGGTGTATCCTACTTCCCATGCCCACCCACTCTTTCTTATTATTATTATTATTATTTTATTCGGCAAATCAAGTCACATAATACAACAATATAACAAACATGAATTAAGATTAAAAAATCAATAGAAAGCATTCTATAATAATAATACGCTAAGGCTCCGCGGGGGGCGCGACGTCTCCGCCGGCCTTTGTATTCTATTGTTTTTTAATGAGATCGCCGACCCAAGTTGGTGCGGCTATCTCCTCCTGAACCCTCCCCTCGGGGTACCCGTGCCCTGTGCCATCGTCCGCGGGAGAGTCTACTCTAGCGAATTGGCTATACTCCGCCCGAGGTCCTCCTCCGTGTCGACGTCCAGGGCGAAAACAGACGCGATATGCATAATGCAGGATATGCGTGACGACAGAGATACCTCATGGATATTCAACATGACATTCATAGACACACGACCGATGACTGTCCACTCACATTAAGTTGCGTATTAAATGCACGACGCACAGGGTCGGGCTTACCCGAGTAAAGCATCTTTCTATAGTATAGTATTGTATAGTAGCTGCACGAGCCACAGAGATACACACGAAGCTTCCCGTCCACGTCCAAACTTAGGGACCTATTTCCATCATTATTGCCGCGATTTTTATATAGGTGTCGTGAATGGAGGTATGAAATGAAAGCTTATTTTGTGATTATTACGGCCATGCTACTAAATTTTGATTATCATTTTCTAAAGGAAAGTTTTCACAAGAAAACCATTGGACTGACAATTCAGTCGCAAGCTGCCTTCAGTCAGTGCAGGGCTGCTGTGCAGTGTGTGTGAGCTGCAATTTAACTCCAGCAAGCTCCAACACCGGCTCCGCGCACCGCAGGCGTCCGAGGCCTGCGGCGCGGGTGTTCGAGCCTCCTGGAGTTACGCTGGAGTGTTATGTGTGTGAGTACAGCTGAGCTGAGCTCGAGTCGAAGAGATTTGACACTTTGAAATTGTTATCTGTTGGTTTGCATCATTATTGCCGCGATTTCAATATAGTTTCGTGAATAGATTTACGAAACCTGAGCTTAGAATTAGTAAAAGTATTACTAATGTTACGTTTTTTAACGACTGTCTGATTTTCTTGTGAAAATTTTACTTTGAAAAATAATTATCGAAATTTATGGTCAGAAATAATCACAATCTAGGGTCTATTATGTTACAGTTCTTGCATCAAATCAATGCATGAAAACTTAGTTATTGAACTAGAAAAATGTTTTTTTTTTAAATAGGCAATTATGAAGAAGGAAACCTGAAACCCTGAGTTGAGTGTATATTTGTTTCAAGGGGCCATAAACCCCCAAAAGCTCGGGGGTTACGTTCTTCAAAGTTGGGAGGGGGGGGGGGAGAGATCAGATCGCAGCGAGTTGAGTGTATATACAATATAGGCGTGGGGTCCACGGGTTTCAAGGGGCCATAAACCCCCGAAAGCTCGGGGGTTTTAGGCGTTTAATTAGGGTCAGATGAGCATATTTTTAATACTTTATTTGTGACACTTGCGGGTCACTAATTGGCGTGGGGTCAATACGTAGAGTTGCGTAGTGTTGCTACCAACTACGCTGGCCTACGTTACTATATGCTGAGGGACAGAAAGGGGTACGCAAGATGAACGAAAACAAGTCAACATGTTTAATTTTTTTCGCGTACTTTCAGCGTAGAAACTTGACGCAGAAAGTACGCCTTTTTACGCAACACTATGCTACCCTACGCCAGATCGTCAAAGCAGTAAAAGCTTTCCACACAGTAAGCAACCATATAAGCAAACCTGTATGCCAGCCTACGCATAACCTACGCAGGGACTATTTTCCTATTAATACGCAGCCTAATTTCTGCGTAGTCGGTACGCCACACTACGGAACTCTACGCAGTTCCAGTGGCTTAAAGAATAACTACCGGTACAGTTGGATCTTTTTTCTTTTTTTTTTATATAAGGCCAAATTTTAAAAAAAACATGTTTAGCGTCCTGTTTTTTCGAAAAATGGGAAGGAGGCCCTTTTTTTCTTTTTTTTTTTTCTTTCAAAATGGCTGCTCCGTACATTTTCCCTGACATTCAGGCTATTTTTCAAGATGGCGGCCGACAATTTTTTTCTTTTCTTTTTTAAGATCAGAAATACATTTTAGCAGTGCTTTTCATGTTTTTTTTCTTTAAAAAAAAAAATCAAAAAAAAAAATCAAAAAAAAAATTCAAAAAAAAAAAAAAAAAATAGGAGAGGCGGCCCCCAGAAAGGAAGCGGGTGGGGACGCTGTTTTTTTTCTATCAAAAAATCAACAAAAAAAAAATAGGAGGCGGCCCCCAAAAAGGAAGCGGGCGGGGAAGCTGTTTAAAAAAAAAAAAGAAAAAAAAAAGGGAGGTGGCCCCCAAAAAGGAAGCAGGCGGGGACGCTTTTTCTTTTTTTCTTAAAAAAAAAAAAAAAAAAAAAAACTTTTCAAAAAATTTCAAAAAAAAATAGGAGGCGGCCTCCAAAAAGGAAGCGGGCGGGGACGCTTAACATGTATATTTCTTAATGGCCTGAATGGCAAATAAAGTTCTTGGTGGTTTTAATTTATACAGTCTCTATATATCTATTTACACCCCCCGCCCCCCTCTAGGATCCCGCGGATTTCCGCGGGTCCTGCTAGTATATAAATATTGCAATATAGCAGGTGCATCCGGTCGAGCTGCCCGGGTATGGAAAAAGTTAACCAAATAACTGTGATCCGCAGACCTTCCTCCCCAATCCGCAGACCTTCCTCCCCAAATATTCTTTCCCAATCTAAATTAAATCTTGAACAACCTCCCCATTCACCCTTCCCCCTATCTACGGAGGGAGGGGGGGGGGGGACATTCTTCTGCCCCCTCAAAATTAATGAATGGCGAAATGGATGGGTGCAAAGTACTCCTCTGCCCTCGCCCTGCCCCTTCAATATTATTGACCGATTCTATCTTATTATGTCTCAACAAAATCTTTTCTCTCATTTTGTTCGTCAAGTTGTTTACAGTCAAATCACACTATCATTCACCTAAATTTCTGAAACAGAAAAAAAATACATTTCAGAATTCAAATGAACATTCCTGCGGTGAACATTTCCTCTTTAGTTCCTTTACCCTCAATCAATAAAAAATCATTTTACTTGCATGAAGAAAAAAAAAATCAGAACCGACTTTGAGCGGCTTACACAGCCTGCCTAAATCCATACCCGAATTTCCTGCTCTTTTCCTTTCGTTTCGTTAATGTAACCTAGGACTAATCCGCTCAAAATCCTCCTTTTCCTCATTATTTCCTGTGTGATCTGCTTAAAACCAATTTAAAAACGCTGCTTCGAAATCTGAATAAAAGCACTCGATAATCTTTTGTGACATTTTAGGGCTGCGGTGCTTTATTCCACAACTCTATTCACTCACATGGTCAAGTACTTGAAAATGGAACTAAATTGGGAGTTAAGTTAGCCATCTGTAGATAATCCCTCTTGGAAACGCCTATATTTTAAGGCGTCCCATAATAATCACAGACTGCATATGTGACCCGGCACCACAAAACCACCAAAATGTCGCAAAAAATTATTTTCCTGATTTCATCTGATTATGAAAGAAGAAGTTCTCCTCATTAAAATGGTATATTACTTGTCCAAATTGAAGCTTCCTAACCCTTTCAATTTAGTGAATGAAAAGAGCTGGTGAGGGAGGTTACTGGTATTAAATTGTGAGAAAGAGAGCTTTAAAGTTTGGGGCTATTCAAGCATGCGGAGCAAGCAAACCACAGGGAAATCAATAGAAGGGTGAATCAAAAGGCCATAGCAACCACTATGAAGAGATTTTCAGATTAGGCTGAAATTTGGCCTGATGGTCAAACATAGTCTGTTCATTATGTTTCTGAGGTTTCAATGTGTGGACTTAAGTCTTTCAAAAGTTATTATATTGTAAATGTATAGAGTTGTAATTGGACAGATTAAGTGAACTGCAACATAGTGCCGAGACACCTGCACTAGACAATGCCTATTCATGGTGGACCCGGAGTCTTTTTGTTCCCCCTTACATAACACTGCTTGTCACCTATCTTGTTTTGTATACATCTGGGCAACTATTTGTAACCACATTATCAGGAATTCTCTCGTCGCTGTCTTGCTATAATAATGTTATTCACTATGAACATGACTGACAATGAGAGCGGACAAAATATACAGTTCCTCAGGTAGACAAAGGAACATCCCTTCACTGCTATTATGTAAAAATGTGTAGAACAGGTGTCAGATGCATATTCACCTTTTTACATAATAGCTGTGAAGGGATGTTCCTTTGTCTACCTGAGGAACTGTATATTTTGTCCGCTCTCATTGTCAGTCATGTTCATAGTGATTACTCTTGATCAACAAATTCTGGATATGTGATGTACAATCAAGCTACTCGAAGTCGTTAACGGAGAATATAAGACGAACGCAATCTGGAACTCGGATGTGAAAGCGGATACAAACAAAATGGCGCGCCGCACTGATTGCTATAACGGACCAATCACAGCCCGCGTAGCACGACCCGTTAGCAACGACCGACCATTTCCGGACTACGATAATTTCGCTCGGGAAAAGTGATCAAATTTTGGAAGAGACCGAAGGCTGTGCGAAAAAAACTGGTCTAGAAAAACCGTTTAAAACACATCTTTTACTATGTTTTAGACTTCCAAATTATGATTCTACGTACAGAAAAGACCACTCTTTCAGAAAATGCAAAAAAACTAAAATCTATTTTTTTCACCTAAATTGACATTTTAGCTGATTACGGAGAATCGCTGGTTGCGACTTTTTGTTGGTTTTGTGGTGCCGGGTCACATATTAGGATAGCTTGGGTCACATTTTATGGGGCAAAGGAACACGAGGGAGGGGTGAGCTGGTTTATCAAACTTGATCGAGACATTAAAATGCCCATTACTATTAAAACAGCGTGTTTTTTTTCTTCAAATTTGCAATCTGCACATTATACTGTCTGTCTCTCTGTCTCTCTCTCTCTCTCTCTCTCTCTCTTTTCTCTCTCTCTCTCTCTCTCTCTCTCTCTCTCTCTCTCTTTCTCTCTTTTTCTCTTTCCCTCTCTCACCCTCCATCTCTCCTTCCCTCTCCCTCACATTAGGGACTTTTAGATTTGCACAACGACAACGTGGATTGCTACGATCGACGTACTTTTAATGCCCTGCCTTGAATGGACGTCACACGTATCAGTCCACGCAAATCTAAAAGTCACTATTCTCTTTGCCTTTCTCCGTCACTTTCTCTTTGGTATATCCCTAGGAGGATACATTTTAATCATGAAATTCATTTTTATTATTAGTCTGATTCGATAACATGATCTTAACTTATTATGAGGAATCATCTTAGGTCTACTATATTTGCCTAAATGGAAAGATGTAACGCTGAACGTATCATTCCCGCCCCGCTCATTTAGAAACAGAAGAATCTACCTTAAACAGGGCAAGTGGGAGGGGCAGAACCGGCAGGAGTATATCACTATGGAAATCACAAAATCAAACTCAAACTCTCGTAAATACGATGATCATGGAGTTAGTAACTCCATGGTGCGATGTTGTCATGTTGATAAGGGAAGGCTCCGGCGGTCGTCCAGGGTTGTTTAACTATCAATATTATGAGAATCCACACATCATTTCCGCCATGAACAAACTTATTTCCTGTTTTTGAATCACGGTACTAAAATAAAATGTAGTCGTTGTGATCCTCCTCAATATTATTCCATAGATTTCCCAAGCAATGCACCTTACCACCTTCCACTGTACTTTTCCCCTCCTTAGACATTTATTTGCATATCTTGCATACAACTTACTTTCTACATTTAATCAAAACATACTACCTTCTGAAAATGTTAAAATGTATTTTACAAGTAAATGCATGTGTAAGACACTCATTATTGCTACATGACGTGGTAGCTAGACCTACGATTAAATCTCTGACTTTTTTTGTTATATCAATACTGATGAAATAACATTTGATATTAAAGAGAGGATCGAGGGGGAGGGTGGTCATGGGGGGTCGCTCCACCTCCTCCGTCGTGTTCATGCTTGGAGGCAGGCACGGAGTACAAAATAAGATGAAAAGAAAACGTAATGGACATCACGACCAGGAAATCTATTTCCACCTCTTTGGTGGAAAAAGATTGTTGTTTTCTTACCCTATGCCAGTAATACACACCTCAAAAGAAAGGATAAAAGAAAGGCAGCCCGAAGGCAGCACTTTAAAATCTTCGTATATGATTCCTTAACTACTATTTCATCCGACAAAAAACTCCAATGTTGGTTTCGCTCACACGAATGGCAGGTTACGACCATGTTTGTGTCGTAAAATCATTGTTATTTGTCTTCGATGAAGTATCTGCGGTCGTTCTTATAGGCGGAATATGAAGGTTTTAGATTTACATTATTTGGCTTTGGCTACACGGTTGGCAATGATTTTTAAAAGGGAAAATTCAACCTCTTTTTCATGAAATGATTGTAATAATATGATTTATTCTTGTTTAGAAATAAAGTGTTTATCTTCTAAAAGCTTTATCAATAAAGGTCTGAGAAGATGTAAACGACCATTTCACGAGAAAAAAGGTAAGGTAATTTTATTCCAATTAAAGGGAAATGGTGTAATTTGATGGGGGTTAAAGATGTATTATATTAGCACTCGTGTATATTCATAAGAATATGCTTGAACGTCTCTCGTTAGTTCTCGATAAAAGGAAATAGGAGGTGGGATGGGAGGGACGCTGGTTGTTTGGTCAAGGATGCTAGCGTGTACCACCTGACATCGAGTATCCATTCAGGGGTGGAGGTGCCTGGGATGTAGTGTAGATTGGCTAACCTGGTGGGGATGCTCCCTGGGGGGAGGGGGAAATGGACGTCAATCAGGGTCCCTGGGATATTTACCAACCCTTGAGAAATATATCATCCTTATTGTTACCTTCCGAGTATGGAAATGGGGATTCTAATTTCCTAAAGACTCTGATGAGAAAAGAAAAAAGGGGAGGGTGGTTCTGGACCTCCGTGACCCTGCCCCTGAAAATGATGCAATTAGCTTACAATAGTTGCTGCCCCAGGGTAATAGTGGAGGGGGTGTGGTGGCTAGTAAACAAAGGTTGGGCGTCTGAGGTTGTCCTAAAATCAATTATGGGCAAGTATGTCCCCCATGTATAGCAAGCTGCCACCTTCAGCTGCTTTCATCATCTTTCACTTTGGTTTAATATTTTTTGGAACACTTCTGTTTACTGAAATATTTTCTTGAACAACAACCATACTTTTCATCAAAAAACTATTTCAGTCACATTACTGCACACGAATGAGCCCAAAATGACTTGTTTTGGATATTAACTAAAAATATGACTAAAATAAATGTAATAAGAATAAAATTGTCTTCAGAATTGGTCAGTTACCCACAAGTGTTGAAATACAGTAAATCACTCATAGATTTAATTATTTTGACCATATAGTATATAATTTATACATACAAAAAAAAAAAATCAAGCATTAGTGAGAACAGGCGTCAGTGGGCAAATGACCATCTAACTTTCATACTGACCCTGTTCAATTCAGAGTGACCTCACAATGATCTTAAGAATTATTCCATGAAGGGTTTTCATGTCATCATGAATGTATCTAGTATATTTATCCTTTTATATGTCATTAAGTTTATTTTATGTTTACATGTACAATGCTGTATTTTAACCACCATACATTGCAAATGACCTGCAATTCAGCTTCGGCTGCCAGAACTTCATGTGAATAAAACCCTTACATTGAATATTGAATACGATCCTTTGGAATTATTCTTTCCTGTTTTTCTCTTCAATATCCATAACTGACCTCCAAATAAAAGTTAGTATGGAGCTCTGCGATACAGTAGTTATATGATTGAATCCAAGCCACTTTTACAACACTTCTGAACACGCTCTCATCTTCTCATTCAATAAAATAAAAAATAATAATAAAGATACAAACACACACTCTCAATATGTGCCAACACATCACTAGAAATTCATGCAAACAAGTAAACACTGCAACTTTGACACTTCCTTCTAAGTACTGAAATATTTTTTTTGTTTTAATTTTTCTACAAAATTTTGTGACCCAAGGTTGTATTATATATCATGAGTCATGTATTAATCCTGCATGTATGTGGTGGGTGATTAAATTACAATTAAACAAACACAGGTTATAACAAATCAAAAAAAATTGAATGTAGTGCGAAGCTTAATCACTGATAAGACTTGAAAGGTTTGACTTTCAATTAAAATCATTCATATAAAGATACATCACATTACACATATTGTGACAACAAAAAAAAACAATCATCACTCGCAACAAAATATATAGGAAAATATGGAACACAATTTATACAAGAGTACTGGTGATGTGAACAATTGAATACAAATTGGAAGAAAAAAATGAAACTGTAACTGGCATACACTATTTCTTTCTTTGAATTTCACAATTTCTATAATCCTTCCCAACTTCTATGAACTGGTCATCTAAAGCATTAAGCAGTCGGGTAAAACGCGGGCATATATCATACATATATTGAGGTAAGGGAAACTATCCAGAGTTGTTGTAGTCTCTTTTTTAAGTGGATTTTAACAATTTTAGCTTTTGTATTCTTTATTTCTTTTCTGATATGAAGTGACCTAACACCGGTAGATCCTAACCTCTTTTATGCCATGGTGTCAAGTCCTGCTAAAGATTTTAAATTATGAATGGTGTGTTTGCACTAATGCCTTCATTATTCTCCCTGTAACAGAAACATGTACCTTCATGGTGTCATATATATTCCCATCGAAGACATCTTATGCCTATTTTAACAAGAAAATAAAGCATTAGCAGACACAATATATTACACTTGAATGATCAATAATGACATATAAAGCATGAGGAAAAAGTAAAAAATAATGGTCATCAAAATGATAGTAAAGAAAGGGTTCAACAAGAAATAATGGAGGCAAACATATTGAGGTATAGTATACCCTGTTTGACATGCTACAAATTAATGCTTACAGCACAGAAAAAGGCGGTAATGTATTTTTCTCTATTTATATTCTCACCACGCCATGTTATGGTGATTTCTATACCCTGCCATCTTTGTGCCTAGTTCTGGAGGTGATATTTGAATACATGACACCAACAATTATCGATCATGTATTGGTTCCAAATCTGTGGGCTTTTCTTTCAATGACAAAACAAGAACTTTCACAACATGAGAGTTTTTGTGCATTGTTAATAACAGTCATTTTCCAGGGCAAGACAATTTCAGCTACTCATGGAATTCACAAACTTTTGAGCAAGTAAAAGTTCTTGGATTAATAGCACATAAACTCACTGCATTAAATGTATTCAAAGGATCACATTAATTTGCACTATAATAAATGTAAGCATACATTTTATATACAATGTTTCAAATGATATACATCATTCCACTGCCTTGGAAACCATATAAATATATTTCACAGTGATCTATTCTACACTTCTGTACGTATGTGTACTTTAAAAATCAGAAAGTTATTGCTAATTTTGTGCTAACACTTGCAACCTAGAACATCCATAATATACTTTCATGCCATATTGCAAAAAAGATATTCATGATTTCTCAGAATATCACATGCAAGGGACTTATTCCGTTGTATGACGTTTTTGAGCTAAAGAGACAAATCAAGCTTGGAGAGCCTCACACGGCCATCTTCTGACAGTCATGATAATGACATTCAAAGACAAAAATCATCTTCACATTAAATCCTATAGAGGGCAGAACTTCACATCAAACCTGTCACAGCAGTGACAGCACCATGTGTTTTGGTCACACTATTAAATTGCTCACATCAAATTTGCTTTGCTTGTTCAGTGCACCACATACCCATCAGTCACATAATTGCTTAATGAATGCATAAATTCAAACTGAAATCATGATTAGCAATAGCATGCAACAATCTGAATTATCACAGGCAATTTTTCACGATGAAGCATCATCAAGAAGTAAGTGTTAGCTTGGTTCAATTCATTTATAAGACATTCAAAGAAAAGACTGTATTCATAATAATGTCGTGAAATAATAAATATTCAATTTTTTTCATTCCATGATCATCATTCTCAATAGGTTGATTCTGATATAAGAATAAATTAGAAGCCAAACAATGTTTACTGATTCTCTTATTTGTATCAGACATTTCAGATTTCGGAATCAATTAACCAACACAAACCACAAACAGAAACTAAACTTACAAAATTAAACAGCCTAGGGCCTATTAGTATATACCTTACATACTGTAGATAAATAGTTAAAATGAAATGTCTGACATATGTAGTTCATAATTTTTAGAATTTATAAAAACAAAGAATTTCAAACAAATATGACATATGGTTAGTAAGTTGAATAACTACTCTTTTTTCCCTTTTTTGTTTGTTTACAAATTATCTGCCCAAGTATACATGTATATTTACAAAGATTTCTTTTAAACGGCAATTTTCTACTTATTTCAATTTTTGCAAGATATGTCATATTTCAACACAAGGATGAATGCCATCTTAATATTATGGAACACAAGAAAGCAAGATGATATGCTCACAATTCACAAAATAATGAAAAACCTTTAAAGGTGCAAAACATTTAGGAAGGGAATCATCATTCAACATGTCCATCCAGTTTTCAAATGATTGAATGGATTGTGACATTGTGACTCTGACATTATAGAAAATCTGAAGCTCCAGGCTTTCTGCATTAACAAGACTAGAATAAGCTTTGGCAAAATAGAGAATTTATTCCAGCTTAAAATATCCTCGAACTCAAAACTTCAAAAGTAACAATCTTTCAGATGTGCTACAATAACATTCCCTTATAATGTTTATCTACAGGAAGGCAAAATAAAAGAAAAGAATGTTGGATAAGAAAACTTATACAAACTTGACATTTGACATGATCATGTCTAGACAAAATGTTTTAATGATTTTTAAAATAAGCGTTTCCCTGATTGATGGAAATATCATGGAATACGGAATTGGCATACGACTACAAATTTAAACTAGCTAGGATTCATTGTTCTCATGATGTTTTCTCTTTCTCGACAGGAAGCTCAAAGTGAAACGCCCTCATCAACACCACACCACTAAACGCCAGTAGATAATGAAACCAGTCAACTCGTTTGATGCCAAACAGTTCCCCGTTGGTTCCCACGGCAGCAGCCATCATGAAACAAAACGCTCCCATCATGCCAAAAGGATTCCTCTGTATAAGGCTGTAGATTCCGATCGAGAGGACAGCCGATGAGCTGATGAACGTAGTGAGGGCAGTATCTATCACAGCGTTGAAAGCGATTATAAATTTAAGGATGGTGTATGCAGCGGGTACACCAACATGCACCGTTGCTAGGATACGAGAGCCATATTTACGGTAGAACCCTGCAGCCATGAGCGCGATACCTAATGTTCCTGCTAGCCAGCTCATGGAAGCATGGCAGGAGACAATGTGTTGACTAGGGGCAGACATGGAGAAGCGAGCGGTTCCAAATCCAGCTGCTACGGACATGATGAGGAAACCAAACGCTCCGAGAGAAGTGATGGGAAGAATTGACACGGCCGTCCCAAACGAAGAAACGCACAGAATAAAATCTGATACGGCAGTACTCAACTCCATGATCTCTCAGTCTCACGGTTCTTTCGTCTTTGAGAATCACTTTTCTTCCTGAAAGAATAAATGAAATTGCTTATTACTACAATACATCTCTCTTTTTTTTCTGAGGGGGGGGGGGGGATATCTAAAAGCACTATAAAAGCCTTTCCATTATGCAGGCAACCCTGGTAGTCTGGTGACTCTGGTCCCAATACATAATTTACACAATCCTGTAGATGAAATTGAGCAAACATAAAAAAAAAATTAAAAAAATATTTTCTAGTCTAACAAAACAAAGACCAACAATTCTTTTTAAAAATTAATGTTTCATACATAATAAGTGAGTGCTACATGGGGTTACTTTCGTCACATTTTGGGTTTAAAAATGTGAGTTAGTGGAGTCTACATTGTACATGTCTTAAACAAAATATCAATTTGTTATTGATTCGAAAAATTCAATTTTGTTTTTCATTTCCCTTTTTTGTACAGATTTCTTTCCGATGAGACAGCCAGTTCTGCTCATTTATTTTCTATGTGTGTCACAAAATACTTAATTAATAACATTTTTTTACAAGAGTATCATAAAATAATCACATGGGTCTACATTTATTATAATAATCCACATGCGAGGGCTATTGTCATGATTGTTCGGATATTTTCAAACTTGCTTTGTTCCAATTTCGGTACCGTACTCAAAAGACAACACATGGGACCACACACAATTAATTATCTTCTCCCTTTTTATTCTAATTCCTTAGATGTCAACCAGTCGACAGACAGTTGTTTCAACTGATGTAATTCAATTAAATAAGAATATATATGACATATAAGCTATATCCGTATCATGACATTGATAAAATCGTAAAATACCAACCTTTATTCTCAAAAAGTGCAGTGCTGACTACTCTCCTAGTTTCCGCGTAAATTGCATTTGACACTGTCAGTAGAGGGAGACATACTGGATGCGATGGAGGACGTCGAATCCACTGGTCGAATCTCTTTGGTACCGATTTGGACACCAGTCGAACAGAGAGGGGCGTTTTTGTTGACAACCATGATTGGACTCATTTTTATACCCTAAAGCTAATTATGAATCCTAAGTTCCAAATCAGTGCTAGCGTAGAATAGGTCGAGACATTGAGGGAAAACTAGCATTTTGGGGAGAAGCACCAGTAATATGTGAAAAAGAAGGTCAGTGATTAAAGGGGTAGGAGAAGGTCCCCCATCTTCTTGTCATCCTTCCCCTTGCTCATTGTTTCTCTCTCGCGCTCATTGTCTCTCTCTCTCTCTCTCTCTCTCTCTCTCTCTCTCTCTCTCTCTCTCTCTCTCTCTCTCTCTCTCTCTCTCTCTCTCTCTCTCTCTCTCTTTCCGTTTCCTGTGTTTCGCCATATGACGCCCTATTTTTTTTCTCAAAGTACAAACAAAAAGTTCCTCGAAATATTCCAAACAATTAAGATTATTTTAAGATAACAATAAAGACTAAAGAGGGAAATCAACAGAGCGGGACCTGTCCAGAAAAAATCCTGGTAAATTCGTTAGCAATGAATTTAGGAGAAAGCGGCATCAGCAATATCCTGCTGGCCGATCACTCCCATCACTCTAGCAACTAAAGACGTGACTAAATTTTGTGGCTATGTTATACAAAATACATACAATCAATAACAGTTTAACAGTTCCCGATCACTTCTTAATGCAAGGTCATTCGAAATTATTAAAAACTGTCTCGTCAAGTGTTACACTTGACGAGACACCAAACGGTCTACCAATATTTAGATGAATAAAAATCATTCGAATAGGATATTAGTCGGACCCGTCATAAGATGGCTCTTGAAAATCCTAACCAAGATGGGAATATCTCGAAACTGTCTACTTGATATCGATCAACGAGGATAATTATTAAAGTTTAACCAATAAACGAATTTTGAGCTGAGAATCGACAAATGAAGGGAAATTTACATCGAGGGCGAAAATCCAGGGGATTTGAGGAAACGCCCCATACAGCCTCGGAAAAAAAATTAAAGGGATCACCCCCCCCCCCCCTCTCCTAATTTTTTGAGAAATAAAATACATTGCAAATGATTAGTAAAGCATATTAAAATGCACAACACACCGTCACGGTACATTCTTGCAATGCTTTATAATTTTTAATTTTTTTTCCACTATACATAATGAAGAAGAAAAGGAAGAGAAGACCAAAAAAAAAAAAAAAAAAAAAAAGTTCTCGCTTGGTCGATCGAACTCCCTTTAATACATGAAATTAGAAATCTAAATCGAAGATGTTACATGGGTACTATAGTTACCAGATTGTGTGTCTACAACAATGAACTGAAGCAATAAAATAAGTTTAGACCTACATCAGTTTAGTGGTCTAGTATTACTTTCTTCACTGGCTTATATCGGTTGGGCTTGGCGTCTGAATCCTCGATCGCTAAAAGTTCCATGACTTAAAAAAGGGAAGGGCAAATGAGTGGGGGGGGGGGGATATATACAGTATATAATGGGGAAACTGAGATAGAAAGAAAGCAAGAAAGTAAGATAATAAGAAAAAGAAAAAAAGAATGACAAATGTGGAAAAGGGAAAGAAAGGAGAAGGAAAAAAAAAAGGTAACTAAAAAAAGACAAATTTTGGGATTCTTTCCACCTTTTTTTGTTGTAACCATTAATACCCTTATTTCGGTATACTTTTTGTAGGGCTAACGGGGCTTATTTCTTGTAGCTTTGCAACATAACTCTTTGTCTCTCCTTTGATTGGGAAGGGGGATATCTATTCCGAATCTTACATTTTTGTTAAATGTCTCTATATGTGCTTTAGTTCTCCCCTTGTTCTATTGGATTGCTATCTAGGGAGCCTATAACGTCTAACATCATACGTCTTTTGTTGAACCACAATATCAACTTTAAGTTTAATTTAAACCAACAACAAAAAATACACTTCATTCAGAAGAAATGTCTAAAACTATACATTTTGTAAAAGACTAAAGCCAACCAACTGATTTTTTTTTGATTTTTTTTTATTTTCTTTTTTAAAAACTTAATTCTCTGAAATTTCCCGGTATTATTTAATTTCCTGAAATTTACTGGAATTATTTCATTTCGTGAAAATTTCCTTGAAAAAGTCAAAACTTCCAGATTTTCCTGCATAGCCTATCAGGAAGCGTTGAAACACTCATCAAGAATGATCTACATGTAGAAGTTCATTGGCGCCCACTTGTGGTTTCGAGCTGGCAGCCGGTGTCAGGTGATCTTATGTAGCGCTAGCTAGTTGGTTGAGCTTGAGCATTGACTGTCCTTGATGATCTCTCGATCAATGAGAGAACAACACAAACGAAAGCAGTTTTCTATTCTCTCGGATCAGATCAATAAAGCATGATCCCGCCACTGGATTAACTGGAGGCAGGTACCTGGAAACAGTGTTGGAACCAATACGGTACTACATGCAAAGTCTAATTGAGAAGACTGCTGTTGGAAAGTGCCTCGATTCGTCACCGAATCGTTGAACGATTTCCACTGGGCTGAGCTCGGCGTCTGGACCGTTGCCAGTGTGGTGATATTTTCCGCCTAGCCTTTCCGATTGAGAGTTGACTCGACTCTGCACTGCATATGCACCTGATATTTGTCACGTCACTACACTAGCTAGCATCGTTTAGTTACTAGTAGCCACTTGGACAAGTAGAAGGAATATTATGTAGCAGTACAAGACATTTTGTGAGGAGCGATAGTCTAAAGACTTGTTAACCATGGCAAGCCTGGTGAAAATGTCTGCCACAGTCTTTCTGTTCAAGTTGTTGTTGGGGCTAGCATTACTTTTTGGTGAGTTGTTTTTTCCTCTTTAGACTAGATACTTGAGACATGTTTGGCTCGAGTCAGGAAGTTATACTGCATTTAAATGAAGCCTAACTATTAAAATTTACAGCTAATATTAGTCTTTGCATTTTGTATTGGACACTATAACAAACACTTCACTTTTAAGTTAATTAACAGTTCATTTATTTTGATATGGACAGAGAAAAAAAGGGCTAGACTTAGATCCAGATAAAACCTGAAGAAGAAATCAAAACTGATCAAAGTGTAGAATATTGACCTTTACTGTCTAGACCTTGGATCTAAATTAAAATATGACAACTGTCATGGATGAATATATATGGCCCATATTAACAACTATAAAAAACTGATTGTGGGTGTTGTAGCTTTGCTAAAATTTACATTGCTTTTTTAACACCAAATTAATCTTGTTGAGTTTATACTACCATTATAACTACCCCTTTTTTCGGTCATGATATATCCTGCTTCTTCCTTCTTCCACCTTTTCCCTTTTCCTTCTTATCTGTTTTACTCCTCCTTGTTCGTTTTGTGGTTTTTTGTTTTTTTGTAATATTGTCTTGTGTTTTCTAAGTCTTCATAGGCAAAATTTGAAACAATTATTTTTTTCTTTTTCTGGGGGATCCACAAACTACAAGCACTGCTTTTTAGTGGATTCCCCCATTTCCTCAGAAATTAAGAATGTCTTGTAATAATTGTATTATGTGCAAAGTGTATTTGTATAGTTTCCAGAAAAAAATGAATTATGTATGAATAAAAAAAATGTAATATCTTTGTTTACCATTCTGTTGGAAATAAATATGAATATAGACCTCTATGCAAAGTTCCTAAATGAATATTCATGCAAAATTGGATAATACAGTACGTTACTACTTACATTGGTCGCTGCCACCAGACATGAAAGTGTTTGGGAATGAGCTACAATATTACTTAGACTATTAATATTATATGACTAGTATTAAAGCAAGGCAGTGTACTGTAGAGAGTCACTGTTTATGGATTGCACCTTTGAGGTAATTGTTGTGTACATAATATATGTAACTGCACCCGTTTCGCACCAACACAGCACACACAATAATTTTTTCTTCAATTTGTCTTGATTTCCTATTACTTGATAAAAAGTATAGAAAAGTAGACAGAAATGTCTTTTTTAAAGAACACAAAGTTGACAGATACAAAATATATGGTATGCAAAAAGAAATGGATATAATAAAATAAATAATAAATATGAATAAACAAACAAAAAAATTAACAAGATAGAATAATTAGGCTTGTATTTATGTGTACGTGCTGAATAGCAAAATATTCTGCTGTACATACAATGTACAATGTATATTTTCTACTTACGATAAGGAAAATAAAAAATAGAGATATTTTGTACAATATAGGTTAAGAAACATAAATCAAAGAGAATTAAAATATTGCCTGCAATAATCTTAAAGATTGAAGAACACAGGGCTACTAGAAGCAAAAAAAGATAAAGAAGAAATATATGTACTTAGCCCTGAGAAAAGCAGTTGACAATTTGCTCAGTCAAGGAAGGAAAAAATGTTAATGCAATATCCTGTATTAACTTTCCAAGGGTAAATCATGTTGAGAGCATGTATTTCTGTTATTGTAACTAAATTATTTGCATTTGTACATGTACATGTAATTCAATTGTTATGTGTCCGGACTCGCAACCTTCCATCATACCAGCAGCATGTCTTCAGAATTTAGACCTTGGATCTTAATTTCATGTATTTTTAATCCCATATCTGTTCAATATTCCACTTACTTGTACAGCTGTATGTGGAAAACAAAACAAAACAAAAACTCACAGCGGCTAAGAATTTGTTCGTACAAGTATCTTCAGAAGTTCAGTTATAAGAATCAAAGAAATCTTACAAAGACCGTTTCTTAATAAACCAAAACTGTAAATGTATGTACAGTACATGGGTGTACATTTTAAGAACATTTAAAGCCATTCTAAGGGATGAACTCATTACTTTCACATCTTCAGTCAGGTGCTCAAACCATTCAACTGTAATTCAATTATTATTCATGCAGATCACTGAGATTTAAAAAAAAAAATTTTATTACAGAGCAAAAAGTCAAATGTTAGTATATTTTTCTCAGTTATAAATGAGTATTAACAGCTGTAGCCTATGATGTACATTGTAAATAACACAGAAAAAGATAAGAAATGTATTTGATCTGAGTATGAATGCTTTTTCGGGGAATCTAGGCCTATTGTTAGACTTGATCATTTGAACATTTTTTTTAGACCCTCATTTTTATATGTGTAAGTGATATGCTGTCTAGCTAAACTAGGTTGATATATAATATCAATACTTCATCTTTTGCCTACACTCAAGAATTATTTAGTAAGAAGACATATCATATGTCAATTCTCCTAAATCCTTGGATCGTTGTTTTAGGCTTCTAAAGTAGCAGCTTTCTGAATAATCTAGCAATTGCAAATTGTGCCCAAACATGTATAATAATAATCATAACTTGTAAACCGGTAGATCTGTGTTCATCTCTTGGTAAAAATGTTTTGTAGTCAGCTGGAGCATGTGCAGTATGAATCTGGCTGTGGTGTATTTTGATATATTCCTCAAGGTCAGTATTATTTTAGCGGGTAATCGTCCTGAACTAAACCTCCTAATAATGTGCTAAAATGCTATATCAATCCCTGTCTCGACCTTCATTATGGTTTCATTCAAGAGGTGTGAGGTGGAGAGAAGTATCAACTACACATTTACTGTACAGTGTGGTTTAAATCATAACTATAGAGAGAAGGGGAAAAAAATCCTTTGTTTGCCCACAGTCGTGGCTGCGTTCACCCTGCCTAACAAAAACATCTAACATCTGACATCAGCCACAAAGGAAAGCGTCCTTCCATTTCAGCGAGCATTAAATTGATAAAGAGTAGACCCAGGGCAGTACAGATACATGTACATAATTATTTATGAGCCGTGGCCGTGGAACTGATGCACAGTGGTTGCAACATGGTCCGAAAAACCCACGCGGACAGAAAGGAATCACTGCTGTGGATTACTAGTCTCTCATATCAGCCAACTTCAAAATAGTTACCTATAGACTTTTTCTAGTTACAGTGTGACAGACAGTGTATGAACTTTAGTGATTTGAGGAGAGATACATGCCTTTGATGGAAAGTTATAGATCAACACTGGTAACCCGACTTATGTTTTCTAAATCTTTGCCAAGAAATAATATTAAGATACAATTACAAATAATGCATCCTTCCTATTCTGATGGATACATGTATTAACTTTATTGGTTATTAAGGTCATTGTTTTAATTTGGTTAGCTTTACATTTTGTCCTAAGCATTATCTTAGAGAATTTCTAAGTGTACACTTGTAAGATCTCTCGGGCTGAAAATTATGAAAATAGAAGATGGATGCAATCCAACTTTATGAGGCAACTAAATTGATCATTCTAGCAATCTGTGCAATTAATTTGTCTTAGACGTACATGTACAGTGTATAGTGTAGGTTTGAATTTGAAAATTATTATCAACCAATGACGTTCTGTTTTCACAAGAAAGATCATTGATCAAAATTTTCCATAATGAAGAAGAAGAAGGAAGAAAAAAATTATCATGAGAATACTAGTATCAGAATATTAAGATGTTTGGCCTGAGTTCAAACATATTTGTATTTTTGTAGTACATTGCAACCGTGAAATGATTTAAAGTCTGCTTTGTAAGACTAGCTTGCCATTGCAAACAGTTGAATTTTCCACCACTCCAATCCTGGTCATGCCTCTAATGAAGAGAGACATTCAATTAATCCGGCTGTAAATTACAATTAAGGGATACAATTGATTGATTATGATTGTTTATTTATGCAGGTTAGCTGAGTTTAATGGGCTTTTTGCTTGATGAACTTGTGAATAATAGAGAGTTAGAGACGGTCAAAACTACAGAAGAAATGTACTAGAGCAAAGAGTGATTTACATACATTGTACAAAAAGCTATTGAGGGCTTAAAAAGAGCTCTCATACAAAATGACAAATATTGAGGTCATCTCCAAGAAAATCTCACTGTTTTTTACAGAATTTTTTTACAAGAATTGTAAACAATTTTTCTTCTGTCAAGAGCTACATGTAGGTAGGCGGAATTAATATACACAATGTGCGTAAATTTGTTTTTGTCATTTTTTTCCATTTCATTGAGTAATAAACCACTCTGTATGGACTAAAAATACCAGACTGAAAAACAAAATTATAGACAAGAGATAGACAATTTTTTACTTTTAACATCTACCCGGTAAATAAGTTTGTGATTAGTTAGTGTAAAGCACAAAAAGGGAACTCGCATTTCTTGGACCGTCTATTAAAAAGGTAAAATTTTATTTGGTCATTTTGGTGTATTAAATCTTAGACTTATTTTGTTTTCATACATATACCATACATACCATACATGAAATGCTGGATACTGTTTTAGGTCTGTAAATCCTGTTTGTACAATATAAGTCTGTAACGCTGTGGTAACAGCCTTTATTTATTTTGTACTTGATGATTTGCTGATTTTGATCAAACAATTTTTAAAAAAAATACAAAGTAGATGATATTGATAATCTTGATACTTGTGAAAGTATTGCTCTTGCAGACATAATGTATCTCCAAAGCTTAATCAAATTTCACATCATTTTTTTCTCCATCTGTGTACAGTGAGTATAGTGAGGATCAATGCAGTCTCAGGAGTGTACCTACTATGCCTTCTAGCATTGCCTCTCATCCCCAGCCCAACAAATGTGCTACATCTTCAAGGTAAGCCAAATATTCATGTTAGGCCTGTCTTCATGAAGCTCAAGTTTGCCAAATAACCCGCTATTTTCAGACTCGGGATAGTATCCCGAAGCTCGGAATTGCGTCATCACCAGACCGATACGCTCATCACAAACTTGCTCGGATAGCAGGATATTTTGGAAACAAGACCAAGATTTCTCGGGATATTTTCTTGACCAAATATCCGCTAATTGCAACTGCTGGCTGATGAAGACACATATTAACTGGCTAATTTGCAATCAGGATTGCTAAAATAGCGGGTTATTTGGCAAACTCGAGCCGATGGGGACAGGCCTAATGTGTATCAGATTATTCAGATCTTATTGTAGTTGAAGTGTCAAAAGAAAAGTTTGTTGTAAGAACATTATTCAAAATGACAGGTTTGATGAGGTAAATCTATTACCTTTATAATATATGCAGTTTACCAAACCCAATTTACCACTTGGAATAGGATTATGTTTCTGTGAAAGTTTTAGAAAACAAAATACCTAAAATGTATCAATGTATAAATGCAATGAATAGTATCTGTTTCAGTGTACTCTGTAGTTAAATTCTTTTTTTGAAGGTAGTTTTTAGTTCTATACTACTAAAATTTGCACAACAATTTAATATCAGACTAGAATGTTATTAAAATTTCATGTAGTGATGTATAATACTGTAGCTCAACTCATTTGAACTGTATGTAAATATGAATTCTAAAAAATGCTCGGTCAAGAAAATTATGAATATTTGTGATACAATCTCTTCATTTTATCCTCTCCTTCATTTTTTTGTCTTCTATCCAGGGAGCCCAGGGCGGTTTATGAAAACCGTTGTGATTCTCAGTGCTCTTGGATGTGTCACCCAAATACTTTATCAAGTGGTTTTAGCTGGCCTTAGCAGTTATGATGAAAGCATCGATAGTTGTAAGTATACCAATCTTTTGTCATTTTATTGAGGAGAGTGGTGTTGGTAAACAATAGCTGCGTTTACACTGCAAGCAAAAATCATAGATTTTTCTCACGTTTCAGTGTGTTAAGGGTTGCTAGGTAAATACTGGTAAACACAACAAAAAATACAAATAGAGAATTTTCCTATGGAGTGTGCTTTTTTGAAATACCGGCAGAAATTTAACATATTTTTCAGTGTAAAAGTACAGTGTATGAGTTTAAAATACCCTTCTAACTCTCAGCAGATGCTGTATATCTGATGATATATTTAGTTGTCAAAATATTTAAAAAATTGATTATAAGTTAATTGAAAAGTCTAATAATCAATGAATGAATATTGCATTAAAAGTTGTAAATGGTTAATATTTGTTTTAATTTGATTTTGCAGGCACAGCAATGCAAATGTCATGATTGCATAAAATATTTGTTTAACATATATAAAAAAAAAACATTATTCCAACTTTATTAATTGATTATCATGATTAATATGTGTGGATAATACACATACTACCTCATTTTGAAATCCTATAATTTGTAATTATTGTTTTATTCTTACTCCTTTCTGAAACAGGTAACTTCACGGATACAATATGGAGACAGATGGGCTATCAGAGGTAACAATTTATGTTTTTATTATGTTTATAATTCAATTATTAACAGTTGAAGAATCGGTCTTTTAGTACTGTTGTGCTGATGAAGTCCTCCCCATTATTCATGATTGTCTCACACTCTCTAATTATTGAGATGTATTTTCTATTTAAAGGCATCGTTTAACAATGTTATATCTAAGATGCATGGTCCTACGTGTTACCAGTGTCTGTGATATGGTGTAATATGGAAGCCCTAACAAAAGTCTAAGGCAAAGTTACCCAATCCTTTAAAAGAATTGAGCTTCTTCCGTTCAGCAAATTTAGGATTGATGTCATTTGCTTGTAGTGTTCTTTCAATGTTAATACATGTAGGAAATATTGGCTCACAACCAGACCGTTGACCTTGCCAGGTAGGAAATTCAATCAGAACTTTATTTCCTAATCCCTAAAGTAGCTTGTAAAGGTATTGATCAACATCTCATGAAATGTTGATGCTTCTACAGCCACTCCTTATGCCTCTGCAGAATGCAAATAAACAATGAAGGTCATTTAATTAATTTTTGCACTTTAGACTTTTGCAGCAAATTTGAGAAGAAAATCTTTCAATTTTTAGCTGGTACAAAATTCAGATTGAACATCAAAGCCTAAATACTATGCGTTGTTGGTTTGAAATACAGTATCCCAAATTGTTCTAAATGTTGTATGATATTGTCGGCATTTTACAAATTTATATTATAAATATAATATTTAGCACTTAATAAAAAGCATAGATAAAGATACATGTACAGGGTGTACATTTGTATGCACAATATACACTGTAGTGCTGCATATTGAAAGGAAAATGATTGCTCCCTCACATTTTTGTTGTTGTTCTACTAATAATTGTAGAATAAGTCATAAAGAGAACATTTTTATTGTAATCCCTTGTATACTAAAGGTTATAGGGTACATGTAGTATGGGAACAGAAGTTAGAAGTCAAGGAAAAACCAATGAAGTTATGGTCTGCCAGTTTTAAATCTATTAATTATTTAACCCTGTATTATCAATACAACCATCATGATTCCTGCTGCTTCAATTGAGGCAGTGTGTAATGTACATTTTGTAAATAACATCAATTACATTCAGGTCACTTAGCAACTAAAGGATTGATAGGGTACATGTGTATGCTTAAGTTCATCAAGGTGCGGCATTGTTGACTAGCCAATTTTGCCAGGTGCATGTTCACTCCAATCTATTTTTGTCTGATATGATTTTTACATCTCATGTGGCAGCTGGAATTTGAATGGAGTATACTCAGAGAGAACAAACATGTTTTCGATATTAGAATAATGACTTGATGTGCTAGTACATGTAGAATCATTCTGTGTATTGTGGATATGACCAATTCAAACCTGTACATGTATGAAATGCATAGCACTATATTCCAGTATGTATGTATTTTAAAAAATGCAGAGAAAAAATAGCTATGAGGGAGGGAAAGTAGATATACCGGTACTCCCGTAATCCTCCTGAACAGATGATCTTTCTAAAGGGTTTTACTGTACTGAAATATTCATGTTTGTAAACCCTTATTATTTAAATAAGTTGTATGATGTAGTTATTCGAAAGGTGTGTATATTTGCAATGTTTACATAATCACATCACATAATTAATACAGTCAAAATTACTAAACAGGTATATTGTAGTGCATCATGTTTTTTGTGCTCTTGAACCATTTAAAAATGTCTATTTACCTATTTTTGTGCTGACTTTTGAAGTGATAAGAAAGATTAGAAGGCCATCCTTATGTATCTTTGAAGCCTACCTGTATACATGCATTAAGTTTCAAAAGAAATACTTGCAATATGACCTAATGTAGATACCAAATATATATACTGTAGGCATTTATGCTGGTAGGGTTTCATGGTCCAATTTTTTACTGTATCAGGGCTACTTTATGTTACCGGTAGTGATTCTTATGTAATTGTTCACAGGTTACCTTTTATGCAAATTGACTAAAAGATTTTAATGTAATTCCAGAGGGAATACAAATTTTTGCAAGATAGGTACCAGTTAAAAAAAAAATTGTTGGTACAGTTTTAAACAATGACATTCTTACTTTTTGTTATACCGGTATGCTTTATTGCTTATATTTCCTTTACATTCATGTTCAGAATCGAATGAGTGCTTTACATTTTTATTAAAATTTTGTTTAAGATCGTCCATTATAGTTTGTTGACTATCATGACTAATTTGTGTGATTGCTGTTAGAAGAAATATCCAAGATATTAAAAAAAGTAGATGCAGTTGGTATTGTCCAATTAGAGGGCAGGTACATTTTCATTGTTATACCTTAGTCTCACTGGCAAACAAAATTCAGACAGCCCCAAATGTACAGATTCATGGCCATATATATGTCATTATGTAAATTTTCTTCCATCTTTATGTCGGTCTGGTTCCAGTTTCGTGTGTGTTACTGGAGTATAAGGCTTATAAGCCTGTCATTATTTGTATACTCTAATGTTGACTCTAAATTCAATATTTTGTAAATGAATATTAAATGATAAAGAAGTTGCTCTCTCTTTTCGACATTTAATGAACTCTTCAGATTGGATGACCTTGACGCACTCAATGTCGCCAGACTAGTGGTTCCTGATGTCATCCTCCTGGTTGTTTCTCTCATCGTATTCCTCTCCTGCAAGTACATCCTTACCCCGCCGCCCCAGACATCCGAATCAGATTCCGATGAGAATGACGAACCACTCGCCCCGGTAATGGAACGTCGCCCTCGACGAACCTCAGTAGTCGTCGAAGGTCTGCGGTCGTGCAACGTTATGCTCTTCTGTGCGCTGTCGGGAATCATCTTCCCGTCAGCCATCTCATCGGTGTACTTTGTGGGTTTCCTGGTAGTGGTGACCTGGTGGTCCTTCTATCAGAGCTGGGGAAGGGTCTTCAAGTGGATCCAAGTCCTGTGGCTCATCTACAGTGGCGCTCATGTCATCGTCCTCTACCTGGTTCAGTTCCAGTTCTTCCAGGAGTTAGTGCCATATGATGATTCCGAGGAAGGGTGAGATTTTAGTTCTTTATGAATTTCAGTCGCAAAATATTCATCTGATGCTTTTAAGAGGGACAAAAGTTGTTCCTCATAATATTGGAGTAATGTATTTTTGAGAAAGAAATGAAGAAATAAGTTCATTATGGATTCTGAATGGATTGTTACAAGAGCATGCTATTGCTATATTTAACTATGGGCTGGCAAGGTATTATCAAAACCCGAGCTTGTGAGTGAAGGAAGGAAGAGTGTCCACTTGAGACTAGACAATTTATGCATCTCTATAGATTTTACTTAATTACATATATTCTTTGTGGAGTTATGAGTATAAGGCTCTATGAATAGACCACATTTTATGTACACATGTAGGCATCCAGTTTATTCCGCACAATTTGGTTTTCTCTGACATACAGCTTATGTGTAAAATAATACATGGCAATGAGCCACTCTACAGTAGGTTCCTTTGAAGAAGAAAAAAGAAAAAAAGAAGTCTGTCATTGAAAGGAAATTACTTCTTTTTTTTTTGTTTACTCCCTTACAATTCTGAATACCTGTTAGTGGAAACACAAACTTTTGCTGAGATGAATTGGTTTGTGGATTGGTAATGAATACGAAGGTGCAAACTAACCCTTTCTTTAGCATTGGGGGTTGTAATTTTATGGGCCCAAGTGTGCTAGGCACCTGATAATGTTTTGACATTTTTGGGGTCTTGGTGAAAGTTTTAGGGTCAGTGTTTGACCCATGTATAGTGTGCGCCTTATAGTATTCAGACAAGATAACGTTCCATTATGTGCTTTTAAATGGTTACTCAGTCTCACTCTCAACTATGGGGAGCATCCATTGTAGAATATTCACTATGTTGGCAGGAATACTTTCCTGCATTTGAAATCCAAGGCACCTGTTATTACAACACTTGCAACATCAAAGTCTGACAAATCAATTGGTCATGTCTGACCCTAACAACACCATATCATTCCAACTATGTAGATTCAATGTGCCAGCATTCGTTGGTCTTACGCCCATCGTTGATTCCCTGCGATGTGACCAAGGAAAGGACCCGAGAATGATAGCCATAGCCGACTCTTCTGGTTGGACTACCTGGGTCAACCCCTGGGTAGTGATCCAATTCTACTGGTTCCTGGGTCATGAGGTTCACAGATGGTTCGCAGGACCGGTGAGTTCACACTTCTTCACTTTCTCATCGTTTCATCTGAAATGTAATCTTTCCACCAGGGGCATCTCAGTAGACCAATGGTTCATGAGATTGACTCCGCTGAGACTGATGGCCCACAAGACTGACATTGTCGATCTCAGGGCTCGTAACTTGTGAGAAAGCCTGTGAGACCGCCAATGTTGGTCTTATGGATTGTCAGTATCATGGGCTGTTGGTTCATTGGGTTGTTTTTCTTATGGGCTGAGGGTCTCTAGGGCTGTAACCCGTTATGTAAATAATGGATAATTTTAATTTAAGGGTTACTTTTTTATTTGGTTGTACTTTAATATTTCAATAATTTTCTTCTTTTGCATCATCATTTCATTACTCATTAACTTTGTTATATTTTTCTAATAGACATGGACATCGATACATAATTTTGGAACTGATAATTTTTGTTTTTCCTCCTAAATTGTATATTATTAAATCTTATTGGTTTAGTTGCACATAGTATGAAGTTTTAAAAAAAATCAAAGGATTCAACAACATAATGATAATGATGATTGTATGTCATTTTCTGTTCTGTTTGAGTTCTTGTTTTTTATGTCAATTGTGTTGTGTATTCAAAGTCTTTACCACTAATTAAGTTATTAGAGGTGTAATGCAATGGGTGAATTACATAACAATATATTAGATATTGAGGCAAAGTGGAAGATTGAAAAATGGATGAAAATTGGTAAACATACATGTAGGACTAAAAGAACTATATTACATGACATTTGATTTTTATCTGTGAAATCCATTCATAAAAAGACTAGCCATGCATAAATGACATGTACTTGTAGGAACAATATGCTTATTTACACAAGTATGCCAGATAGCTCAAGATAGCACCAATGACTTTGACATTTAGAACTGCCAACATTTGAATAGTTAAAGATAAACTTGAGTTCTGGTAATGCGATTGCATTGTGAAAGAAAAGGTGTGGAATGGATCAGAAAAGTTGATCATATAGCATGTAAGTAATGGTGTGTAATGCAAGGTTCTGGAGTCATCAAAATCATCATAAATTTGGCAGAGTCTTGGTAAAGTAACAATCACTTACACAGAAAAATGTATATGGGACAACACACATGGTGTCGGGGCTAGTACTACCCTGATTTCCTTATCTTTCTATGCTCATTACTCAGCCAGTATACATTTTCTTCCAAAATTGTTTGGCACATGACATTTATTTGTAATCTTGAACATTCAGTGTAAGTTTCGTTAGATTCTGTGAGAATTAATTTTCTTTTTTTACCAGAACTCAAGTTTATCTTTAATATTGCTTTCACTTTCACTTTACAAGTAGTTGATATTGTCCACTCTCCTTGTACATGTACTAGAAAGCAACATTTCATTCAACTTAATAGAACTGTAGTACGTATACTACAAGTTTTAAAAAGCACTACATTTATCTTACAAATGTGTAATTCAGGAAGCAAATTGGTAGGTAACAGTTTAGAAGCATTGTCTGTCAATTTAAAATAAATAGCCTATTTGGCATGACATAATTTAACTCTTGACTTCTTATGATTGATCGTCTCAACTTTGCAAAGTTTGCATATGTATGCTTACAAGTGATGACTACAAATGGAAATTTATGTTCCTAAGTTTACATGAATTTGGTTATTTAGCCCTGTAGTGTGCTATCATAAAACATTTTTGAAAGTACATCAAACAAAAAAGATGTACCTCATTGCATAGACTTCATTGACAGGAAAGCTTAGGGAATACACTTTTGGGGAGGAATTTCATCAACAGGACCTACGTTAACCCTGAATATACAAATTACTATCCTTAGATCAATGACATGCTTTGAAAGTATACAAAATTACCTTTTTTGTGTTTAAACATTTTTAAAAACCAATTTCTAGGTTCTTGAGATATGTAGGGAGTGAGAAAACGCTTGAAGAAATCAACGAGAATCCTAAATCGGATTTCAGGCCAGTGTATCCAACAATAGGAACCACATGTACTTGTAGCCTGTAAAACATATCAACATTGGGTTTTATGGATTTTCAAAGATCATTGCTCTTCCTGATGAAAGATCTTGGAGTTTAAGGCCTGCTTTGGCCATTATAGTTCACACATGGTTGGATGAAATAGGTTTATCATCTGTCTTAAAGGCACAGGTTAAAATTTTGATATGAAATTGCCAAAATTTTGTCTCAAGTAATCTGGGTAAGATTAAAGAACGATAACCATGAAATTTACAAACATGGATTTAAACTATTGTTAGAAAAAAAAAGATTGCAGCTAATTGTGGCAAGTTTCTTACAGTGTTTGGTGTCTCTTTGGAATATGATTATCTATATTTTAAGTCATATAGCAAAGAAAATATGGACAATTTACCTTTGAACTCATACTAAAATGACCATTGCACTTTCCCCATTGACAGTACATGTGAGTTATGAAAGCATATTATGAAAATTCTTTCATTCATTAGTTTGACATACTTGAACAACAGGTTTGAACGTTTTCAACTACAAGACAAGAAGGCTTTAAATGAATGAAATGAAACCTTTAAGATAATAACAGTGCCACTCCCACATTCAAAGATCACATGTCCGTGGCACTGTTGGCTGCTGAACAAGAAAAGTAAATGGGGAAAATATTTGTGAGTGGTACAGGGAAACCCACATACACAGTAAGGGGTTTTAGTTTTGACACTGCATACAGTAATTATATAGTGAAAACTGAATTGTGTTTGTCACACATTGAATATATGAAAATCTTCAGGTCTTGAATGACTAGGTGATTGAAATATATATCAGAGGCTGAAAAGTAAATGTACAACAAACTGTAAAGGTATTGTGACCAAAGCAAATAAAAGTACAAAGTCAAATTCCTGTCAGGAAGTTTGTATTTGGCCTTCCTCCCTCTTTTTGGAGTTTGGACCTGCATGTTGAGTTCTTTAAAAAGAATAAAAAAAGTGCAAGTTTACTGTAAACTCCAAATTATTGGAGTCTGTCATGGGATAACCTTGAATGTCGACAATCAGTCACAGATTGTGGATGTTAAGGTCAGACAGGCTAGATTGATGTGAACATGAAAAAGAGACATTATAATAATGATGAGGGTAATGAACATAGCATGTGCATGCCATTGTCATACTGACCCTTTTGAATGAGACCTCATATTGCACCATGCATGCAGATAAAAACATACAACTGAAAATGTAACATTTCGGGGGCTAATTCGCCCCGAACCTCCGTGTATTTTTTTTCACTGGGTAATTGAAAGGTTGCTGAGCATGTTTAATTTTCTTTTAGCTGAATATAAATTGATATTGGGATTACATTTACATTTGTCAATGCAATTAACTCTTAAACTCAACCCTCATATTTCAACCGCCTTTAATAATAGCCTGCTGCACAAATTGTATGACCCCTAGATTAATCATAATGATACAATTTATGTACATGTATATGTTCATACATGTCCATGTATTAGTCAAAGGAATGATTTCCAAACGTGATTTTGCTCAAAGATTTTTTTTTAAAGTTTGAAAATAATCAATATTGCTGTTAAGAGAGTGTGTGAGAGAAAGAGAGAGAGAGAGATAAAGAAATAAAATTTTTTACCAAATATATCATCAAAAACTTATCTTTATAGTGACATTGCCTAGTGCCTGAGTTTCATGCTCTATGATGATATTCTGATGATCATACATGTAGATTTCTAATCAGTTGTTGAAAGTTTGTGTCTAAAAAAAAAGTCAATGTTTATATGTTGCTCTGAAAATACAATTTGCATCTTCTATAACTGATATGATGAACAGGAGGGATATTAAATTCCAACAGATAATTTTGAAAGAACTCTCCCTATCACTTTCATAATCATTCTGTTGTCATTTTTTTGTCTTTATCTACAGCACTCTAAGGTATGTTCCATGTCATGGTCTCTTGCATTTATGTGCATAAATGTAGATTTTGAATGCATATTGTCTGTTAATGATACATGTATAACATGTTGCATACATCAATGTTATTATATCTGAGCATCATCCAGCTGCTACCCCCCGCCCCCTCCACTTCATTAAATAATCATAATTATGATAATGGTGATATCCTGATGATATCATAAATTTGTAATCAATGTTGAAAGTTTGTGTACCCTCAAAAAGAAGTCAATATTTTATATATTTTTCTCTGAGTATCACATCTGCTACCCCCTTCCACTTCATTAAATAATGATAAATGTATAACATACATGTTTCCAATATAAATGGAATTATATCCGAGCATCATTCATCTGCTACCCTCTCCCCGCCATATCATTAAATAGTGATAAATCTTATAGAAATCAAGTGATGCTTGTACACCCTCAATATACATGTACATGTATAATCAGTCAAACTAATAGTTCACATGTACTTGTTATCTGCACCTGAACACAGAACTTGTCAATTTGTACTTTATTAAATGTTTTCCAAGATGAGGGTGTTATGATTTAGAGTTTCCCTCTGTGTCTAGTATTATTTGCTAACTTGTCGAATCCCACCACAGTCATAAAACATCACACATGTATACTTTGTGTACATGCAAGCTAGGTTCAGATGATGGTTTTATGATAATGATAATTGGTCACCGTCATATTTGGTGTTGATCATGTGTAAATCATCTTGTTGAGAGCCAGAAGGGTATTAGTTCACGTCATTAGTAGAGTTGTCACGGTCGAGTGGATATGTCACAAGACTGTGGATCACAAGATCCTCGGTGGAGTCCTGTGGCTGCACTATTATGTCCTTTGGCAAGACAAATATCTACATTTGCCACTCTCGACCCAGGTGATGTAAATGGGTACCTTGCAGAAATGAATTCCTTGAAATGCTAGAGCGCCGTAATGGCAGCCATGCTAAAGCCAGGGTAGTAGTTGGGGAGCGCCAGGAGTGTCAAGTTTGACAGACATGAGCGCTATACAAAAACCCACTATTATTAGTATTATTATGTACAGAGTAAACATATTTCTGGTTCTTGACGGATGTAATGAAAGTAATGTATAGTTACATTGTAGTTATCATTTAGTTTCCCACACATGCCATTGGTACTTTTGGTAGCCTTTATTTGTATCTATCCATCTATATAAGTAATACGCTAAGGCTCCGCGGGGGGCGCGACGTCTCGGTGAGCCTTTGTATTCTATTGTTTTTTAATGAGATCGCCGACCCAAGTTGGTGCGGCTATCTCCTCCTGAACCCTGCCCTCGGGGTACCCGTGCCCGGTGCCGTCGTCCGCGGGAGAGTCTACTCTGTGGAATTGGCTATACTCCGCCCGAGGTCCTCCTCCGTGTCGACGTCCAGGGCGAAAACAGACGCGATATGCATAATGCAGGATATGCGTGACGACAGAGATACCTCATGGATATTCAACATGACATCCGTAGACACACGACCGATGACCATCCACTCACATTAAGTTGCGTATTAAATGCACGATGGACAGGGTCGGGATTACCCGAGTAAAGCATCTTTCTATAGGATATCCTTTAATTTGTAGTAGCGCTGCACAAGCAACAGAGATACACACGAAGCTTCCCGTCCACGTCCAAACTTAGAGACCTATTTCCATCATTATTGCCGCGATTTTTATATAGTTTTCGTGAATGGAGGTATGAAATCAAAGCTTATTTTGTGATTATGACGGTTAATGTATACTACATTTTGATTATCACTTTCTAAAGGAAAGTTTTCACAAGAAAACCATTGGACTGACAGTTGCAGTCGCAAGCTGCCTTCAGTCCTCACAGTACACACAGTGCAGTGTAACACCGGCACCGCGCACCGCAGGCTTCCGAGGCCTGCGGCGTCGGTGTTCGAGCTTCATGGAGTTACGCTGGAGTGTGTGCGAGTTCGATCAGCTGAGCTGAGCTGAGTCGAAGAGATTTGACACTTTGAAATTGTTATCTGTTGGTTTGCATCACGATTTCAATATAGTTTCGTGAATAGATTTACGAAACCTGAGCTTAGAATTAGTAAAAGTATGACTAATGTCTACGTTTTTAAACGACTGTCTGATTTTCTTGTGAAAATTTTACTTTCAAAAATGATTATCGAAATTCATGGTCAGAAATAATCACAATCTAGATCTATTAATTATGTTACAGTTCTTGCATCAAAGCAATGCATGAAAACTTAGTTATTGAACTAGAAAAATGTTGTTTTTATGCCTCCGTTACGAAGTAGCCGGAGGCATTATGTTTTCGGGTTGTCCGTCCGTCCGTCCGTCCGTCCGTCCGTCCGTACGTCTGTACGTACGTCTGTACGTACGTCCCGTTCTCGTGATCACGTTATCTGAAGAACGGATCAATGGATTCCTACCAAACTTTGGTCATATATGTATCTAGCAAAGTCGATGAACTGATTAGATTTTGGGGTCACGAGGTCAAAGGTCAAAGGTCACAGGGCTCATTATGTATGCAAAAACAGCTCGTGATCGCGTTATCTGAAGAACCGATGGATGGATTCCTGCCAAACTTTGGTCATGTATGTATCTTGTAGAGTCAATGAACTGATTAGATTTTGGGGTCACGAGGTCAAAGGTCAAAGGTCACAGGGCTCATTATGTATGCAAAACGGCTCGTGATCGCGTTATCTGAAGAACCGATAGATGGATTCCTGCCAAACTTTGGTCATGTATGTATCTTGCAGAGCCAATGAACTGATTAGATTTTGGGGTCACGAGGTCAAAGGTCAAAGGTCACAGGGCTCATTATGTATGCAAAAACAGCTTGTGATCGCGTTATCTCAAGAACCGATTGATGGATTCCTGCCAAACTTAGGTCATGTATGTTACTTGCAGAGCCGATGAACTTATTAGATTTTGGGTAACGAGGTCAAAGGTCAAAGGTCACAGCGCCCATTATGTATGCAAAAACAGCTTGTGATCGCGTTATCATTAGAACAGATTGATGGATTCCTGCCAAACTTAGATCATTTATGTATCTTGCAGAGCCAATGAACTGTGTAGATTCTTGGTTCATAAGGTCCAAGGTCATGGGCTCATTATGTATGCAAAAATAGCTTGTGAACGCATTCTCATTAGAACTGACAGATGGATTACTATTTAACTCTGGATATCTTGCAGAGCCAATGAGCTGAGTAGATATTAGGATCATGAGGTCAAAGTTCAAAGGGTCATATATGTATATGAGAAATTGTTTGTAATCACGATATTCTGAGAACCTGTTAATGGATTACAATTGAACTTGAATTTGAAAAATTTCTTCTGTTTTGGTTTGTAAAATTGCTCTATGACGGAGGCATCATTTTCGACTGCGCGCAGTCGAATTCCATCTAGTTTTAAATAGGCAATTAGACCTATGAAGTATTAAGCCTGAAACCTTCGCCTACTAAACAAATCTCAACAAAGTGTAGGCCTATCCTTTTATGAATTAATGAAAAAGTAGCCCCAGAAAAAAGAGCCCCCGAAAGTTGAAAAAGTAGCCCCCGAAAATTTCCCCAAAATTTGAAATGGAGCCCCCGAAATGAAAAAACTTAATTTTTTTGCCTGCGCCCCCCCCCCCCCCTCTAGAATCCCGCGGATTTCCGCGGGTCCTGAGTTGAGTGTATATATAATATAGGCGTGGGGTCCACGGGTTTCAAGGGGCCATAAACCCCCAAAAGCTCGGGGGTTACGTTCTTCAAAGTTGGGGGGGGGGGGGAGAGATCAGATCGCGGCGAGTTGAGTGTATATACAATATAGGCGTGGGGTCCACGGGTTTCAAGGGGCCATAAACCCCCGAAAGCTTGGGGGGTTTAGGCGTTTAGGGTCAGATGAGCATATTTTTAATACTTTATTTGTGACACTTGCGGGTCACTAATTGGCGTGGGGTCAATACGTAGAGTTGCGTAGTGTTGCGTACCAACTACGCTGGCCTACGTTACTATATGCTGAGGGACGGAAAGAGGTACGCAAGATGAACGAAAACAATTCAACATGTTTAATTTTTTTCGCGTACTTTCGGCGTAGAAACTTGACGCAGAAAGTACGCCTTTTTACGCAACAGTACGCTACCCTACGACAGATCGTCAAAGCAGTAAAAGCTTTCTACACAGTAAGCAACCCTAAGCAAACCTGTACGCCAGCCTACGCATAACCTACGCAGGGACTATTTTCCCATTAATATGCAGCCTAATTTCTGCGTAGTCGGTACGCCACACTACGGAACTCTACGCAGTTCCAGTGGCTTAAAGAATAACTACAGGTACAGTTGGATCGTTTTTTTATTTTTTTATATATAAGGCCAAATTAAAAAAAAAACATGTTTAGCGTCCTGTTTTTTCGAAAAATGGGAAGGAGGAGGCCCTTTTTTTTTCTTTTTTTTTTTCAAAATGGCCGCTCCGTACATTTTCCCTGACACTCTGGCTATTTTTCAAGATGGCGGCAGACAATTTTTTTTTTTTCTTTTTTAAAAACAGAAATACATTTTAGCAGTGCTTTTCATGTTTTTTTTCTTTCAAAAAAAAAAAAATAAATAAAAAAAAATAAATAAAAATAGGAGGCGGCCCCCAAAAAGGAAGCAGGCGGGGACGCTGTTTTTTTTTTCTTTCAAAAAAAAAAAAAAAAAAAAAAAAAAAAATATTAAACAATTACAAAAAAAAATAGGAGGCGGTCCCCAAAAAGGAAGCAGGCGGGGACGCTGTTTTTTTTTCTTTCAAAAAAAAAAAAAAAAAATTCAAAAAAATTTCAAAAAAAAAAAAATAGGAGGCGGCCCCCAAAAAGGAATCGGGCGGGGACGCTCAACATGTATATTTTTTTAATGGCCTGAATGGCAAGCAAAGTTCTTGGTGGTTTTAATTTAGACAGTCTCTATATATCTATTTACACCCCCGCCCCCCTCTAGAATCCCGCGGATTTCCGCGGGTCCTGCTAGTTATACTAA